GCAGTATCATCATGCCAAGAGCTACCTTGTGTTCATGTGGCATCTCCATTTCTCCATAAGATCACATTCTGAGGTTCCTAGACGGTGTGCACATGGGGAATACCATTCAACCTGTAACTACAGTAATGTTGGCTACCTGCTGTATCTGCGGATCACGCCAGAACCCCAGAGGGGTTCCAGCAAGGACAGACTTGACTTGCAAGCCACACCAGGGCTTGGTAAACTCTTAATCCTGCGTGTTTCTGTGTGGCTCATGAGCTAAGAACGGTTGTTACCTTTCCCAACCTCTCTTTCCTGTCATCCCATTCTCTTGCCTGAGCTCTGTGTGATTCAGAAAAAAGCAGCCAGGGTGGTATTTTGTTACACATGAAAATTATATACAACTCAAGGTCCAGTGTCCACGAATAAAATCTGATTGGAACACAGCCAAGTACGCTCATTTATGTGTCCTCTATGGCTGTCTCATGTCACACCAACATGTGACAATGTTTCCTGCCTGATCTGCCACCCATCCACAGTTTGGAAGTCTCCCCAAGTGCTCAGGGCTGCCCCTCTGGTGGAGTAATATCTGAGTTCTGGGTGAAGGCTGCTTAATAGTTTAAAGAGGGGACACCATGATGTCAGGCAGGCCTGGGTTTAAATGCAATGGCTGGTCCTTTCACCTCTGCATGAGCATGTGTCCTTACTCGGGGGGCTGACACCCTACCCCCTGGGGTTGCTTCAGGGATGAACTAAGATATCGGAAAGACCTACAGTGTGGGTATTATCATCTGATTTGGGGAAAAGGGTGGAACATTCCACAGGGGCACCAACATGGGAAGGTCTGGGTAGACCTTTCTGGGTGCCTGCTGGCTCTCTTTGCCCCTTACCCAGGTGCCATGTTACTCTGTGTCCAATATGGAGTCTGCCCTGCATGGGCTGCCTCTCAGTGCACCCAAATGCCCGCTGAGAGTTGGGCTCAGTTACAGTGAGCTGGGGCAGGAGAACAGGACGAGAGCAAGGCTGGGAACTGTGGACCCCTAGTGCCCATTCCTATCTTCTTTGGGCATTTCCCTCCCCCTCCTTCTGACATTCTCTTTCAGGGTTCCCACAATCTCTCTGTCCTTCGGCCATTTGATGTGGGGTGGTAATACCACCACACTGTCACCAAACCCAGGACTTGGAATACCCCTGTAGCTTCCCAGCGATTCACCCACCCCACGACACGAGAGCAGTCTCTTCCACTGAGTCCCAGCTGAGGTACCTTGGCTTGCCAGCTTGACTGACACAGTTTGATTGTCCAGCTTACCTCCCTGTCCCCCAGACACCCCTGAATTTCTAAGATTCAGGAGTTTTTCATGGACACTATTTCTAGCTAGGAAGAACCCCTAGGAAGAGTGGAATATGACTTGATGAGGGAATGAGGGAAGTGAACTGTTCTCAGAGCCAGAAGCTCTCAGATGATTTTCTCTAAATGTCTTTGTATCCGCACACGATAGCAATGGTCCTTTCCCCGTGTAGAGTGCTGTGTGGTGCACAAATGCTTTTAGCACACACTCTCCTTTGAGAACGCCTACATTCTCTATGTGCTTGAACGATGTGTGCAAGATCTGCACAACCCCCACCCTTCAAGTTGGGACTTGAACCTGGTTAAATGTGAAGTTTAGGCAAACAACAAATATGGTTTTTGGAGAAGAACGTCTTCTGCAGAATCTGGTTTGTAGTTTAATTTCCTCTTACCTTCTTACATTTGACTGTAACAAAACATCCTTTGTTAGGATTGAGATTTAGAATGTTTCCTAACAGGCTCATGTGCTCAGATGTTGGGCTTTTGGAAGACGATTGGATCATGGAGTGGATAACTCCATGAATTAGTCCGCTGGAGCGTTCGGAGCTGAGTGCGCTGTCGGGAGACAAGGCATGGTTAAAGAGGCAGATCACTGGGGGCACGAGCTAGAAGGGTCTGTCTTCCTCCGAGGCTTCTCTCTTTGTTGCTAACCTTGCTTACATGATACGAGCAGCATTTCTCCGGCAGACCCCTCTACCATGCCCTTTCTGCCTTGGAACCCCTTACTCACCTGTGACTCTAGATAACCTCGATGCCTTTGCATTAAGGAAAGAGAGGGCAGCTCTGGTGGTTTGGGGCTTGCTTTTCCTCCAGCAGAAAAGAAACTGGGGGTGGGTGGCGCTCAAGGCAGGGCCCTCTAGAGGTCACTTGTGAAAGGTCACTCCCCTAGACTTGGATCTATAGGTGAGGAGCTGGACATGGCAGAAGGTGACCCACCCCTCTGCTGGGGGCTGGTGGAGGGGACCTGAGTTTCATGGAAGGTGGAATTAGTGAGAACTCTCTTCCGCCAGCCCCATCATCTTTTTGGTCAGCCAAAGTGCTTTTCCCCATTTGGAAACTCTAAGAGCTTTGAGAATCTCTGCAGAGTTTTGAGCAGCCACCCAGGGTTTTCTCAGGTAAGGTTACCTTCTGGGCTTGAGGAACGTTAGTACTTTCACAGTTCAAACTAGTTTATTATGTCACATTGAGGCTTCTTGGCTTTAGAAAACATCATTTCCTCAGCCTCTTCTTGGTGGAGTTACCATCCTATTTGTTTTTGGTGTAGGCGATTTTACTTCCTCTCTAACGTATTTGTCTGATCATGGAGCTGTACGTGGTCAAAGTCCACTAACTATAGTTCAGGAGGGGTCAGCCAAGAATTTGAAAATAAATGAGGGAGAAGATTGGAATTAATGAAGATTGTGTGGCTTCTTCAAGGCCTGGAACAAAATGCTTTCCATATGTGCCGTATTTTGGGGGTCCAGATCCCTTCCTTCCTCTTCTTTCTCTCTCTCTCTCTTTCTTTCTTTCTTTTTCTTTCTTTCTTTCTCTTTCCTTCTTTCTTTTCTTCTTTCTCTCCTTCCTTCCCTCTGTGACACTAGGAACTGAATCCAGGGCTCATGCCTGCTAGGCAAGCCCTCTACCACTGAGCTCTGTCCCTAGCTGTCGATGCCCCCTTCCTTTCAACCCCATCACTGTATCTGCTCTGAATGGCCATCTCATTTCCCTTGGGAAAACCGAGAGGTATTTTTTTGTCTCACCGTTTGCAAGAGATCATCCTGGAGTCAGTTCACTCTTCTGACTGCAGAATCTCTTCCATGTTATTATGCTATCGCCAGATATCCTCAGGCAGTGGGCCTAAAGCTATTTCTAATGTGGGGGTAGGGTTCCAAAGTATGTGTAAGATGAAAATTATGTGTAGTCAAAATTACCCTTGAAAACCCCTTATCAACTTGAAAATTGGTCATAAAGTACAGTATACATGGTTTACACTATAATATAAGCAGAAACTCTCTTATCTGACCTCCTCTTAACCACCTAGTCCCTTTAATGGATACTCTGTACTCTCTTGGTAAAACATAGTCACCCCAGAACCCCAAATGCCAAAGGTATGTGCCTGGTCTCTATCATTCCTATACCTTTCTGTGCCTACGAAATTGAGCTGAGTGTTTTCAAAGAGTCCATTATCCTCTCCTTGTTTATGCCAGTTGTATTTTTTCTAGTAATCACGTAATTTAATAAACTATGACATAGCAGATAAAGTAAGAGTGGAGAAGGAATTATTTCTCTGAAAATTATGTTGAATGCTTGGGAAAAACAAATGCTTTGGCAAAGGGAAGTTGCAAAAAATAAAATGTGTTGAGTTAGTCATAGGGCAGAAACTCAAACTTTACCACATAGTGAAATCTAGGATTCTACTCTTACAGCAACCTCCTAATTTTTGTATGTTCTCGCTTTAAAAAAAACCCCCAGGAACTGGGGTTTGTGGAAGATACACTATGAGTGTGATTTATGCAGAAGAAATGATAATTAAGAACTCCACACTTGGAGCCTATTCTTGAAAAAAAAACCAGTGCTGTAGTCCAACATCAGCAGATTGCTGAATGAATTTACATTTGTGTTAAGTAAAAGTAAAACATTTAAGAAGTATCTTTTTTCCTCCTTTAATTTTATTTTGATTAGCTGAGCAGCCTCTATGCATAAATGTCTGATGTGCATTAAGCAGTAATGTAGCCTGGGAAATAAGTGCGCTCACCGACTCCTGTCACATGTGTTTTAAGGGGACAGTGCAAGAAACTGAATTCAGGGCCTCCCTCACTGTAAGGATGTGCTCCAGCCCTGAGCCACACCCAGTTCCCTGTCCTGCTGTCTTCCCCTCCCTCCTCTGCCTCTCTCTGTGCCTTGGTTTTTGAGATGAGGCTTCACTCTGTGGTCCAGGCTTGCCTTGAACTTGAGTCTTTCTCTGTCAGCCTCCTAAGGGGTAGGATTGCAGACAGGCACCACCATGCCTGGCTTTCTCTTATTTGAGTCCATGTGCCTTAATGGATGGAAGATAATGGTGGCAATGCTTGTAAATCCAGCAATTTAAGCCCTGACTCTAAACCAGGATGGGTCAGTGGGGTTAGAATCCCCAAACCACATGACGTCGTGACATGCAAATCACCAGGACCCAGGGTACTGGCTTTGTAGAAGTTAAGATAGAAACAGGCAACAAGGGTGCCTTAAAATATCTGAAAGGCAATGTACATCTCTCTTGCAAGCCTGCATTTTTACAAACCCTGGCTCCGCCACTCCCCGAGGTCCAGCCACGCTAACTCTCTCTACCCCATTTGCTCTCTTGTCACAAGGATTTCATGAGATTCAAAATGCAAAGCGACAACAGTAGCGCCAGGCATCAAGTGAATGTCATGCAACTATCAGCTACTGATATTATTATTAATGATTACTGTCACTTGCATAATACGTCTGAGAAGCTCTTATTCTAAAAATGCATAATGGATAAAACAATGCATTTCACTTGAAGCCACAGACATCTGCCGCCTATGAACCAAGAGGGCAGATGACTAGCCCTGTGAAAGCATGATAGTGCTAACGGTGGGTGCTTAGGGAAAATGGGTTGCCTGAACAGAACACAATACCGCAATAGGTTTCCCTCTTCACTTCCACGGGGGAAAAGAATAATGTTTCTTCCGAATTCTAAAACAAAAGTTTATTTATAAAATACTAACAGTTTGACAGGACATGGGACTTCTCATGGTATATATTTCAAATCAGTTTCTTTTTTTAACCTTTCATTTAAAAAATAAACCTGCTAACAAGCTATATGACATATAGATATATACTTTTTTTCTTACAGTTCAACACCTGCCATAATGAATACTTTCCCCATAATTTGTCATTATATCTTTTAAATAAAAAAAATAAAGATTTGTATTGATTTTTGTCTGAGCAGTCTATATGGGTGAGGAAAAGTAACACATTTAAATGCTTTTGGTTATCTTATGGAAACCAGGAGGTGGTCCCAATGGTGCACCTGTGTGTGCAGGCAGGGTTGTGATCGGGGTGGGTGCCCCTGGACAGGACCATACAGGGGCACCCGGGAGCTGGTGCAGCTGCTCAGAGGGCCCCCTTCCACCCTCCTGCCTGCTGGCCCCTCACCCAGCATGGGCTCACTGTGCTCTCTGGGTTGGTGAGGGAAGTCCCCGCCCAGAGTAGCCTGCGGTGAGGCTCTGGCACCTTTAGAAGCGCTGCTTGGGAGGCTCGAGCAGCATCAGAAGGCCTTGAGACATGTGTGCTGGACAGGGCTGCCCTGCTGTGGCCTCATTTCCTCTGACTCAGGCAGTGTCAGTTTGAGGGTGGTGGTGGGGATCGAAGGGGAGGCAGCTTGGGTCTGCAAGCTTCCTGGAACCCTAGCAGGAAGGTGCTTCTGGAACCCCAAGCATCTATTTGATTTATCTTGGCAGTCTGTGTGCAAAGCTCCATGAACCTAGGAGGCAGAGTCAGGAGGAGAAAGAGCAGCCTGGTGTGCCAATCGTGGTACACCACATTTCCCTGGGGCAGAGTGAGGTACCACCAAAGGGGCTGGTGTGTCTTGGTATGAGCTTGCTTTTGAGACAGCCACTCAGGCAGGGGTCCAGGCATCATGGCTCAGGACATCAAAGGCCAGTAAGGCTCCCAAGGATCCATGGGCAGTGCCCAGCACAACCTTCTAATGTGGACAGGTGTCTAGGAGGAGGTGCCAGGAGTCTCCCTTGCCCCAGAAGATATGTAAACAGGGGCAAAAAGATGTTTCCTTTGAACAAACCTAGAGTTCCACAGCTGGAGACTCAGCTGGGTCCCCAGATGTGGCTGGGGCAGTGGCAGGAACACTGTAGGTGGGTAGTGACTAAGGGGTGGGCTCTTACCATGGGCCAAGCATCACTTCCTGGGCTCCTCTAGGAGCTCTGGGTTGTAATGTCCTCACCTTCTCTGGTCACAGATCCCCAGTACACCCAAGTGCATGTCACCTAAGCCACATGTACCTATTTGGGAGGATACAGAATGATCTGCAAAGCCCCTTTGAAAACACACACGAGCATGTGTTCTGTTTATATCTGTGTGTGTGTGCACACATGAGCATGTGGCTGTCAGCACAGGGGCCCATGGGGACGTGGGGACGGAGATACGTAGTGCGCCAGGTGATTCATTAAAGGCAGAGGAACACTGGCCTCATGTGCAATGCAGTATATACACACATACACACAATGGTTCTATTCACTCCTGCTTCCTCCCCCAAACTCTGTCACTGGGTTGGGTTAAAATATTTCCCTAATGCAAACTGGGAACTTCCTTAAATGGTTAAACACTCCACAGAGAAGGAAAAAGATGAAGTTGTTAAAAAAAAAAAAAGTGAACAAGAAAACAAGGCAGGGCAGCAGGATAGCACAGTGAGGCTGCGGATGTGCTGCCATGGCAACGCCAGCTGCTGGGGTGGGGGCAGCAGCCTTCAGGGCCCCAGCACCTGCTTCTCCAGAGGAGTGAACACGCAGCCCCTGTCCTGCCTTAGGGGAAAGCCGATCCTAGGGAGAAGTCACTGTCTGCATCCAGCAGCAGCGTCAGTCTCCGCATTCTCATTTCCCAGGGGGAAGTGCACTGGGGCAAGCCACCCCGCAGCCTTTCCTGGGCCTGACCTTGACTTCTCTCCCCAGTCACCATTCGCACAATGACTTAATAAATTTGGGGCGAGCAGGCAGGGGAACAGGCTCTCTTTTTCCGTGACCCATTCACCAACTTTCCCACCCCTACCCCTCCTGCTCATCCTTCTAAGCAGGGCCTGGCCTCCTCCAGGGCAGGGCTGCAGGGCACTGCCAGGAAACACTGCTGGGGCCCTCTGCAGAATCGCACAGGTCCCAGCTAAGAGAGGCAACCATCCGTGCATCCCCAGCAGTGCACGGGCCTCGGGCCAGTTTCACAGGACTGGCTGGAGTCCCCCGGGGCCTCAAAGAGCCCAGAGAATCTGACCAAAAGGCTCTTCCCTAACCCTTGAGTTGGAAGTCTCAAGCTGATGGGAAAATCAGGCCACCAGAAGCAGCTTTTTAAAGAACATTCCTTGGAGCAGATTGTGTGCATGTAAAAGCTTTGCTTCCGGTTAGCTTTTCCGTCTCCAGATGCCATCTGATCCACCCCTCCTGGCCTGGCTGGCCATGCATCTCAGAGGTTGCTGATTGCCCCAGGCCTCCTTGCTCCTAGCTCTGGCCCAGCTGAGTGCAAACTGGAAGATGTCCCTGCGGTTTGGGGTGACTTTTGACTCTTTGAACCCAGTTCTGAGCAGACTGGGCACACTGTGGCTACTTTGGCCTCTGGACCAGGGACTAGGCCACCACCCGGGTGCCTGTGTGCTAAGAGGCTCTGGGTGGAAAGGCAAAGGGACAGAGATCTGGAAGTGCCAGGCTGCTGGGGAGGTATGAATCCTCCTACAGAGGACTCCTAGGCCCATTTCCTTGAAGTGGGTGTGTGCACATATGAATGAGTGCTAGAAAGTCTCTATCCAGGGGAGAGTGATGTGTGTCCTTTATAGTGATCCTCACCTGCCCAGTTCCCCAATCTAGCCATGCTGAAATCCCCTTGCTGTAGCTTCCTCATTTCCCTTGTTTAAATGTGGGGCAGGTGGTAGCTGGATCAGAAGAAAGAATAGTCCAAGTTCCATCCTGTCCTTCCTGACTTCCTGCAAGGTATTAACCCTGGCTGTGCCCAGGCTGCAGCCAGGCAGCTGCCCTACACTTGCGTTCCCCAGAACACACCCCTGCTTGGTGTTCTGGAACTGAACTCATGAAGAGGCAGGGCTGGGCTGCATGGCTGTGTGAGCACTCTCTTTAGCCCTCCAGCCCTTTTCCATGGAGTCACGATTTTAAAAATACGCAGGAACAAGGAAGTTGCTAAGCAGCTTCTCACCCCTTAGTTGTCTTTCCCTTTTCTAAATCAACCAGGCGCTTGGTGGAGAAGTTGAGCAAGGGAGGTGAGCCAGGAGGTGAGCCACGGCCTTGCTGAGGCCGAGAAGGGAGCTGGGCAAGGTCCGGAACACCTGCCAGGAGACAGGGCAGGAGAAAAAGTGCCCTTTGCCTCTGGGGACACCCATCCTTTGGCAAGAGAATGGCCAGAAGCTGGGATCCAGCGCACGTGGGAAACGTGTGGGCAGTTGGCTTGGGGTCCAGAAGGCTCCCCAGCCCTCAGCCACTGCCACCTCCAGTGCGCTGGACCTGTGCCTTCCCTTCTTCCCTCTCTAGACCAAGGACCCACCCCACTGAGTCCTCTGCCTTCGCAGTGGACCTCACCATCTCCAAGCTGACCCATTGCTGTCACACCCGTCCTCTTGTGGTTTTTCTTTTTTTCTTTCCTTCCTCCTTCTTAGTGCCAACTATACTGGCCCTCAGAAATCTCAGAAAAATAAACTCAGGAGGTGAAAAGTTGACTTAGTTTCTTGGTGTTTTTGTTTTCTGGCAGGCGGTGAGGAAGCAGTAAAGGAGGAGTTTGGTGTCTTTTTTTGTTCTTTTTTTCTTCTTCTGACGTCAAACGAATGATGAAAATCCTGCTATTGGAGCCCGGGAGCCAGGGGCCAGGCTGCTCGGGGGACGGTAGAGGGTGCTTTGCTGACTTGGGGGGTTAGGGGGGTTCTGGGGCGTTGGAGTCCGACTGGCCTTGGGCCGAAAGAGGCTCCCTTGCTGGGCGCTGTTGCTGTTGGCCACAGTGGCGTGGTCCGGCTCCCCAGAGTCGCTCTCTGTGTAGCTGTAAGCCTGGGCCCGCGAGATGCCTTTCTGCTGGCGTCGCCAGGAGTTGTAATAGGTGGGGTCACTGATGTAGTGGTTGACAAAGGAGTGGGCCTTCTGGGGATTCGGGTCCACCTCGTACTCACTGTCACTTCCCTGTGAGGGCAGAGAATCGCGGTGTTAGTAGCATTGAGGGAACAGGGCTAGAAGGTCAGGGCTAGAAGACACAGAGCAGCTGGCTCTGAACTCTGCTCTGCCCCCTACAGGGGGAACGTGTCAGCACCCTCATTGCTGAGCCGTCACAGGGCCCTTCAGGTCCACTTCCTGCTTCCTTGGGAGCATAGTCTGGGTGGACACAGAGCTGGTAGATACAGGCGTCCTTCTTCTCCATGGTGATGTATTCCAAGACCCAATGGGTGTCCAAAAACTCTCCATATACTATCTTTCTCCCCCATACAATAATAGTCTAATAAAAGTACAATTATAACAACATACTATAATGCAAACTATGTGACTGCACTATAATGCAAACTATAATGCAAACTCTGTTTATTTCTGAAAATTTTCATCAAATATTTTTGGGCCATAATTAACCGCAGGTAAGTGAAACCACAGAAAGCAAAACCTCGAATGGGGGCTGGGGTGACAGTACCTGATGCACCTGGAAGACCAGAATTCCATCGTTTTTTTCCCCCCAATGGAGGAGAAATTCACGTAATATAAAGTCATTCACTTTAAAGTACACAATTCAGTGGAATCCAATATGGTTTCAGTGTTGTGTAATCATCATTTCTATCTAGCTCAAAATGTTTTCATCGCCCCAAACTGAAACCCTGAACCCAAAAAGCATTATCTCCCCGCTACCCTTGTCCCTCTGAAACCACAAATGTTTTCTGTTCTCGGGGATTTACCTAGTTTGGATATTTCCTATGAATGGAGTTATATAATATGTCACCTGGGTCTGGCCTCTCTGACTGAATGCAATGTTTTCAAGGCTCTTCCCAATGCACTGCATTCAATTTGGGTCCAGCATGACTCACTTGGTGACAGGGGACAATGCCAGCACCAAATGAGTCTTCTGGAAGCTCCAGGCAGTGAAAAATGCGGGTGCCTACTTACGAATGATCCAAAAGAAAAGCAACACTCACCAATAAAAAAAGCATGCAAAATACCGATAGAAGGTCTTAGCTTTCAAGCGATAACAACTCTGAAGCTTCTCTTTTTCCCAGAAATACAAAATATTAAATTATTCTTAAAATACTTTTGATACTCTAGGGTGCTAGGCACAGGCACCATCTGCCTCTAGGAAGAAGAGTTTGAGACAAGAGCCAAGCTGGGTTGTAAAGTAAAATATGAATTATGGAACCAAAAATATCACAACCATCCCCCCACCCCAAGCTCTCAGCAGTGTTTTGAGAACTAAAAAGATGACAGATGGGAACACTCTGGAACACACAGCTCAGAGGTTAGTGACCAGCATACTCCATGAAATGCCATTCAGGAGGCCTCATGCAGGTGTCTTGATTCCTGTACTCTTTACCCTCGCCCAGTGATGCCCCCGCCTGGGGCAGTCAGCCACTCAGATCAACCTTGGGTAAGAAAAAAGCGAGGAAATCCACTTAGTCCAACACAAGTGAGTCTGTCGTGATGCGCCGTGTCCTGCTTTGCAGATAGAGCTACTGGAATGGTGATCTTCGCCCCCAGAGGGCCCAAGCCATGGAACATGAAATGCACAATTTTTTCTCAGGGACTCAAAGTCTTCCGCAGCTTCCAGACCCTCAAGAGACATGGCTGCGCTGTACAGAATTGGAATGATGCAGATTCTGCTACTTGTGTTTCTGTAACTAGTCTCCACCCCTCTGTGCTGTAGCTGCTGTGGCTGTACGGGTGCTGTGGGAATGGCGCTGCTCCCTGAGTCCTGAGATTGCCTGAGCAGGAGGTTGCCTGAATACAGATGCTGCTAACAGTGCCTGAGTGCTGAATGAAGAGAACCCTGGAGTTTGGTCCAGACAGCAGTCTAGATAGGCCTCAGCTCAGTTCTGCATGAATGCTCCTATTGCCTACACCTCTGTCTGGAGGTCGTAACATGGAAATGAGAGCTCCTTTCTCTTCTCCTAGAGGGGCTTACACATGCCTCAGCCCATCTGCCAATGTATGTTAGCCCCTCCCCTTCTCCTTGTCCCTTCAGCCCCCACCTCAGCAGACTTCTCCCCTAGAAGGGCAGAGCCCACTGCCAAGACAATGTTCAGCCTCTCAGCCCTGTGGCCCAGGAGACAAAGAAGCACAGGACAGCCCTTTTCTTTGCCTATAGCCAAGCTGCCAGCCTGGGAAGACAAAAGGGACCCGAAGGTGGGAGGGCCCCATCTGCTGAGGTGATACCTGATCCCCAGCTAGTGGGAGTGTGTCATTAAGGTAGGGAGGAGAGGCAGGAGGGTCTGAGAGTATGGGGGCACTGCAGCTGGGCGTGGTGGTGTAGGTCTGTCATCCCAGCACTCAGGAGGGTGAGACGGGAGGATCATTGTGAGTTCAAGACCAGCCTGAGCTACAAAGTGAGCTCAAGACCAACCTGAACTGCCTAGTGAGATCCTGTCTCAAAAAGACCAAAAAAAAAAAGTGTACCACACAGCTTTCCTTACAGGTTAGGTCTCTCCGCCTACTCCCTGGCTTGAACAGTGGCTAGAAGCTTCTCCAGAGGGTCTAGGAGTTCCGCTGTCCCAGGCCCCAGCCCTGGAAAGTCCCTGCCACTGGGGGTTGCTCTGCAGTGAACAGCCCTGTGCATTGCTGGCTTTTGCGGTGAGGTGAGTTGGACCCATCACTCTGGCTCTTGAAAGGAAGCTTAGTGTGCTGTACAAGGTGGATCACAGCTCACAGGGAAGAACTCAGGGGGAGGGCCCAGCAGCATTGGTGGGAGGGAGCAGACCTGCAGGCAGAGACTCAAAGTATCCCTGGGAGAGATCAGAAGGGGTAGAGAGGTGGGGGGTTCAGACTGCTGGAAAAGGGGAGAAGGTCCAGCTCTTGTCCCTAACCCCTCTGTAATATTTGGGGCAGGGTGGGGTCTCTCTGGTCTTCCTGGAGGCCCAGGTCCCAAAGCTCATTCATCCAAATCACCACAACCAGCAGCCACTGTCCACTGCATGCTTACTGGGTGCTGGGCACTCTGTGGGGCAGTGGTCCTGATGGGGATGGGAAAGGCAAAGCCCCAGGGTGGGCAGGGGCTGGAGTGTCTGGGTTGTCCCCTCCCCCAGCTCCGCAAGGCTGGCCGAGGTGGAGCCTGGTGTCTGCATGGTCCTCAGTCCCTGAACATCTGTTTCTTTTCAGGGTGGGGGGTGGGGTGAGAAGAAAGAGCTAAGGGGAACCAGGGGCTCCTATTGCAGCTTTCAACTGGCAGGGCTCAGGGTAATTGAACACAGCTTCCCAGGAACAGGTCCAGAACAAAGGAGGCCTTTCAGGGGCGTCCTAGCCAGGCCATCAAGCGACTGCTTCAGTTCCTGGGCCCCTTAACAGCTCCTCAAAGCCACTCAGTCAGCAATTACGGGCAGTGGGGAGGGGGCGTGCAGACTGCAGGCCTGGGATGGGACAGGGGAGGGGGCTAGAAGGAGGGAGGACCCCAGAGAAAAGACTGAAACAAAAAAGAGGAACAAAGCCAAGCCCCCTCGCTTTGCTGTTCACCTTCTGCGCCAGACTCAGCCAGTGAGGGTGGGAGTGGGGAGCAGCTCAACGATCAGGAGCAGTGCTGAGCCCTGGGCCAGACAGGGGCCCTGTATCTAGTTGAATTTCATGAAGTCTGGCAGGAAGGCGTTGCCCCAGATGGTAGAGACACTGCCCTAGGCAGGTCCTTTAGAGACTGAAGGCCAAACTCCCTCGCTTATCTGTGTATCCCGGGGTTCTGTCTACCTGGCTCTGCCCTTTGGGTATCCCAAGCCTGCACTCACCTTCTGCAGGGGCTGCAGTGTCTGAGGGGTTAGAGCTATGGGACCGAGTTGCATCTCCCAGGTGGCTTTAAAGGATTTCACAGAATGTCTCCTGGAGGAACAAATTTGTCCCTCCTCACTGTGGGCTCCCTATGCTAAAACCACTAGAAACCACCCAGGAATTGTTCCTCGTAAAATGTCAGCTCAGACACAAGGCCACATGTGCTACCTTTGACTTTATGCCACCCAGCCGCTGTCAGAGATGCCTGGGGTCAAGGGCTTCAAAGGGAGGACCCTAGGGTGGGTTTGGGGTGAGTGAAGGACTCTGTCCTATAAATCCCTGTCATGCTGGGCAACTGGGCGACACCAGGCTGTGGGGGACTCTGCCCTCTGAGCCAGCAGAATCTACACCAAGCCCCGGTCACCTGCTCTTCTGAACTCTGTGACCAAGGGCACACTGCTTGACTCCTCTGAGCCTCAGTTTTTTCCTGGTCATAAGATGGGGATCATTTCACTCAAGGTGGGGTGCTCCTACGTTACGTGGAAACACGGCACAGCTGTGCAGTAGGCAGCTCTGCCTGCCCCGCCTTCCCTAGCTCCTGTCAGCTCTTCCTTTAGCACAGCTGGGTCTGTCAAAGTCCATGTGGGTCAGGCCGAGGGCAAGAGGAAGCCAAGGCCTTGGCTGAGCCTACTGACTGGTGCCCTACCCCGATGGGCAAGAGGCAACTCAGATACCACATCAGAGACTCTTAGCCCAGAAGGGCACTACAGGCAGGACCACCATTCTTTTTTTTTTTTAGGAACACCATTCTGACACAAGGCCACAGGTCTTTCTGTGCCTGGTCTGGCCCTGTTCACATCAAACACATGCTGCCTCCTCCAGGCAGTCCCCTGCGTGCTTTGGGGTGGACACAGGTGTGGAATGGCCTTTCTCCCAGGATTCCTCACCGTACCTCCCCTGCCCCACAGCACAGGAAACAGAAAGACCTTTATGCACCACTCTCCTGCCCAAGCCAGTCACTGTGGTTCCACGACATTTTCATGAGAAAGGAATGGAGATTCTGCTTTGCCCACTATGGAAGCCACCACTCGCAAATTGTGCCTTCAGTGGTGTGGACTAATACTTGCCAAGGAAGTGCAGGAAGGTGGGAATGAATGAATGAATGAATGAGTGAATGGATGGATGAATCCCGCAGAGAGCAAAGCCAGCACTTATTCCTCCTGGGGCCTGATTGTGTGGTGTGCAGCAGGGATGTCGGGCAGATGTGACAGGAGCCCCCCCGGCTCGTGGGGGCTCCCTACTCCCTCTCTCTCGGGGCTTTAAGTCGAGTCCCCAGCAATCCCTGGCACCCATACTGGCTCCTCGTAAGCGCTCCATGCACTCGTGTGTAAAATATGATCTCTCCTGAATGCTTCTTTCTTACTTTCTCCAACAGGTTTAATTCTATCATAAAGAGCTCGTCTTTGGTGCTGCCAAGAACCAAATATCAAGATTGGGGGACGGGTGCACGGGCTTGGCATTCTTCTTCATTGAGATTTATTTGTGTGCTAAGTACACATATTTTTTTCCTAACAAACTCTAGCTGTTATTTTGAAAATGGATCTGGAATGCAGCCATACTGCATTTTTAGAAGTTTCATCAAGCAAGCCACAGGCGCTTAAATGGCTTCTTTGGGTGTGCTGTGCTCTACCTGCAGCTCCCTTCTGCATCCTAGAGGCACAGGTCTGGACTGCCCCACTGTGCCTTGGTGAGGGCAGCTCCTCACCCTCCAGCCCTCCACCCACAGCCCCACCGAGGCTTCTCCAGGCCCCACATGAGTGTTTGTTTGTAAGTCAGACTGACTTTCTGTTTATTACCATATCACAGGAAAGCAGCTGGGAAGATTTCCATTAGTTTTGGAGAGGGAGATTTGGGTGGTCTGACTTAGAATATAAACCAGGCAGCTTGTGCAGAGCTCATCCTCAGAAGAGCTGGCGGGGTGGGGGCTTCAAGATGATGGGCTCCGATTTCGATTTCTTGCAAAGCCACTGAAACCTAAGGCAAAATGGTGCTTAACCATTTTGGGACCTACAAGACATCTAGGGGCAATATCAGTTTCCACCAGCCAAATGACAGTCACAATGGTGGATGCACCACACTCTTGACACAGTGGCCTTGCAACAGCGAGCTGTGGCGGGTCTGGTTATTCGTGTTTGGAACTAGGTGTGGGAAGAGGCCCAATGCCCTGTCTCCTGATCTGTCCTCTCCAGCTCACCGATGCTCCTGGGAGACAGGGCCATGTCTCACCACCTCTAGGTCTTAAGACTGAGCTTAGAGTGTGAGTGTTGAGGCTGGGTGTGGCTCAGTGGTAGCACACTTGCTTCGATGTGGAAGGCCATGGGTCCTGTCCATGGCACCAGCACCCCCTCATAAAAAGAAAGTAAAAGGCAATGTGCTTTGGGGAGCAGTCAGCATGTGCCCTCCCTAGGCATCCATTGGCAGTGCTGCCCCTTGGACACCAGCTCTCTCTGACCATCTGAGGCAGGAGGATAGAGAACAGCAGGCTGGTCAAGTCAAGGTCCTGTCTGCCCTTCCATATGCCATAGCTGCAGAGCTGTCTTCCTGGGGTCCCCTGGAAACCCTTAGGGGTTCAGGATGGTGGCTATTTACCAGCAGCTATGCAAACAATTTAACTTTTTTTTTTTTTGGTAGTACTGGGCATTGAACCCAGGGTCTTTATATTGGGCTTCACACCCAATCGTTTTTATTTAGAGACAAGGGCTCACTAAGGCACTCACTTGCCTAGTGTGGGCTTGAACTTATGATTCCTCTGCCTCATCTTCCCAGCATAGGAGACAGTCTAACATTTTAACAGTGGGTACTGAGCATAGCAGGAAATGGCAGGGCAGGGTGGGGAGGACCATGCTGACGTTCTTGCTATCTTCCAGCTGCTTCCATCCCTGAGCTGCAGTGCTTTGGGAACAACCTGCTGGAACCTGGACTGGCTATGGTGGACCTCATGCCAAGAGTCTGGTTCTCAAGAACAAGAGCAGGGGAAAGAGAATCCAAAGCATCCCAGTGTTTTTTCCAGAGGCAGCCCTGCCAGCTCCACCTTATAAATCATTGTTTCACTGACGGCAGTGGCACAGCCTATAGTTCTCAAATTTGGGAGGCTGAAGCAGGAGGATCACGTGAGCGCAGGAGTTAAAGGCCAGCCTAAGAAATACAATGAGACCTTGTCTCTGGCCAACAGTGACCACAAGATTGTTGCTCCATCCTGGAAAACCTGTACTTGGTCTTGAGTCTTTTTTGCTGGTCAGCTTCATGGCCTTTTCTTTGAACAACAATGTATACAGTGCACAAATCCCAAGCAGTGCTGGAGACACCCTGGAGCCCCCAGTGGCGTCCAACAGCCAACACAACCAGATTAAAACTGTCACTGCCTCCTGCCTCCTTGGAACTCAGCTTTCAGAGCAAATAAACAGGACCTGACCCTCCTGAGCCCCCGCCCAAGTCCTGAACTGCCCCCAGCTCTGTGGGCAGGACCCCTGAGCCTGGCCTGAGTCAAGTGATCCTGCTGTGACCACCATCTTCCAGATCCTGGAGCCTCCTCTCTCTAGGGCTGTGCTCCTGGGGAGTGACTGGTGCCAGGTTTCTATGGAAACCCTGTGTAAGGGATGGGTTTGTTCTGCATAAGCCAGACCACATGCTGAGCCAGAATATTCCAGATTCCAGGCACTGCCTGCCCACCCTGGGGTAACTTCTGACTCAAAAGGTCTTGAACACAAGGACTTTTCTCCCAGCAACTTCTGTAGTTAAGGGTGGGAGGCTGCTGCATGACCTCCTGTTACTGGTCTGCTTTGCATCCTGGGAGGCTTGTCCAGGCTCAGGCAGACACGATGACCCAGAGCTCTTGAGATACCTGGGCAAGATCTCCTAGCTTCAGAGAACCCACTCCCCAAAGGTTAGCACTCAGTGAGGTTGGACTAATTAGCAGAAGACCAAGGGCCACCGAATAGAGCCACACAGCAAGTCCCTCCCACTGGTTGTCTTAAGAAGCCCAGAGCTGCTGCTCCATGGGCAGACAGGTCCCTTTATCCTTTTCAAATCTACACTGAGTGCCTGGAATCCAAATGCTCGTTGCAGCTTTGGGGGACCCAGGCTGCTATGGACTACCCCGGTAAGATCCCGATATGCATTGTGCACGGCTGCTCAGGGTTAAACACTCAAAATAAGGCACTACAGCCTGAGTTGCAGGAGCTCAGAGTAGCTTTGTCCCCATAGAGTACCTGGGTAAGCCAGGCTAAGCTGGGCTCGCAGTCCCTGCAGCTGTGACTCTGGAGGTAGGCGGAGTTTTCTTAGCTCTGCCATGCCCATCAGTAACCCCACAGCTGAACAAAAGAGCAGCGAGCCAGGGGCCTGGTCAATGGGCTGTAACTGGGCCCCAGGCTTCCCGGCACCTCTTCCTTTTGTCCTTCTCCCAGGACCAGGCAGAAAGGTCTAGGCATGGGAGGCAGTGGCCTTTCATGGCCCTTTCTTCAGGAACCACGAGGCTTGGCACAGGCTGAACGTGCAGGGGTGGGAGGCCGACACATCCTGTGGCTGGAAGGCACTCGGCCCTGCTGCCCACAGCGTGAGACTGCGCCCCTGCCTGCCTTGTGCAGGGCAGCTCTACGGCTCTGTCTTCCAGAGGCACGGACCCCTTTTCATAGAAAAGCCAACACTGATGGAATGACCGTGGGTGCCTGCACCAGGCCTGAGCCTAATCTCAGTGAAGTCTCCCCACAGTCCTGTGAGAGCACTTGGGACCACCACCACCTGTTCTACCTACAGGTGGGGACACTGAGGCTTAGAGATGTTTCCCTAGCATATACAGGAGGCCCCCTTAGAAGCAGCAGAGTTAGTGCCCCAACTCAGGATCTGACTTCTAGAGCAAAACACTATGATGATTCTATACTGTGCCCCAAGCTCAGCGGCCCTGGCCCTCTGTGCCTGTAGCTCCTCTGACCCCTGAGTAGCTGAGCCCAGTAGCTCTCTAGGCCCCCACTGTAGACTCTCTCTCTCTCTCTCTCTCTCTCTCTCTCTCTCTCTCTCTCTCTTTCTCTCCTCGCCTTTAGCATACTTCTTTGCAAGCCAAGACTACTGAGAAACCAGGCAGGGGGTGACTCTGGCAGGCTCAGGGGACCATGGTTTTGGGGACTTCATGGGATCCAGACCCCTCTAACCCTGCAGGCAAAATCTGAGAACTTGGAGAGAGGCAGCTGACCCATAATGACTTCTGGATAGTATCATGGGTCCCCTTAGATCTAGATAGGGAAGGAAAGAGGAAGGAAGGAGCGTCTGCCTTGCAAGTATGCGGTCATGAGTTCGATCCCTGGTACCAATAAAAATGAAAAAGACAAAAAAGAAAAAAAAAGAGGAAGGAAGGAGGCAGGAAAGCATGGACACAGGCAGGCAGGAAGGGAGAAAGGCTATGAGATGGGCCACTTGTAGGCCTGGTGGCCAGAGACCCCTTTGTTGTGTGCTCTGGAGGGGCTGCTCCCCTGCCCTGTCCAAAGTGCCTGCCCCTCTTGTTCCTCACCTGAGAGTCTGAGATTTCCGAGGGCTTCTCAGTCAGACTGCTGCTCTCGGCTGGGATGAGGTCATTATACTTGGTGACATCCTCATCGGAGTAGTGGAGGCTTCCAGGGCTGGGCCGTGGAGGGGACCTGCAAGGAGCGGGACTGTGGAGCTGAGCGAGGACCTCTCTCAGGGCAGCCTCTCCTGGCCAGGGAGCGAACAGTGAGACGGGAGGAACACAGGGACACAGCACCTCCACTTCAGGTTCCTCCTTGTTCCCGGGCTGTGCTCCATAGGCTGGGGCCTTGCGGGGAGATGGTCCCTGTGGCCAGTTTCAGGCCTCTGGAGCCTGGGGTTAGTTTGGTGTGAACAAGATTTCTGTGTATCACAGGGGATTGTGGGGCTAAGAGGGGCCTCAGTGTGTATGTACCATGGGCTGGAAGGCGGGGAGGGCAGGGGAAGGTGAGGCCATCGGTGAAATGCCCCTTGTTCCATGTGGCAGGGGCTTGGAGCCAGCCTGGCGGGTTGCTGTGGCCCTGCTCGGCCCCAAACAGCGCTGGGTTTGGCGAGGGATGAGAGCCTGTAAGCCCCTCCCTCCCCTCCCTGTGAGCACACAGGGTTCCCACCCTTCAAAGCAGACAGAGAGAGGCTTTGTGAGCTCCCCCAAGAGAGGCTGGCTCCCCTCCTGGCTGCCTGCAAAGGGCCTGGAATGTCAATAGGGCTGAGGATGGAGACAGGAGCCCCTCTGGCTATAGCCTCTAACCTCTCCTGAGCTCTCAGGAATGTGAAGTCCAATCAACAGAGAGCCAGGGGAACCCCAGCACCCCTACCTCTGTGACCACGAGGAGGGGGGCCTAGGAGTGGCTAGGGTTAGAAAAAAGCTATCCATGGGGCTGAGGATTTAGCTCAGCGGTATAAGTACCTGCCTTGCAAGCAGGCGGTAGTGAGTTTGATCCCCGGTACCGATTTAAAAAAAAAAAAAAAAAAAGAAAAAAGCTGTCCAGGATGGGGAGGGCATAAGCAATCCTGGAGGAGCTCCTGGGACCTTGCCCTGAGGTGTAGGTGCCCACTGTGCTTTGGCTGGGCCCATCTCACCTCTGGGGCACAAGACCACCTGCAGACCTATGATGAGGGCAACTGGCTCCACACAGCACCAGGCTGGCTTGCAAAATTTTCCAAGTCATTTGCATTCTGCTGCTGTGGGCAGAGATCCAAGGACCCACCTCCCTGTGAGTCTTCTGGCATGTCTCGGGCCATGGTCAGCCTGGAGGGATCAGTGCAGGCTTCGGATGGTGCTGCTTGGGTCCTGCAACGGCTTTCTGCCAATCGTCCCCAGTCCTGAGCATCTCAAATGCTGCTCCCAGGACAGGGAAGGCCAAGTGGACCTTGCCTGCTCTGTGGCCCTCCTGTGTCCTCCATAAGCTGGCACTGCTAGACCCCGGGACCTGGTCCCTAAGCACCCATCCTTGGGCCTTGTGCTGAACGCACTTACCTAGTGTACAAGCCATTTTTCCGGCAGAAGGAGTTCTTGACAGACAGCCTCCGGTTGTTGAGTTCCAGGGCTGGGAAACTGCTCTCATCCAAGCTCATCATTTCCCCGTGACCTAGGCCTCCGGACTTGGCACTACTCCCTGAGGGGGGAAACTGACACCCTTTAGATATCATGGTCTCCCCCGTCCCCACCCATTCCCCCCTTGGCTGGGCTGCCCTATTCCTTTCGTTAAGAGTTGAGACAAGAGGCCAGGATCACACGTAGGAACCTGATGCTGCCCCTAATGGGCAGGTGCATCGTCCGAAGATCGACCTGCCCACCCTCTGCCCTGACCAACGGGAGATATGGGAAAGCCAAGTCCGGCTAGACAGCTGGGTGCCAGCGCACTCACCGGAGTCTGTCTTCTTGGTGTACTTTTTGCTCTGGCCCCGGATGATGAGCACGAAGACCAGAAGCAGGATGAAGATGAGACCCACAAGGGCAACAACTACCAGGAACCACCACTCCTCGTAGAAGGGGCTGGCCTTCTGGGCTGGACACAGATGCAGGCATCAGGCCTGGGGCGCACGAGCACTCCTGCCTCCAACCCCCTGCTCTGGCTGGGCCCCACGCCTCACTCATGCAGTTTGTGGTAGGCAGGGTCTGTGCCCTCTGAACGACAAGAAACCTATACCGGGGCTCGGGGATGGTTTCAGCTCGAGTCCCAGCTCTGATCTATTGGCCAAAGACTGCCTGGAGGACTCTCTTTGTTTTTGTGGTTTGGTTTTATTTGAGACAGGATCTCACTATGGAGTCCAGGCTGACCTGGAAATGACAGTGATCCTCTACCTCCACCTCCCAAGTGCTGGGATTATGGGCATGTGTCCAGCAAGGACTGTTTTGGGGAAAGGCTCTGAGGTTGCTCCTGGACTCACTGAGATGAATGCTACGAGATGGGACACAGGCCAAGGGGCGCAGCAGTGTGCTAGCTACCATTTTCTCCACGCAAGGGGAGAAAAAGGCTTTGATAAACACACCCAAATCTGTGTGGCGAGAGGTGTTTTCTGGCTCCGTGGGGGCCTGGGGAAGCTTTTCCCAAGGCTCAGTTTGCACTGATTTTTTTCTCCCTTGGTGGCAGAAAGCAGGGGGAATTGGAAGGGCTTGCCTGGGGGGTCTCAGAAGGCCTTCGCCAGAGAGGGATCCCCTTTTTGCAAGCCCCCCAGTACTGTGCTTTCTGTATCTCCCCAGGGGTAACTACATTGCTGCTCTTGGATTTTAGTCTTAGCCTATTTCTTTTTGGGCAAATGAGCAGGTGTGTGAGTAGAGAGGAGACAGGGTCCCTGGTGGTCTTTTAGCCGGCAGAAATTCTGAATTGTATTTCTGACTGCAGGAAATTAGCCTTAGCATTTAAAATGGATAGTAATTACAGTTGGGTCATGAAAGTAGGTCCGAGAGTTCTGTGAACCACAAGACATGCTGCATGGGAAGAATGAGGAGAGGAGAAAGGGGATAGAGAGGCGGGGAGCTACTGCACCCAAGTACTGTGTAGTTAGCTCTAAGAGGGCGGCCTGTCCCCCACAGAATGCTGACCCTGTTTGCTTTGCCTGGAGCTGGCAACTTTGAACCAGCTGGGTGGTGAGCTCATGGAAACGCCCCTTGTGGGTTCATTGTTCTGCCTTTACCCAGGCTGTTACATCCTGAGAAAGAGACCCCAAGGCTCCAAGGACCCCCAGCTTTCCCTGAACTTAGGAGCTGATGCAGGTCCTGGCTCAGAGCTCCCTGCTTTGTGGAATTAAGGGGACAGTCTACTTTGGTGGCCACCCCACTGTTCCTGTGCCTTGGTGACTCTTCTTCCACTACTACCCACCCTGGGGAGTTCCTTATCCCACAAACTAGTACCTGGCACAGACTGGGAGGGGCTGCTGGGGGTGCCAAAGCCGTAATCGTTGACTGCGATGACCCGGAAGTCATAGCTTACGCCTGGCTTCAAGATGTCCATACTGAAGGTGTAGGAGCTCACTTCTTTAGGGATGTCTTTGATGAGGATGTCCCAGAGTCCCTCATCTGCAAAGGCACAGAGGGGAGAGAGCAGTGAGGTGAAATAGAACCTTAAATCCCTCTTCAACCCAATCTCACTAGTCACTCCCAGAGGGCACAGCCTGTCTGGCCTCCCCAGTTCAATACTCTGTCCGGTGTTTGGTGTGCAGCACTTAGAATGAGCTCATAGGTCCCCCCCCCAACAGTATGCGCTCAAAGGTGTCACCCAGTAGCCAGTGAGTCCCCCAGGCAAGGGGCCCAAAGGCCCCTAACCTCTAACAGAATCACCAAGGACCACCTCTGGCTTCACCCTCTCAGACCCATTCTTTCTGTCCGCCCCTGACTCCTTCCCAGAAAAACCGATGGCCAGGACTCTGGTTCCCCAGCTCCAGCATGAGCTCCCGAGGCTGATGGGTTTCACTGGTCTTCCTCACTGTGTATTTTTGCAGATACAACTTGTAAGTCCAAATGTAACCAGTGGTGCCACCACTGTCCTATTGTCACTTCTGCATTTACACCAAGAGTGTGACAGGACCTGAAGATGGCTGTCTGTCCCCATCACGGGAGACCTTGTCAATTTGGGGAAGGCCATGGGGCCCATCTGTGTCCAGAGCTGTCTTCACTGAGGGCCCCTGGGTCACGAGCTTTGACTTCATTTGGGTCTTTCATTCTTTCCACACTGGCCTCGTACACACCCTCTTTTTCGTTTAATGTCTCTCTTCTTCCTTTCTCTCCTGCTAGGTTGTGAAATCCCTCAAGGAACCTTGCCCAGTCTGTCTCTGTACAAATTGCCTTCTACGCATTTGTTGAATGATTGCAGACCTTTCCCCTTTCCATAGGACACAGTGTCCAATTTCAGTGCTTCATATCTTGAAGTGTAAGTACTGAGTGGGAACCACGTTCCTTGTGTGGCTTTGTGTGCTCTTTCTTACCTCGGAGTCACTTGCCAGGCTATGATGATGGCTGTGTGTCAGGGACACGAATCCCTTTGTCCTGCATCCCGGGTCTGTCTCTTTCCTTTCCATGTTTACCAGTGAGGGCCTGGCTCATCTTTCCATGGAGGGCAGAGCCCGTCTTCTCTCCAGAGTTGTCTAACCCTTGCCACTGAACTTCCCCTGAGTAGCCAGAACAGTGCCACGAGCAACTAGAAGAAACTGTTGTTTGCTGACAGGCTTGGTTCGTGGAGAACCATTCTGCTGGCTCCCAAAAGCTGAGACCTCCTGCCTGCTGTTTACCTCTTCTTGATCAACTGCACACAGAGACAACTGGGGCCAGGGTCACGTGGCCAGGCCAGGAGCCACTGGAGGGTCCTGCTGTGGCCCTGGCCCTGGGCCCTGGGAGCTGGTTGATGTGCAGGGCCAGTTCCACAGGCCTGTAAATCCCCGGGGTGAATTCTTCCTGAGTCTGCTGTGCCTGGCAACTCTGTGGCTTATGGAAATCAGATGTGTTTAGCTTATTCTGGGCAGTAGGAGGCATAAACAACACCGGAGCAGTGTTCACCAGGGCTACTGTGTCTTGCAGATGGGAGGTGTAAGTGTAGAGGGAGCACAGAGCAGGGGCAAGAGGCATGGAGGAAAGGAGACCCTCTCCCAGAGCAGGAGCCTGCCCTCCGACCATTTCAGAGCGAGGCCCCAGCATTCCCTGGCTCTTCTCATTCCTCACAGCCCGTGGCCCTGTCAGGGGAGGTGGTGACGGAGTCGCTGCCAGCTCTCTGCACAGCTCAGCCCAGCCTCGTTCCTTCCTTCTGTGCTCAGTTTTGAATTCCACCTGTGTAGACCAAGACATGGTCTCTAACCTTGGAACACCAGAGCTTCACGCTGGGCCTCCTAGTGAACACTGGAAAATCAACAGGCCTGAGGCCAGGACCAAAATTCCACAGCTTGGCCACAAGTTGGCAACTTGGGTGGAAGAAAGAGGTGTGGGTTCTGATTGGGAGAAGAATCGGGGGTCTCCTAGCCAACTTGGCAGCTGGCAATGGAGGGCCAAGGAGGGACCATCTGGAGTGGGGACTGAGCCAGAGTTATGGGCCACACGGTGACCCAGAGCTGCTAGATGCACTAGCTATTTGCAAATGCAACTATTAGCAGGTGACTAAGGCAATCGTGGCAGTTTCCAGAAGCTACTAGTATTATTAACTCTTTGCTATTGGCGTAATCAGCACCTGGTTACCTCATGATATGAACAGTTTGTCACGGGGATGTTTCAATATGCCCTGCAAGGAGAATTGGCTACTGACTGCTTCTCGGTTATGATTAATATTTGTTATTGGGGTCACTGTGTCCAAGTCTTGTTTTTCTTTTATCAACTTTAATCACCTCATCTGAGACCCACAGAATACAAAGAAGCCTGCAGCCCTGGCTGACTCTGGCACCTCTGATCAACTGGGAAACCTAGCAACAGGGAGCTAGGGCTCCTTTGAGTAAGTAGAGCCCAGGAAGCAGGTGTCAGGATGTCTGAAACACGATCGAAGAGCAGCCCCCTCCAGCCAGTTATCAGCTGCTCATCTGATGGCTTCAGAAGTCCTTGTGATTCGATTTCAAGGCTGACAGCAGAGGTTGGTACAATTACAAGAACTTTGGGGCTGTGGCGGCACAGACAGAGCTGCAGGAGGCAGCTGGGGCTCCTTAGTTATGTGGCACATGGCGGTGGGGTCGTGCAGAGGACACGGATGTTTAACAGCAGCGTGAGCCCAACCTCTCCTCTGGCTTCTCGAAGGATCCTCCACTGGAGCTGGTGCTGAGTCGTCGGGTTCTCTTGCGGCCTCCTGGCTGCTCCTTAAGCGAGAGTGCGGCTAGGAGAAGGTGCCCTCAGTTGCCCACTTCCCAACAGCGCCGCCTCTAGCTTCACTTTGGCAGTAAAGTCACTTCTCACGAGCCCCGTGCAAAGGGACTCGGGAAGGAGGCAGTGTCGCACCTGAAGGCCGGGCCTCTATGACGTATCGGGTGATGGGCCCCTTGCCAGGGTCTCCGCTGGACCAGTGGATGGCGATGGCAGAGCTGTAGCGCACGATGATCGGCACTCCTGGTGGTCCCGGGGCACCTGCAAAACCACACACAGTGGGCAAGGGGTGTAGGGGCTCAGACTGGCAACCCAGCCTGTCAACCAGTGTTCAAGAAGGGCGACGGGGTAGCCAAAGAAATTCCAGCCAAACAGCCTCCAGGACCCCCTGATCGTACTGGGGTCTGAGAAGCCTGAAAGGTCCTCAACTTCTCTGGTACGTGATAGTGACAGATAGTGACAGATAGTGACAACCACTCCATCTCCTGCTGGAAGTCTCCCTGCCCCAACTATACTTGCTGTTAGGTTAGGAGAGGAGAGAGCAGGCCCCAGGAAGCCTTGGTGGGAAGAGGAAGAAAGGGGAATGGGGGAGGGTCTGGCTGCCTGCCAGCAGCTCTTCTATGTCCAGCTAGCAGCCTGGGATGGTGGCCAGCGGGGAACAGGGTAGGAGACAGGAGGTTGCTTCTGTGGCTAGAGTAGTGAGCCAGGTGTCTGTTTTGCAGAGAAGCCCCCTCTCTGCAAAACCCTTGCCAGTGCAGGCCCGGTGCCTGTCCTCTGGGCTTCGGCTGTGCCTGAGCCTCCATCCTGTGTGCAATCACCTACAAGCCCGTTTCCCCCTAGACAGGGAGCTCAGCATCCCCAGAGCCTAGCACCCTTCCTATGTGCTTGTGAGAGAGGGAACGAGCCAGTGTGCGAGTGAGCTGTGGTCCCTGTGGATACCTGCGGGAAACCAGCCAGGAAGGAAGTCCACTATTAACACTGAAGCTCCTCTGGGACCCTGGAGAACTGGTCAGCTGGGACAGGAAGGAAAGGACTGGTCACATATGGGGCAGCCCACAGCCGGGCCTCTGCGTCCAGGTCTGACCCTGTGAGTCTGTGACACTGTGACCCTACAGTTATTTTTTTCCTTCCTTCCTCCTACAAGAAACATTCAGCTCAAGGGAGGGGGCTATGGCCTGGAAGAGGGGAAAAGGACCTGAGTTCTTGCTCTGCATGGGGCAGTGCTCAGGGCTCAGGGAGGGGCTCACATCCGCCTGCTGGGAGGGGCAGGGGCACCTGGCTTTATGTTCTCCACCTGAAAGCCCCTCCTTGCCCACATGGTCAGGGCCAGGTTGATTCTTTCTCAGTGCCCATCCAAGCAGTGCTCCTGCTTCCACTTCCTGCCCTCCCTCAGCCCGGGACACTTTAAGCCTTAAGTTGGAACAGTGTGTCCTCCAGATCGTCCTCTCCTGTGCCCAATGGCCCTCCCGTGGCCAGCCAGCTCTTCCTGCTTTTGTTTCCCAGGGCAGTCTTAGGTGAGAAGCAGTGGGGTAGGGCTGGGCAGGTGAAGGACAGAGCCAGGCAGCTCCTGGCAGGCTGTCTTTGTGTCCTGTGATTCTGTTCTCAGGGTGGTTGGGATCAGATGAGTTTCTTCCTAGAACAAGGGTGGGGCGGGAGAGAAAGTGGCCAGGAAGGGAAAGTGAAGAGTGGCCGCTGGCAGCTAGGAGGCCAGGAGGTTCTGCTCTGCAGGCCCCTCCTCTGCTACAGCCCAGGCTGGCCCAGCCTCCCGGACACAGGAGCCTCTGTGCCCTCCTGGCTGTAACATTGCAGGGAACTCGAGATGGGCTTTTGTGTTTTGAGATGGGACAACCTGTACCTGTGACAGGGACTTCGAAGGCCAAATCATGACTACCATGTGTGCCTGGTGGAGGCAAGTGGAGGTGCGGGAGGTGGGGTGAATCAGAAAGGCTTCAAGTTTGGGGCATTCACTGAGACTTGAGGAAATACACAGGGACGTTCTGTCTGGAGCGGGGCTGGGCAAAGGAGGGACAGGGGAGGGGGCCTGGCTGTGGTGAGGTTGCCAGCGCCATCTACGAGCTCCATTGGAGCATTTCTGAAGGTGCTAGGGATTCTTGGGGTTGGTGCAGACTGCTGGGCCCTCAACCCACGGAACAGGGTCTCTGAGGGTCCACCCAAGAACCTGTGGCACCCTTCTCGGAGAGCTCAGATTGGCAGGGTGGTTCTGGGGAAAAGGCTCTGGCCAGTAGGGGCAGGGTTCTACCAGGACGCATCCTTCCTAGATGGAGGTGATAGAGACCAGCACCATTGTGGGAAGAAAAGAAAAGGGCAAGTCGGGGCTGGCCAAGAGCACTTGCAGAGCATGTGTGTGTGTGCCTGCGTGGTGGGAGGAGGGCGTGGGTTTGTGGCCTCAGGATCCCACTGACCAACTCAGCCTGGGGAGCAAGGTATGGATACCTGGGATGTGGAAAGAGTAAGCTCCAGGGGTCCACTTTTTTTTTGGTCTTTTTTGTTTTTATCGAACTCATGACTGCCTGCTTGCAAGGCTGAGCTAAATCCCCAGCCCCTTAGGGGTCCACTCTTTACCCCTGGGCTGAAGGAGTTGGTGCAGGGGCAGCAGTCTATCGCTTACTTACCTTCTCCGGGTCCCGTGGTGATATTGGCTTCGATCTCTGGCCCGTAGGTGAAGGTCTTGGCTTTGATGCGGAACCTGTAGGTCATGCCCTCTGCCAGGTCCTTCACCTTCAGCCACAGGGGGCTATTGCCCTTCACATCCACTGTCACAATCTTGCTGACCCCTGGGGAGAAGCACAGAGAGCAGGGCCTGCAGTGGCCAGAGGGAACAGGGGCACCAAGGCTACTGGAGGTGGCAGCAGCAGTGGCCTGAGCCCCCAGACACGGGCCAGGGGCTGCACCTAGCCAGCGATGCCATGCTCCTCATGCTGGCTCACGTTCCCTAAGCTGTTCACGGGGGAAAGGGCTCTGTGGCTGCAGAAGGTTGAAAAAGGCTGTGTTCTGTTTGCTGAAGACCCGCAGGGCCTTTAACTCCTGGAGGGAGAAACACTCACCAACCGTTGTGCATGCAACTGTACCCACATCCATTTCACCCCGTCTTGGTTCCCTCCCATAACGCCCTGCAGAACTCAAATTCTAGGTCTCTCAGGAAGTACTTCTGTAAAGATGCCTCAGGTCTGGGGCTGGAGGGGCCACTGGGGACCAGCTCCAGCTCCTGCTTTGGCCCCAACTCGAGCCCAGCCTCTGGGCTCCTCTTTCCTGGGCCCCCTATCACCTGGGTTTTGGGAGTAGAAATGAGGATGCCTCTGTATCCCAAATCAGGGCAACTTGAGGGCGGGCCGTAGGGGCTCTGGAGGGCAAAGTGTGTGTGCTCAGTGCCTCACAAACCGAGTCTCTGGCCACCAGCGTCCCCAGGGGCTGGGACCAGGTTTCGTTCCTGTGCTCAGGCTCCACACTGGCACAGGCCCCGGGGACTCTGGGCCTGTTCCTGAACCTGGTGTTAGTTTGTTTTCCTCCTGAGCCAGGGTGTGAAGAGTGTCTCCGACAAGGGTGCCGAGGTTCAAACACCAAGACAGAGCATGTGGAACCGGGTAGAGGCCCCATCTATTTCTGAATGAATGAGGGTGGGGCACGGGAGCCAGGGGAACTCAGTGACTGCCTCGGACCAGCAGCCGGACTCGGTACCTGGTCCTCGGCGTGGCTGAATAGCCCTCATCTGCGTGGGCTTCACCTTTCCCCATGGAAAGGGAGCAGTTGGTCTGCACCCAGAGCCGAGGCACAAGCTGGGGCAGACACCATGCTGGAAAGGTGGGCATTATCCACACTTAATAGTTGGGCTATTACATGGAGGATGTCAATGTTCAAGCACGTGTGTAAGCCCTGCTGGACCGAGGACCTGAGGTGACGTGCTCACGTCTCTCAAGGAGGAGGTCGCTGTCCTTATGGAGGACCCCTGCACCCTCTCTTTCTGTTCTCTGTCCTGGCCCCGTTCCTGGTCTTGCACCTGACCAGATCCCTTCCTGGGCCTGGCTCCCTGGGTGTCCTAACACACAGCTCCACTTTGCAGGACAGGCTGCTGGCACCCAGGTAGCAGCAGGAAAAACAGGGCCATTGTTCTCTCCACTGACCCAGAAATGTTGGCCCTGGTGATGTCCCTGGGCTCTGCCCCTTGCTCTTGTGGGCCTCCATTGTTGGGAAGGGTGAGAATAGAGAGTAATGACAGAAGTTGCCACTTCCTGCCACCAGGGCACCCTATTAAGCCAGCCACACAGCACATCTTGCTGGAAGTGACACAGGCAGTAAGAAGTTCAGCCCCTTCCTGTCTCTAAATCCCTGCTCTTCTAAAATGACTGTTAGTGACCAACTGAGAGGGATTTCTGGGCACTTTGCTCACCCCAAGCTGGCTCTTACCACCCATGGCTGGGCATCCCTCTGGGGAGGAAAGCTGGCAAGTGTCTGTGTACACTGTGAGGATCAGCATGGCTCTGCCCAGAATTAGGGCAGGGTCTAGCCAGGGCCTGGAGAGAATAGGGGCTGTGAGATGGCTCTGCGGAGCAAGGTGTGGTGGGTGAGAGGCATCATTTGACGGCTCTTGACAGATGCTCACAGACGTTAAGGGGTGCAATGATCTTCAGATGGTGGGGGGAGCATCTTTAAGAATTTGATCAGATTCTCAGGGCTCCTGACTGCCAGAGGGTAAAGAAGCACTAGTTCCAAGTAAGAACCATGACTCTAATGTTTGGTTGGGAGTGTCAGAGTTGCCCCTTCTCTGGGATCCCCATCTTGAAGGCTACGTTTTGCTCAGATTTCTCTGCTCCTGTTGACGGAAGGGGAAGAATAAAAAGTTCTCCACCTAGAAATTGTATCTGGGCCTCAGTTTCCCTGTTTGTAATATAGGGAGACTCTCAGTGCATGTAACTCACATGCAGTAATTGTGACCGGGACCCCCAGAAGAAAGCCTTTGCTAGGTGAGGGTCTTGGGCTGTACAGGTTGGGGCCACTCACCATCCACTGGGGTGCAGGGCTCATACACCAGCCGGTAGCCCTCCAGGATGCCATTGGGGAACTGTGGGGCTTCCCAGGACACATTCACTGAGGTTGTGGTCAGCTCACTGAACTTGACCGAGCTGGGAGCGCTGGGGGCTGTGGGAGACAGACAGCAAAAGGTTTTTGTTTCCTCCTTCTGTGAAGCTTCAAAGCCTGGGATTTGGCTCCAAGAAATTAACAGGGGCATTTCATTCTGGCCTGGGAAGAATAAGAGGGCAGGGCTCAGCAAAGAAGACCGGAGGAGCTGCTGGAGGCCCTCAGAGCCCTTGCACGCCTCCCCTGATGTACTTGGCACTCAAGTTTCCAATATCAGAGGCCGCGGGACTAGAAAAAAGGAAACTTTCTTTTTCTCTAAAGTGGGAGAGTTTGGATTTTAGCCTGCTAAGTGGCTCTGCGCCCTGGCTACCAGCAAGGGATATGCCTATATGCCCCCAGAGTCACTGTGGGACAAAGCCCTTTCCTAGCTTGCCTGGTGGGTTTTTTTTGGTCTGCTTTCCTGGTAGACAGAGTGGGGGTGAGGGTCTCTGGGCCTCTAAACATGAGGGTGGGGGTGTCTGGCCCTCGGGTACTGGCCCTGCATGGCTGTCATCACAGCACGCAGTCAGAAGGGGCCAGAGCCAAGGGCGCTCCAACCCTCCGGAAGAGAAGTTTTCACTGAAAACCCTGGAGCGACCCTGAAAAGTTGGGGGCAGTGGAGGACAGCGGGGAAGGGCAGGAAGCACCCCCTCTGCAGCCTCTGAGCTGGCCAAGGCGATGGGCGGGCTATTCTCTGGCATAGCCTCCCCACGAGCCGGAGCTAATCAGGACCTACTTCCTGCCGCTGCAGGAGGCAGAATCAGTGAGCCGTCTTTGAAGGAGGGAGGAGAGCACAGGGTCCCCTTCCGCCCTCCTGGGGCCACAGGGATATGGGACAGAACACTCTGTCCGTGGCCACTGCAGCAGAAGCTCAGGCTCCCAGGGGCTCGTATCTGGCTGAGGACATGAACAGAATGTGGTCAGGACAGACGGACAGATTCACATTCACACAGGCAGGCTCAGCCCAGCCTCCCCCAGGGAGCCAAGGGATGGACAAGTTTCCTTGGAGCCAGGGCCTGTCCCCAGAGAGGAACACACCGGAAACCAGCTCCTGGGCAGCTCTGTATGTGACCCACTAAGGGAAGCAGCAGGAAGGAAAAGGCCTCAGGGAGGCCAGGGCAGAGGCTGGGCACTTGTCCTCTGTTCCCAGAGGCACTGGTCCCAGGATCCCTCAGATGCTGACACCCCACCACCCCACCAGGATTAAGGCCCCCTGGGAAAGATTTGCACTTCATTTTCTAAAACGCTTCACCTCTAGGTTCCCTAGAATGCCTAATGTAATGGCAATGTGTAAAAAGCTGTCACACAGCTTTGCTTAGGCAACAGTGACAAGAAAAAAGTCTGTGCATGTTGAAAATAGTTGTAATTTTTCTGGAATATTTTTGAGCCACAGTTGGTTGAATCTGCTGATATGGGATCCAGATACAGCAGGCCAACCTATTCACAGAGGGAGAGAGAGGGAGAGAGAGACAGAGAGAGAGACAGAGAGAGAGACAGAGAGAGAGAGAGCGAGCCAGAGCGAGCTTGGGATCGTTTCCCTTGGAAATCCTGGGTGTAAATATCACTCTCATGACCTGTGGGGAACTCTGGTAAGAAAGGTGTGTTTTTGGGGCTCCCAGGGGATCCAGCATGTTTACTGCCTGAGAAGCGGTTTTGGAAACGCGGCAGGGCTTCCTCACAATGCCTGCTGGCAGGGTCTTCACCTTTGCCCTCTCTTCTGCCTTGTTCTCTGGCCTGGCCTCCGACTTGGCTTCCCTGCCCATTTCCTCCCGTCCAGACACAAAGTGATTATTACTATTACTTTCTGGGGTGGAGGGAGGTACTGGCCTCACCCTTGCCAGCCAGGCGCTAGACCACGGAGCTGAATGCCCAGCCCTCAAAGGGGTTATTTTCCAACACATAAACCAGACCTCCTACTAGCTAAACCCTCCAGTGGATTCGCTTGTCACCTGACATGAATCCCAACCCTCCAGACCCTTAGGGAACAGAGTTTGGCCTCATTTTGGGGAGTCCCTGGTGTGTCCCTCAAGGCTTTTGCACCTGTTGCCCTCTCTGCCCGGAACCTGCTGCCCAACCAGCCTCCTGAACTTCCCGTGCTGCGGGGGCAATCTGAGCTCAGCTGTCACCGTCCAGGGAGGCCTCTGTGCAGACCTGTCCAAAGCCTCCCCCAGGCCCTGCAGTCACCATGCTGATTCCTGTCCTCAGCTCCCTGTGGGAACTCATGTATTTACTGGTTTATGATCTGTGTCCTTTCCAAGGGGACGGGGGACACATTGGTCTCCCTTTGTTATGTCCCTGGCATCAAGTGAGGTACTTTATGGTGGAATGAACAAACGCCCTGAAGAGACAGCACCAGGGAGGTGGGCCAGGCAGGCAGTGAGAGTGGTGGCCGTCCCAGAGGCCTGCTGTCTGGAGCAAAGGGAAGGGGACAGGCGAGACCTGGGGCTCTCTCACAGCCGACAGGGACAGCTCCTCGTTTCTCAGCACTCATGTCCTAGGCCCCTCTTTGCGGGCTGCAGCTCCTGCCCTATGGGGGTCTCATGGAGGCCCAGATACCAAGCCCAGGTGCTTGGAGGGCACAGAGCCGCTACTGGCTCCCTCCAAAACCCCAGGCGCCAGGTGGCTCCTCCTGTACCCAGGAGGCAGATTTCCCCTCCACACCTGCTTGCTGCGTCCGGCCCTGGACAGGGGTGCTCCGGGGTCCGTCCCCTGCAGCATTGAAGGCCGCCACAGTGACCATATAGGCAGTATAACCGGTCAGGTTCTTGAGCTTCACCCCATTCTCAGCCAGGAAAAGTGTCTTCACTCGCTCGGTGAGGTTCTGCCGCTGGGCTTCCCAGAAATAAATCTGTGGGCAAAGAGGATTATGGGAACAAGGGAGGATGAAGACATGGGGCTTTCCTCCTGACCCTGCCTGACCCAGGAAACAGTATAGTAATATTTAGGAGCTATTCTAGGAATGCTTCCAGAACCTTCCTTTTCACAACCAAGGCTCTAGCCTCTGTAACACTGTACATGGCACAAAGGCACGGTCCCTGTGCATCTTCATGTGCTGCAGTGTCTGGGATTTAGTTCTGACTCATCGGCTTCACAGCATGGGTGCTGGAGGGACGCCCTGCTCCTGTCCCACCGGATCCATGACAGGTGTAAGTGCAACAGCGGCACCACGTCACCTGCACACCGGGAGGGAGAGTCTCAGCCCCCAGGCCTGCTGCATCAGCAGCTGCAGGCTAACACAGGCTGGAATAAGGCGGCAGGCAGCCTAGACCTGTTTCTGGCTGTATCCTTTACCAGCGGTGTATCCTTTACACGGACAGGTGAGTCCTCCGAGCTGTAGTTTTGTTGTGTATGTAGTGAGTTAAGGACACCCACTTCCCAGGGTCAGATTGAGGGGTGGAGGCCACGAGGATAGGAGAATGTGGCATTGCTCCTCCCTGGGACTTGGCTGGTTTTGGAAGGCACCTGGGACCTGCAAAAGATTTTAGGCCAGGGATGCAAGTATTTCATATCTAGCAGGGGTTAAAGCTCCCTGTTAGCCACACATGGGAGATTCTTAAATTAGTTTAGAACTTGGAACAAAAATAAACACACACACACACACACAACCCCCCAAAAAACAAAAACTTGGAACAAAGCCCACATTGAAAGCGGAAAGCCCCAAAACACCTGGAGGATTGTAGGTCATTTGGCGCCACCTGCTGGCCAGAGTTATCTGTAAACTATTGGCCTTTCCATTTCTGTTTCTCCAGAAGTCATTAAGCCACGAAGAGTGAGCAATAGCCCATAATGGCAGTGGTTAGGACACCATGAGAGCCTTTCTTTCTTTCTTTGTTCACTTTTGCAGATTGTTCTCAGAAGGGCAGATGAGAGAGCACTGAGGTGGTCATTCATAAATCCACCCGCTTGCCCATCCATTGATGGTGCTGGAGATGCAGTGGCCGCATTCAGCGTTCAGGGCAGATGTCAGGCCACATCAGAGATGTGCAAGTCATCTGCACACAGATGGTGCTGGACGAGGGTGTACCAGGGGAATGAGTAGCTCTCTGGGACAGGTCATGGATGGATTTGGGGGTCTTGACTTTCAGTGGGTGGAAAAGAAGCTGAAATGGCCAAGGAGAGTGCAAGGCCCAGCGGTCCAGGGCAGAGGGGGAAGCCCGCACTCCAGGAGGGGCAGTGAGGCAGCTTCGGGACAGTGCTTCGGGACCAGACATGCTGCTAGAGCAGCAACCACAGGGATGGGATTCTCAGTGGCACTGGAAGGAAGCGGCCTTGGAGACAGCAAACTACGTGGAGCAGGTTCAACAGGGAATGAGAAGGGAGGAAGTGGACATGAGGATTTTTTTTTGCTTCCTGGTACTGAGCACGGGACTCAGGGTCTTCACACTGAGCTCACACGCCCTGCTCTTTTCATTTTGAGACAGGGTCTTGCTGAGGCCCTCAGTCCCCTAGGCTGGGTTCAATTTGTAGTCCTTCTGCCTCAACCTCTCAGCGTGTGGGGATTCCAGGCGTGTGCCATGATGCCTGCAGAGTTCTTCTGAGGAACTCTGCTGTAAAGGGGTCAACCAAAGGAATGGTGACAACTGAACAAAAGTAACAGTACCCAGCAGGTAGCCAGGTGTCCCTGAGGATGCCCACTCACCCTGGCACTCTTGTGTGCCAGGCACCTAGAGCTACATCTGGCACATCACTGGTGCTTACTAAACATTTGCTGGAGGATTTGGCCTTAGGTAGACAGGGGCTGGAGCAGGCATCTGTGATCGCCATCACCACTTCCCTTCCACTATTCTCAATTCCTTACACTTTCTTTTCTACTTCTAGCTTTACTGAGGCATAATAAACAAATAAAAATCATAACTTTACCGAGGCCTAGCTGACAAGTAAATATTGCGTGTATTTAAAGAACACAAGTTGATGTGAATTGGTCACTGTGCTCAAGGTAATGAACACATTCATGACCGCTGACTTTCCCTTTGCCCAGGCAAGAAAGAATAGGTGATCTGTCCCCTTAGCTAGTTTCGGTGGACAGCACAGCATTGTGACCTGTCACCATTACAGTCCCAACTTACTCAGCTTGTGTAACTGAAACTTAGAACCCTTTGAGCAAGTGGCCCCGTTTTCCCCAGCCACCCCCTGGCTTTGCTCTGAGTTTCCCTGTTTTATTTTGTTTTCTGCCCCATTGATTTTTTTTTTTGTCTTTTTCCTTTTTATTGGTACCAGGGATCGAACTCACGACTGCCTGCTTGCAAGGCAGGTGCTTATGCCACTGAGCTAAATCCCCAGACTTTGCCCCACTGATTTTGATGATTCTAGATTCTGTGTATTAATGAGATCCCACAGTGTTTGTCTTTCTGTCTTGGCTGATTTCCCTTAACACAATGACTTCCTGGTGCATGTTGTCACAGATATCAGGCTTTTTGTCTTTTTTAAGGCTGAACAATGTTCTCTTGGGTATACACATACCCCTGACGATGTCTTTATCCATGCAAGTCAGACACCAACAAAGCATTCAGGCTGTTTCTGTACCTTGGCTATGGTGGATTATGCTGTCATGAATGCAGGAGTACAAACATTTCAATGCTTCTGGATAAGCACCTGGAGGTGAGATCTTATGGTGATTTATTGTTTTGAGGACCTTCCATACAGTTTTCCATGGTGGTGTGTCATTTTATATTCCTGCCAAAGCATACAAGGGTTCCATTCTTCCGTACCACTTACTGCCTTTTGAGTTTTGGTAACAACCTTCCTTATAGGTGTGAGGCGATGCATCGTTGTGGTTCTGACTTGCATTTCCCCATGAATGCTACTGAGCACCTGCTGGCCATTTATGCATTTTCTTTTGAGAAGTGCCATCCTGGTCCTTTGTCCCACTTTTTATGTTGGGCTTTTTTTCACTATTGAGTCACACCAGCTTCTTGTGTGTTTTGGCTATGAACTCTATCAGATGCACGGCTTAGCAAACATTCCCTACTGTTCTGCAGCTTGCCACCTCCCTCTGCTGACTGTGCCCCACACTGTGTTCCTGTCCTGTCTTGTTCTACCTTACACAATGGGTTGAGCGCCCGCACCAGTGGAACCTGCCCTCACTATTGGCAGCTGACTGGCCAGGGGGAGAGACTGGCTCTAGGTTCACGAGCACAGCCCAGAGTGGGAGGCTGCTGTGTCACACTGCCCTTGTCTACTCACTGTCCAACCACACACAACCACCCTGCTATGTCCTTGGGGGTGGGCTCCAAGATCCCCATGGCTATCAAAATCCGAGGATGCTCAGGTCCTTATAGCAAAGGGCACAGAATCTGCACAGAACTATGCAATCCTCCCTCCTACTTTAAGTCACCTCTGGATGGCGAATAATCACTCATGCAATGTAAATGCTCTGTAAATAGCTGTTATGCTGAATTGTTTAAGAGATAATACCAAGAACGAAGCGTGTACATGTTCAGTGCAGACACAACTTTTTTTTTTGGCAAATAGTTTTGACCCTCATTGGGCTGATACATGGCTGAGGAGCCGAGAGATAAAGAAGAGGACCGAGTGGTTCTTTCTGACGTTCTCTTCCTCTCCCTTTCTCCATCTGCTTCATTCCCAGCAAGGATTTGCACTGGGAAAGGGAAGCAATCAATCCACTGAGACTCTATCACCTCCTGTCCCTCTGGCCACACAGCCTGCCTCCTTCTTGCCGTGCTGGCAGACCTGGTCACTCTCTTCAAGGTCACCCTGAATTTGTGTACTAAACTGTTCTCTCCTAGCCTACTCCAACTTGTTGCTCTTCGACAGCTCCCTCTTCCACAAATCACTAAACTTTTCCTCCATCCAGTATTGTTTCTATCAGCGCAAAACAAATTGTGATTTCTCCTATGCTAAAACAGTCCTTGGATCACATGTCTTTTTGGCTGAACCTGCTCCATGCATTTCCCAGGACCTCCTCATTGAACTCTACATTACCAGTGCAATAGGCATGACTTTGCAAACTTCTTCTAAAAAGAGGTAGGAAGTTCATATCTCAGGCTTTGCAGACCAGTTCCAAAGCCTCGGTTGCACCTAGTCAGCCTTGTGCCTTCTGTGTACGTGTGTGTGGTACTGGAGATTGAACTTGGGGTGCTCTCCACTGAGCTACATCCTCAGCCTTTTTTATTTTCGAGACCAGGGTCTTGCCAAGTTGCCCAGGCTGACCTTCAATTTGTGACTGCCTTGCCTCAGCCTCCTGAGTAGTTGGGATTACAGGCGTGCACCAGCACATCCAGCTCAACTCCACTCTTGTGCAGAAGTGGCCACGGGCAGCTCATAAACAGGCCTGAGTGTGTCCAAAAAAACTTTATTGGCAAAGAGATGGAAGGCCAGTTAGGTCAGTGGGCTGAAGTTAACAATCTCCTGTTGAAGTGAGTTGTTTGCTCCGATTTTAGAATCTTAATTAGAGCCAATCAAGGCCTGCAAAACTAGATTGGCTGTAAATTTCTTTGAGCAGCCGGCATAATTGCTTCCCAGATTGCCTCCCACCCTGCCCCTCCTAGCCGCTGGCATCCAACTCTTCCTCCTTCCAGAAGCCTTCCCTGGGACGCTGCGTCACTGCCATCACGCACTTGCCTTGGTCCCAAGGCTCGGGTTTCAGACTCCTCCTGCTGTCTGTCCATCTACTCCTGTGGCTTTTGGTGCTGTCTGACTGCTGAGGGCTCCACAGTCCACCGCTCTGGCCACTTTCCCTCCTGACCTCCGGTCACAGCTCCCGCTCTCTTAGCTGCCCTTTAACCTGTCACCTGAGAGCGGCCCCTTCTCTCTGCTGTTTGAACCACTTCTGGGCAGCTGAGGTCAAGCTGTAGTAACCTCGACTTTCTGTGATTTTCCCATTTCAGGCTGAAGCCAGCACTGCACTCAGGGGATCCCCTGGAAGACCAAGTTCTCCGCCCAAGCCTTGCCCGGGAGAAGAGCCAAAGCCCCTGCGGGCGCTGGGAGCTCCCTGCCAACCCATCATGCTTCCCCAGGTGAGCTGAGGCCTTCTGCTGACTGGTCTACACTTGAAAACACTGACCTACCCTAGGACCGTTGCTCTTCTCTCCCCTCTTTCTGGAATGCTCTTTTGGATTTATGTGATTCATGCCCTGTATTTATTTAGGTTTCGCTCAAATATCACCTTCTCCTTTAGCCCTTTTCTAATGACTCTATTTAAAAGTTCAAGCTTGCATCCAGCTCTCTGCTCACCTGCTTCGTTTACTGCACCATCTGGCAGTGTGACTTACTTCGTAAATTGTTAATTTTCTCCCTAAAATTTATGCTCACATTGTCTCTTTGTTCACTGCTTTATTCCCAGCACTGCACCTAGTGGAGGGCACAAAATAACTGCTCAATAAACGTGTCACTGAATAACCGAGAGGCAGTTATTCACCCTCTCTGGGATTGAGCATAGTGTCTCCCGCTCAGCCAGACAAGAAGGCGGGGCCACTTTAGCAGGCTCACAGTGTGATGACATAACATACATCAGGTGTTAATGAGGGTGAACGCTGATGTTAACACACAGCCGGGAGCTGGCAGTTCTTCTTCCCTGGTGCACATCCCTAACCACGGCTCTGTGCAGATGATGTTTTCCAGATCTCACAGCCATCTCTGTTCTATACGGTTCCTGGGCTCCCACACATTTCCTAGATCTGCATACTAACTTGCAACTTTCAAAACCTCTACAGTATGGTGGCTGCTAAACCAATTTGCAGGCTCCGCCTGGCGCATTCCCTCCTCTGGGGAGGCATATGCTAGGGGTGCAATATTTAGCTTTCCCAGCTGGCACTCCTGGGCAAAGTCTTGAGGGTGCCATCCATCTTCAGAGCTTCCTTGGCAAGACGCCACCATCTCCTTTTCTCCTCTGTACCCCAGATGAAAGAGGCTCCTGTAGCAGATTCTGCCCTCGCTGGGCTGTCTGTCTTAACTGCACGTGCTCCGCCTCTGCTGCCTCAGTTTCCACAGGTCCCCATGCTGGTGCATCTACCCCCGAGGCCATTGTACTAGGTCTGTTATCTGGAACCGCATCCAGCTGCCAGGAATCAGAGCCCCAGGGACACTGGTTTGGCCAGGAACTCTGCTCCAGATACCACGACAAGCTCCTTTTTCTTTGCTTCTGTTTGCTGTGGTCCTGGGGATTAAGCCCAGGGTCTCCAAACTAAGCTACACCCCTAGACCTCTTTAATGATTTTTTAAATTTTGAGACAGCACCTCATACTCATGGTCCTTTTGCCTTGGCCTCTCAGGGTGCTAAGATTATAGGTATGTGCCACCTTTCTCTTTCTGTTTGCCTTCTTCCTACTTTTTCTTTTTCTTTCTTATATAACCCCTAATGATTGCGTGCTCAGCCTCCTCCCCAGCCCTGTCAGGGGAGCCAGATGGTCTGCATTTTCCTACTTGCTATTTTGTGGCCTTGCCAGGGTAAACTAGGTCTCAGTTTCCTCATCTGTGTAACGGGTCTCAAAGCCCATAACTTACAGATCTCCGTGGCTTTCAAAAGAATTGAAGAGTTCTAGAGGGTTTGGTAAATATGAGAGTTGAACTGCACCCCCTGATAACACATGATTTCACTAAAAGTCTAGAAATAATTTCCAGCAGAGATTTCCAAGGAGCCAAGAGTGCTTGCTAGCACCAGTATTGTCACTAGGGGGCGTCCTTGCAGGGTGTTTCACATTACAGGACTCAGGTACAGTTTCTGGCATCTGAGCCCAGACTGCTCAGGGGACCCTGGAGAAGATGAGTGTAATTTTACTTCGACTGCACCATATTTGTGTGAACCAGGCGCACAGAGCCAGGGCGTGCGCCTGGCTGGGAGGAGGAAGAGCCTGGGATGCCCCCACCCCCACCGCACCCAGTGCCACGACCCAGCCAGTCCCTCTGCCATACCTTGTAGCCCTGGATGTTTCCGTTCTGGCTGTCCAGAGGGGGTGGCTCCCAAGTCACATCTAGCTGTGTGGCCGTGGTGCCATGGACGACCACGTTGCGGGGCGCTGCCGTGGGCACTGAGGGGCACGGAGGATGGGAAGTGAGTAGCTTCTGGGGAGAGGCTGGGGTGAGAGGGAGACCCGAACCTCTTAGCTCCCCAGGCTGGACTCCTGGAGCCAGGCACTCACCTGCCTCCCCAACAAAGACCTCCTGCGGGGGGCTCAGGGGCCCCTCGCCCACGGCGTTGTACACACTCATCCGGATCTCGTACCACCTGTGCTTGTTCAGGTCTGTGGGACAGAGAGGAGAGGAAGGACATGGCGGTCACTGCGCCTGTGTTGGAGTCCCCTGTGGAGACTAGAGGCTGGGTGGGTGGAGGGGACAAGGTGGCCCTGCAACTCCAGTCCCCGTGCCAAGTTCAGCAGCTGACAGGTCAGAGAGGGTGCCCGGAGGGACACTCGGCCTCCCACCCTGCCAACCTAGGCCGAGGTTGGCCTCCAGGGTGAGGATGACCATACAATGTACTCTCCTCCTGGACACTTCGGAGATGGAAGGGACAACTGGCATAAGCCTGCACTGTCCTATCGATCCCAGGCCAGGCAACCAGCCCCTCCTGACTGTCTTCTTTTCTACCACGGCAGATTCCAGTGTGCCAACCTTGTCCCAGCCTGTCCCCATTCACCAGCTCTTGCTTAATTTAACTTATTGTGTTTTTTGGGTTCTGGAGAGTGAACCCAGGGACTCTTGAGTGCTAAACATGCTCTGTGCCTCAGAGCTGCCCTCCTAGTCCCCAGCTCTTTTCACAGGGGTGCTCAGTCCTGGAGGGAGGGGGGTTGTTAGATGTGAATTCCGGTTTAAAAAGCTCCAGGCATCACTAAGATTGGGGTGCTTGGGTGAAGGCACCTGGAAGAAGCTGGGGGACAGAAGCTGGTTAAGACCCGGTCGCCCCAGGTGGGGGATGCAGTCCCTGTTCTGGGTGAGTACCTGTCTAGAAGGCTGAAGGAAAGGCGTGGGACCTTTCCCATCACCTGACTCCCAACCCAGGCCCTTGTTCTGCTAAAGCAACCTGTACCTGTAGCCCTGGCTGTTTCCATGCCAACTGTCTGGACTGCCCCACCCTGTGTGCCCTCCTCTCACTGGCTCCCTCTCCTGCTCCTGTTCTGGGGTGGAAGTGCTGGGCTTGGACAGGGCACAGTGAGGGAGCCGCCCTAGCTGGTGGTCTGTGCAGCCTGCGGACGCCGGCTGAGCAGGGAAGCAGGTAGGTAGTTTAGACTTGAACTCATGACAGGCTTGTGCTTTTTCCTGAGCCTGTGAGCTGGGCACTGGGCAGTGGGGAGAACCTGCTGGGAGTTCAGACATAGAGCAAGGATGGGGTAAACCGCACAGGGACATGCTCTTGGAAGATGAGGCTGCCCAGCAGAGCTGCCCAGCACTCATGGCAGGAAAGGCCCAGGACAGGAAGACACAGTGGGGCCAGGCTGTGCCTTTGGAATGGTGAGATGGGGAGCAGCTACTCAGATGCCGGCCTGCCCACCGGTACTGCCCAACCGCGCTCATGGCAGGCTGTCACTCAACCCCTGGCTACCCGTATAAAGCTGTGGGTTCTCCTTCCACACCGCCCCTCCCACTCCGAAGGCACAGCTGGAGACTTGCTGGCAAATGCCCCTGCTTGGTGTGTTTGGGTCCTATGTCAAGCACACCCTGAGTCGAGGGCAGATGCCCTGAGGGACCCACTCCTGCTCCCCAGCAGGGCCACCATGCAAGGAGACTTACTGTCCAGCTCGTACTGAGTGAGGCTGGGCCGGCTCAGGTTCCGCATGGAGTACAGGGCTGGGGTGGGGAGCGGGAGGCAGAAGAGGGAGACAGCAGATAGAAGTGGTTAGTGCACACACAGCCCCCCACGAGAGCCCCCCACTGGGTGCAGCATGATGGAGTGAGGGGGCCGGTGACTGAGCAGCAGGGGAGAGCGTTTCCAGGATGGGAGCTGGGGGGAGAGGCAGCTGCAGGACACCACTGTCCCCTCCAGGTGTGCACTGGCCATAGTCACAGGGAGCCCTGGGAGCCTGGGAGTCCTGGGGACAACTCTGAGACAGACCTTTTAGCCTCGGCTCACTCCCTTGTCTCAAGGTGGAGACAAGCCCTGGAAAACCACTATGAAATACTGGAGTCATTAATTTCCTCATATGAACCAGAAACAATTTTACTACCAGAAAATACGGCTGTATTATACACTGGCTATATAAAAGCACAACTGCCAGCACATGTCGGCCCAGAATAAAAAATAAATATAAGAAAACAGCGTACGCTGTTGGATCAAGTACTTCGCGTTTGTCTATTAATAAACCTTTGCCACATACTCAGTCATTTTGTTATCTGCTAACACTCCCCCGGAGACAAGGCACAGAGCCTCCTGAGGATGATGGGAAGACACAGTGGTGGTGGTGGGGCACCTGCATCTTCCGTGCACCCCTCTTCCCTGTCTGCCTCCCTCTCTGCTCCATCAACAAACACAGAGCCCTTAGAGTGGCTCCCATAGTGCACCTGCTCCCAAACGGGCCTCTGATGCCATCCCCAGACTGACATCAGTGCAGCCTCCTGCTGGCCTCTCTGCCTCATGCCTCCCAGGCCCCTGGGCCAAGCCGTCACCCCCAGGCCACCAAAGTGTCCTAACCCAAAAGTACGACCAAGGTCTTCCCTGTTTTTGGGGCTCCCTGAGCTTTCCTTCCATATAGAGGCAGACTGGGTAACCAGGCCCCCAGACAGAGAAGTGAGTGCTCTTGGAAAGAGAGGCTTCCAATGCTTCTCCTGGGGAAAACCTGGTGTTTGAGGCTGTTGGTTCCTCAAGTGCAGACAGCTGCCTCTCACGGGCCGAGCTCTCCTAGGCCCTGCACCCGGGGAATCTGGGCCCATCCCTGTGTGAGTGCCGATGCTAAGGAATCCCTCCCTGACCCTTGGCTTGTACCCCTTCCCCCCATCAGCAGCCAGTAGCTTCAGGGGTAACACCACAGAGGAGGGACTCTTTCAGTTTGATCACTGGTGGCCCCTGGGAACCCGGGGCATATAGAAGGTGCTCAGTAAGTACTTAGCAGGTGAGTAGCACGGGAGAGGCACACACAGGCAGGCAGGGTTGCGGGTTAGGGAGCTCCAGGAAGCTGAGCACTTGCTCCGGAGCAGGAAAGTGAATGCCACTCACAGGTGAGCTCTGCCCATTTGGCCCCGGGGTTGTTGATGCCTCGAAGAGTGAAGCCCCTCAACCCTTCATAAAGCAGCTCCCTGTAGCGGATGCGGAAGCCCAGGAGGATACCGTTGACCTTGTCCTCGGCTGGTGGCTACAGGGAAATAGGCAAGATATAGGGAGCAGCCTTGGACTGCTGTCATCCTGCTCTACCCTGTCTCCCCATCATGCAGCCAGGCTGGGCTTCAGAGGGTATGGGAGGGTGGTGAAGGGCAGGGCACCTGGGAGGCTCCTTCCCCATGTCCCCTGCAGAGTAGGCTGTGGCTACCAGAGAGTGGGCGGCTGGAGAACAGAAGGAAGAGCTTATTTCTCTGCCTGAATGATGGGTTCCCACTCTCTGTGATGGGCAGAGCCTGGTCTGGGCTTCACAGAGGCTCAGGGGGTCCTAGGGTTCCCAAGTACTTTAATTTTCAAGAATTCAGTAGATTTGGGTTAGTAAACTTGACCCTGCCACTCCCACACATCCTTTGCTGCATCTCTGTCCTCAGCCGCAGTAGGGGACGTGGTGGCACCTGCCAGGTGTGGTTCCCTGGGGGTAGAATGGGTGTGCACACAAGTGTATGCACAGTGTTCCATGATGTGCACACCCCAGCATTTCTCATGCATTTCTGTTGGCTCTGGGGGAGGGGCAGGCAGCCCCACTGGGGTCTCTTGGCTTGCTGGCCCCAGAGCACAGCCTGTCTGAGTCCTTAGGGGAGATAGGCCCATCCTGCCAGCCTGGCCTACCTGCCACCGGATCAGCACGGAGGTGGTGGTGTGGGGTGTCACTGAGAGGACAGTGGGTGCTTCGTCAGGGGCTGTGGAGAGAGGCAGGCAGGTGGGACCTGGGTGCTGGAGGTTCAGCCCTACCCAGTGCCCACGGGACTGGTTCTGCCTACTTGGCACTGGCAGGCAGATCCCTCTTATGTCACCCTGTATGCTCAGCAACCCGACTTCTGTAGGACAAAGGGCTGGTGTGGAGGGAGAGACCAAGGTCTTGGTCAGACCCAAGGGTCACAGCCACAGGCCTCTCTGCCTGCCCATATACTTCTCAGTAGCCTGCGGGATGTCAGTGAAGCCATGCGCTTGAAGGCCAGGTAGAGGCCACTGTGGCCCCAGCCTCCCGAGGACTGTGTCCTGGAGGGGAAGGGTCCAGCAGCCCAGTGTCCTCTCTACTTGGAGGCCTATTTCCCCGGTGCCCAGTGGTGAGGCACACTGACCTGCCTGCAGCGTGGTCAGTGACTCTGACTCCTCGCTGAACTCGCTGTCTCCAATGTCATTGGTTGCCTTCACTCGGAACTTGTAGGACGTGAAGGGCTTCAGCCTGTGGAGGGAAGTGGGGTCCTATGACCAGATGTCCCACGGGATCTGGCTGCACGATCTGCCATGGGGTCTCACTGATCTATTCTTGCTCGAGAAAGGGAGACAGGAGGGCTGAGCCACCACACAGATGCAACATCCAGGCTCAGAAGGCACTCTGCTACCAAAGGGTCAAACTGGGGTCCTGAGTCGCCAGACCAACCCTTGGATCACGCCTCTGGGATGTCTTTAGCTGCCATATTTCCCACGTCCACCCAGGTTCTACCTCAGAGGCCAGGCAATCACAAAAGCACCCAGACTTCCCTCCCTGAGTCTCCCCTTCCAAGCTGCCCTTCCTCTCCTGAGTTTAGAGAAGTTCCCAAGAGAAGACCAGACTTGTCTCTCAGTTTCGTTTCCCTCCCAGCAAATGTCTTTCTTTCGTCCTGATTTATGGGGGCGGGGGAGGAGGGGAGGAAAGGATTGCTCAGACTTCAGGTCACGTCCGAGGGAATGTAAAAAAATACAGCCACCAGGAATTAAATTGAAGGCAGAGTTTCAGAGTGAAGCGCTGCTCCCCTATTAAAGATGGGAGGAAGCTGCCGGCTGGCTGGGGAGAATCGCTAATGAAGGACAGAGTGTGCTTCATAGAGGGGGACACCAGGCTCCAGATGCAATTAAGAGGCAGCCTTAATGGTGCTCCTGGAGAGGAGGAGCTATGCTGCTAGGCTGGGAGCTGAGGAAGCTGGCAGGGTGTGGGGGTCTCAGGAAGCCTCCAAGCCCCAGGAGGGACCTCGGCTGGTGTCTATCTTGGCTGGGGGAGGGTGGGAGATGCCGGTGGCATGGACCCCGCACCTGTCCACGGTGAAGCTGGAGGTGTTGTGGTTCACGGAAGCTGAGTGCAGCGCCCACCGGCCGCTGGGCAGCTCACGGGTCTGGATGGTGTAGTATCGCACTGGGGACAGCCCGTCACTGCCCGGCTCCCAGGACAATAGCACACTGCGAGCCTTCACGTCTTCCTGCTGCACCACGGGCTTGCTCGGGGGCTGAGGGCGGTCTGGGGAAGGAGGATTGGGTGAACTGAGGAGCTTGGACAGGTGGAGAAGGGGCTCAGGGATGGCACCCCTTGCTCAGCCCACTTTGGTGTACGACGAGGTCTTGCCTGGTCTCACTCCCAGCAGCTGGCACCATATCTCTTTGTCACTGATTGTGGATCCTGAGGCTCTCAGAGTCTCAGGTGTCAGGACTCCCCATGCAAGGCCTGCAAGGTCCCCATGCAAGGCCCACAAGGTCCCCATGCAAGGCCCATGAGGTCCCCATGCAAGGCCCGTGAGGTCCCCATGCAAGGCCCACAAGGACCCCATACAGCTCTAGCCAAGGACCACAGCGAGGAGATGCAAACACCCCAGTGCCTTTGCTCTGGGCAGGAATAACTTGGAGATGGGACCTGAATTGCTCAATGCTGGGGCGGGGGGGGGGGCTGAGTCTTAGTGGATTTACTTCACACCACCCCCTAATGTGCCTTCCTCTCTCCCCAGCCTCCCTTCCCCACCACCCACAGCAAGGAGGACATTACTGGCCCTGGACTGGATGATTCTCGGTGGCAGAGCTGTTCTTGCAATGCAGCATGTTTAATATGTGCCTACCTCTACCACCGGGTCCCAGTAACACCTTCCCCAAGCTGTGACAACTGGTGTCCTAGTGGCTTTTCCTGGGGACATTTCCCAACAATCACTTTTTCACCAAGCAGGGGCCACGGAGCTGCTCTGTGGAACCCCAGCTCAGATGAGGGGCTAGCAGGGAGAGGCAGCCAGGACACCAGGCTGCAACCCTGTTCCTCACCCATCTGGACAAGGGCAGGGGCAGGAGGTGGTCAGCGACCTTATGGGGAGTCCTGACATCTGAGACTCTGAGAGCCTCAGGATGCGCAATCAGTGACAAGGAGATATGGCGCCAGAAAGCCGGAGGAGATGGGTTCCAGGGAGGGGGTCTCCCAGCTCAGCTGCAGGCCCACAGACCCCGTGCTGACCTTGGCTCCAGAGCTCAGAGCCTACTGTGCTTCCCACTTTCCACTCTAGCCCAGGACAACCTGCTTCATCACCTTCCACTAGGAGAAGCTACGAGCACCCGAGTTGCTGGGGACACCCCTTGCCTGAGCCCCTCAGTCCTCCCAGCTCCCCTGGCCACTCACCTCTCTTCTCAGTGGTCACTACTAAGGCCTCAGCGGCCTCTCCCCATCCTTTGCGGGTCTGAGCCGTAATACGAAACAGGTAGACAGACTCTGGCTTGAGGCCAGTGGCTGTGTACTGGCGGGCGCTTGGTGCCAGCACTTCCACTGCAGCGGTGTTGGCTGCGGTGGCGTTGAGCCTATGGGTGATCTGGTAAGCTGGAGGCAGGGAGAGAAAGGGCGGCACTAGAAAGTAGGGCAAGCGGCCTCTGTCCTGGTTGTGGTTTGTCACTGCCACATCTCGGCTGCCCCTGGGGAGTGTGGGCTGCTGAGGGACATGGGACACAGTGCCCTCCACACTGACTCCGTGTCAGAAGATGGAGGCTGGGAGAGGCGGGGTCAGCTGCTAGAAAGTGGCTGGACTGGAATCCCAGCCTGGGTTGTTTAATTGAAAGCGTATTACTTTCCCCATCTACTGTCTTCTAAGGGATGGCATTTACCTAAGGCTGGCATGGACCAAGTGGCCAGAATGGGCGCAGGTCATCGCAGCTACTGTGTGTGTGTGTGTGTGTGTGTGTGTGTGTGTGTGGTCTTTATTTTATTTAACCTAAAAATGTTTTGAGATGGAGCCTCGTTTGCTATGTTGCCCAGGCTGTCCTTGAACTTGTGATTTTTATGCTTCACACTCCTGAGAAGCTGGGAACAATAGCTGTGCATCACTGCACCTGGCCACGCCATCATGGTCATCATCATCACGCCACGGCATCATGTTAAAGGTGAGGGATAGAGGCCTTGGGGAAGCAGACTTGCTCAAGTCCGTGCAGCAGCTGCCTGCGGGCTGGCTATGTATGTTGGGGCAGAAGCTTTTGGTCCTCAGCCGCCCTCCTTGCGAGTCAGCCGTTCCTGAGCAGTGAGTGCAGCTCTGCTGAGCTGGCCGGTGCATCCTCACTGGCCTTGCTAAGGAACAGCTCTGAGGTTTAGGAGATGGCAGATGGCCGGGCACTGGGACATTCAGAGTCACAAAGCCAGCCAAGGGTCCTGAAGGAACTGAACTCGACCTTGCCCTCTGGTACACATGTCATAGGCTGAAACTCTAGCAGGAGGACTGAGCCTCAGCTCCCATTCTGAAGGCCCTATGGGAACTTCTTGGATCTACTCTGAATGTGCTCCTTTACACCTCTGGCTCCTCATCCTTCCTGTGAACGAGATGCAGGAAAGCCCAGGCTTACCTAGGATGATGCCATTGGGGGCAGCAGGGGGCTGCCAGATCAGCCTCACTGACGTGGTCCTCACTTCCGGGAACAGGATGCCCATGGGTGGTCCTGGGACTGGAGGGGGAAAGGACAGGAGGCTGACGTGTGGTTGATGCTCTCCAGCAGGGCAGCCCAGGGGGATGGAGCATGACTCATTTCAGTTTAGTGAATACTCCTGGGATGCTGCTCTAGGCCTGACATTGTGTTAGGAGCCAGGGACACAAATGTGAAATCAATGAGATTCGCTCCTCTCCAATAGGGGCCTGGGCCTAGAAACTCAAAGGTAGGATGAAGTTTCTGTCCTCAATATAGGCATCACTTGGGCTCAGTGTCTGTGTTCACACTGTCAATACCTGGTCCATGGGCCCTGCCCTGCACCCGAGCTTTAGAAGGCCCTGCTCTGAGGTCTTCCCTGCTACTGTGTGACTCTTCCCTCCAGATTGTTCTGGAATCCTGGAGGTCTAGAATTGAGCCTAGACAGTTAAAGCATGTTCTCAGGATCTGCACGGACCAGTTACCCAGATGCTCCTGTGGAGCCCAGACTGTGTGCTCCTGGACCCTAGGAGGTGGGTGGAGACTGAGTGATCTTTGTGAGAGCAGAGGCCAGGAAGGTGGCAAAGGCCAGGTGGGTGCTCAGAACTGTTGCTGCACAGCAGGCTAAGAAGTCTGAGACTCCTAAGCTTGATTTTGGCCTATCTGGGTGTATCTGAGGGTAGGATGTATTTAACAGCTCATTACTTGACTCGCAGAATACACAGACACGCAGTATCTGGGTTTCTTTCTGCACTCTTGTCTGGATCCTGAAAATGTGGGTGATGAGCCCCCTGTGGGAAGTAGGGAAGGGAGGGCAAAGGACCTGGCACTCAGTTTGTGACTGGGAGTTCTGCTGTAGAGATGGATGCTGGTGCTGGGCTGGTGTCACATTTTTTTGCTCTGGTACCAGGGATTGAATGCAAGGTTTTCACACTAAGACACATACATCCCCAGTCTTTTTAAATTCTCAGTCAGGGTGTCACTAAGTCACTCTGTGACCCAGGCTGGGCTCAAACTTGCCACCCTTCTGTCTCAGCCTCCCACAGTGCTGGGATTACAAATGTGTACCACCACACCTTGCCCAGTGTCACCATTTTGCAAACAGGACCACGAGGCTCAAGCTCAGGAAAAACTAATCAAGGCCTTTTCCTTTTCACAGACTTTGCCCAATACAAACTTGCCCCCAGAAAGAAAGACATTAAAACTCCCACAAAGTTCCTGCTCTATACACTTGCCCTGGAGAGAGATCAAGAGATGGGATCGGAGTCCAACTCTTTTCCTGTTGCCCTGTCTACCTTGGTGTGTGGGGCCTAGAGACTTCTCCACCATGGCACACCCCTCCGGGAGCCCCAGCCTGCTGGGATGCAGACTCACCATCGTCCAGCGTGCGCTCCAGGATTGGGGGGTGACTGGGGCTGCCATCACCGATGCGGGTGAAGGCCAGCACCTGCACCTCATAGAGCACGTACTTGCCCAGGCCGGTGAGCTGCACGCTGCGAGACGCATTGCCTTCCACCAGCCAGAAGTGGGGCTGGGAGTCCGAGTCCTTCTCCTTGTACCTCACCTGCCAGGATGAGCAGAGCAGAGGCCTCAGGCCAGGCCTCAACACGACAGTACCTATTCTGAGCCTTGTCCGGACAGTCTGGTCCGGTGTGTCTCAAAGGGGTAGGTAAGGCCAGGTGTTAAGGCACAGATTTAAGAACAATTCTAGAAGAGAACGGAAACTGCTATGGTCTGGATTTTGCTTTTCCTCCAAGGGTCCATGTGTGGGGAGCTTGGTTCTTAGATGTGGGAATTGATGCAACCTTGAAAAGTGGGGCTTGGGGAGAGGCCCCAGGTTATGGGGGCCCAGATCTTGGGAGGGATTAAAGCAGTTCTCCTTTGACCCCTTGTGATTTCCTGAGAGGGCTGAGTTGTCACAAAGGCCTGAGCCTGGCTAGCTGCACTCAGCTCTCCCTGGCTTCCTGTCTGCAGATGCGAGACGGGATCACTTCTCCCACACAAGCTGTCACTGTTTTCACCATGATGGGACACGGCCGACAGGGCCCTCTCACCAGGGCTCAGCCTACAGAGGCGTCATGTCTGTGAGCCTCCGCCACTGTGAGCTACACAAACCTCTTTACTTTGTAAGTTAGTCTGTCCCAGCTATTTTACGACGGTAATGGAAGTCGACACTAAAAACCTAAAACTGGGCCCATCAGAGCTTTGGGAGAGGCTGGGGCCACCTGGAAGAGCTGGAGCAGCCCCAAAGACTGAGGGGCCCACTGCAGGCCTCTCTGCCCCTAGGGAGGATTCCCTGGTTGTGGTGACTGGTGGACAGGAAGCCAGGCGCATCCCGTGTCCACTGCAGGAGGAAGAGACCTAGTAGGTACACGGACTGGATAACTGGGGGATGTGGGCCCAGTGCAAGGACTCACCTTATAGCCCAGCACGAGCCCGTTGCGATCAGCCTCGGGGACTTCGCTCCAGCGCACAAGCATGCTGCTGGAGGTGGTGGCCAGTGCCGACACATTGGTGGGGCCAGAGGACGGCACTGTGGGGGAAGAAGGGTGAGGAGGAGAGAGAGGCTGAGGACCCACGGCGGGGCCTGCAGCAGGTGAGCAGCAGACCTGTGCTCAGGAAGAAGCCAGCCCTGTGCTGCGGCTCCACGGCAGCAAAGGGCGGCGTGGAGGGCCCCCAAGGGAGCTGCCTGAATTTAAAAGGTGCCAGCAAAAGCCACAGGATGGCGAACCAGGTGTGGACACATGAGGGATGACTGTGGGCCAGGCCCCCAGGGGCCGCTGCTAGGATTCTAGAATGTTCTGAGAGCAATGCCTTCTCCTGAACCTGCACCTCGGCCTCCTTCAGGCCCCACTGGGTTCAGGTTTGAAGCTGAGGGCAGGAGGTAGGCAGACTACGTTGCCCCCTTGTGGAGACACCCTGGAGCCAACAGTGGGGACTGTGTGGAGAGGGGCAGGTGCTGAGGGACGTGATACCGGGTTGGGATGCTCTGTACTGGGCTGAGCACACAGGAAGCTGCTCAGGCTGCTTTTGGACAACAGTTCCAGCCCCGTGTGTCCCCGGGCAGCCCTGAGGGCAGTGAGATGGGGTGGGGTACCTGACTCCCGGGTCCTGCCAAGCACCACTGGGCTCCAGGGCCCGCTCCCGATGGCATTGAAGGCCTGGACCTGCACGCGGTACTCCATCCACTCCTCCAGGTCCTCGATGGTGTACTCCCTCTCCACACGGTCCAGCACCACGTGGCTCAGGGTCTTGCCGTGCCCGTCTGACCTGCTGTACTTGATCTTGTAGCCCACTGACTCCGGGCTGCCGTTGTACTCCATCTCCGGGAGAGGCTGTGGGACGGCAGGGCAGCACACGTCAGGGGGCGCTGTGTTGGATGGAGGAGTGCCCGGCAGGGGTGGGAGCGCAGACCCCTCTTGCAGGGGCCTTCAGTGCGACCCAGCCTTTCCAGCAGCCCTTGTCTTTGAGAAATGCCCTGTACCCCAGCAAGGCCTGGGCTCTGTTGGCCCCAAATCCCTATCTGCCCACCCCGCACACCTAGGAGAAGCAGCATGACTGTCCACTGTGTGCAGGGCTAGCTCACTGCCCACCTGGAGCTGGTCCTGTCTTTTCTTTTTTTTTTTCCTCTTCTTTTTTCTTTCTCTTCTGCCTTTCTTGGCTTTTTCCCATTCCCTCCCTCCTTCCCTTTAGCAATACTGGGGATTAAATCTCTGATCCTTTTTATTTTGAGAAAAGGTCTTGCTGAGTCACTAAACCACCCAGGTTAGACTTGAATTTGTAATCGTCCTGACTCTGCCTCCCAGCAGTGCTGGGATTACAGGCATGAGCCAGCATGGCCAGTGTATGTGTGCGTGTGTGTGTGTGTGTGTGGGGGGGTACTAGGGATCAAATTCATGTCATTCTGAGCCACATCCCCTGTGTCTTGTATTTTTTAATTTTGAAATTACATCTTGTTAAGCTGCCCACACTGGGCTAGAAGTCTGCCTGTCTCAGCCTCCATGAGTGCTGGGATTAGACTTGCACCACAGCACTCAGCCCAGGCAGTCCTTTTCAAGGTGTTCAAGGCCGCCTGTCACCAAGCTCATAAGCACAGCCACCAAGCTGTGGCTGCCTCCCTGCTCAGCTCCCTCACTCAGGTGGCCATGGTGCACAGCTAGCCTTGGCCAGGCTGCCCCCAGCAGTCAGCACATGGGGAGGGGCCCCCACACGGCCGGGCACTGGCCCTGCGAGGCAGCCCTGTTATCCAGCCATGCTCGGTCTCTCCTGCTGTGTTGCCAGTTTCTCTTTTTCTGTCCAAGTCTCAGTGGACAGGGAAGGCAGATTCCCCCTCTGGCCTTAGGGTCAGGCTGGGTCTGTGGTCCCTGTCACAGTTACCGGGATGAAACTGGGCGTGGCTGGGAAGCAGTGGGAAGCTGGCACCAGGCTTTGCTTCTCCTCTCATGAGGGCATGGTGGAGCTCAGCTGTCTGCACCCCGGCTTCTCTCTCTGCCTCCCTGGGGACTCTGGAAGTCCAGGCTCCCCACATGCTGACCCACTTTGTCCAGGTCCCTACTCCAGCCCTGCCTCACCACTCACACACTCTCCCTCCCACCAGCCTCCCTACAGACACTCGGTGAGGAGGCCCAAGACCACTAAGATGGCAATCGATGGGCCTGAGATCCTGAGACGGGGCTGAAGTGCACGCCCTTGCCAGCCAGGGAAAGGAAGCAGCCAAGCATACGTGGGTCTGGGAGGCGCCGGCCCTGCCCAGCACGGCCCCTGACTTTTCTTTCCCTCCAGCACCTACGTCCTGAGCTCTACAGTGTTGGGACAACACCCGTGAGATTGAGGAGAAAAATAGGGGGCCGGGTAGGGTAGAGCTGGGGCAGAGCCACAAGTGAGGTCAGGAGAGGCTGCCTGAGCCCAAGGCCCACCACTCCGAGCAGGGGCCATCGCTAAAACCCGTGCTCACTGGGAGCCGATTGCACAGGGCGCTTCCTGCTGTCAGCTCCTGCCTGCCAAGTGAAAGGCTGGTGGGTCCGTGCCGCCCTCAGACCACTGAGTGGGGCAGTTTGCAGGTTTGTGTCTGTGTAACTATTAAGAGGTCCCTTGTGTGGCCAAAAGGGATGCAGGAGCTCTTTCAAGCCAGCTTTTGTGGTGCTGGAGTCCCAGGTTTGCTCAGGGCTTTGTTCGAGAACACACTCTCTTTCTCTTTGTGGTCCTGGGGATTTAGTTCTGGGGCCAGTGAAGTCCCCGGCCCCCACTCATTTATTTGTCTAGCAACAAAGTTTCACTAGGATGCCCAGGCTGGCCTGGAACTTCTGATCCTCCTGCCTCAGCCTCTTGATTGCTAGGATTGTCTAGGAGTTCTTGTAATTTCATGTGCTCTTGAGATTACTGCCTCAGGGGGCCCATCCTGGGAAATGCTGCTCAGGGTGGGATAGGGTCTCTCCTGGTCCCCAAACTGCGAGCTGACAGTGTGCTCTTGGTTAAGGCTGTGGATTTCGGGGTACAAACTTTCTTTATTGGAGCTCCACCTCTGCTGTTAACTAGAGGATGTGGGAGGATAATGGGGTCCTGGGAAGGTTGTCCAACCTTTTTCTGTATCAGTTTCTCCTTTGGAAAAATGGGGATTTTCCAGGATTTCTGGGCTGTCATGGGCCTGCTGAGAAAGTCAAAGCTTGGTGGGATAAAGTACTGTTAGAACACCTGGAAGAAAAGGAAGCCTGAAAGTTACCTGTGCAGGGCCACCAGGGCCACCTGCAGCCAGGCAGCGTCCCTCAGCCTACTGGCCCAACCTGTGAGACCAGCCTGAGAGCTCAGATTCCTTCTCAGCCCCTTGATCTCCAAAGCAAGTTTGCTATTGGACACAGAAACCTTTGAGTATCAGGGAGCTGTGTGGCCACAGGAAGGTACCTAACCTCTCTGAGCCTCAGTTTTCTTAGCTGTATGTTGGGATGATACATTTGTGCTTTGTAACATTCCTGGGAGGTAAGAAATTTTAATGCTTGGCATTTGGCAATGATCAGCAAATAGCATTTTCTAGCTCCTTCATCTCCCTGGAGGAATTTGCTCCTTTGGCTGAGATTATCAAGCACCTTATCAGGTGGTTAGGATGAAGTGCCAGCTTTGGGGTCCACTCAGAGGACTGATGGGAGACCCTTTTTCCTGTGTCTGGGTGAATGATGGAGATGTGGCCTTGGGATCTCTGCCTGATCCCTGGCCCCTTCCTTTCTGGCTCTGTCCTCTGCTTGGCTCTCAGCTGCCATGAACTACAAAGCTTTGCTACACCACGCCCTTCTGCCATGATGTTTCTGTTTGGAACCAGCCAACCACAGACAGTCCCCTGAAACATTAAACTTCTCCTTCTTTAAACTGCAAGGTGTCAGGAATTATGTCCAGCAATGGAAAGCTAATAGACCAGGTAAGTAAGAAGAAAAGAAAAAATTTTGAAAGAATAAAAAGCAAGTAAAGCATCAAGAGTGTAGGTATCTGAGGCCACGGCAGCTCTGCAGGGTGGCAAAGGCCAAGGGGGCGTCACATCACGTGGCCTGTGAGGGAACCTCACCATCCATCGGAGCCACAGGCTGGTCTCACTCGCTGTGCGCAGGGTCACATTGGCTGGGGCCATGTCAGGAGGCGCCTGGAGGGTCTGGATCTTTCTAGAAGGCTGACTGGGTGGACTGGTGCCCACGATGTTCACCTGGCGCATGCGGAAGCTGGTGGGGCAGAGGGGAGGAGCGAGATTGTGAGGGCAGGGGCGAGACGATGAGGCAGGGCCTCGGAGCCAAGCCTGCTCTGCCCCGTGCAGCCCTGCAGTCCGCAGGTGCGTTACCTGTAGTAGGTGAAGGGGTTGAGGTCTGGGACCTCCATCGAGCGGGCGTCTGGCTCGTTGCTGAGCTGGTGAATCAGCAGCCACTCCTCTCCTTCCCCGACCATGCCCACCTGGAAAAGGAGGACCTTTAGATCTGCCCAGACTATAGGGCTGGGGTGGGGGGTGGGCTCTGAGCCCAGTTCCTAGGAGGCCCAGGAAGATCTCGGTCCAAATTCTAGGGCTCGCTTGGAGGTATCAAATGGCACCAGCATCTTTCCAGGCTGTTGGATATGATAGGGGGTGGGAGTCTGAGACCCCATATATCAGAATCATGCAGGACTGGGTTATCAACCCCTTCCTAGCAGTTACCCCAGACCCAGCCAATCCAGAATTCCTGGAAGAGGTTGTGCCAGAAATCTGTTCCTTTACCAAGTTCCCCAGACAATTCTCCCAGACGCTCTGGGTGTACTAAAAGCTGGTCTGCTTCTCAAACTGGTAAATCTGAATTCAAATCTGTGTGTGTGTGTGTGTGTGTGTGTGTGTGTATAAAACACTGGTGTTGAAATTTTGAATGCTCCTTGATGATGCCAGGCTGAGAACTCTGTGATTTAAGGGTCTGCAGGCAGCTGGTCACTACCCAACCTAGGTTTGGTGGGGTTCTCACATGCACAGTGAGGGGGAGATAGAGTCAGTTTTGAGAGCTGGAGGCGCTCTGGGTTTATAGATGGTTTATCATGGTTTGACTTCACAATTTTTTTTGGCTTTATGATGGTGTGAGGTTGACACGCAGTCAGTAAAAGCCACACTTGAAATTTTGAACCTTGTTCTTTTCCTGGGCTGGCAATATATGGTCTGACCTCCCCTCACAGTGCCCACCTGCAGGCAGCCGTCAGTGCTCTGAGCATGTTTTAGGTAGGTTTGGCTGAGCTAGCGAGTTTGGTTGGGTAAGTATATTACATGCGTTTTCAGTTTATGGTATTTTCAATTTAGGATGGGCTTACCAGGATGTAATTCCATCATAATTCTTGGAGCATCTATGTGTGGGTGTGACAGTCACGTGTGAAAACTGACTAAAATACACGTATGATTTTGCACTCAGGAGCACAGATCTGACGGAAGCCAGAGGTGGGGTGGAAGGAGCTGCCTGGCTTCCCTCTAGCAGGCCTCACCTGGGCCTCCACTAGCCATCGGGAGATAGAGGTCTTCCCATCGTAGCCAGGCCTGAACTGTAAGGTCACGGATCGGGGGCCAATGTTGGAAATGCCCAGGTTGGTAGGGGCCCCTGGGAGTTCTGGAGGAGGAGAACAAGGCAGGAATGGAAATCAGGTGAGCAGGTCCACATGGAACAAGGCTTTGGTTACATGGAGGGGACTGTCCTTGGAAAGATCTCGAGAGAAGTGTGACCAAGTCCTTATCTGCCAGTGCTGCCTGTACTATTGTATCTTACAGTGTACCGTGTTCTCCCCAGAGGCACCAAGGGGCCTCCATGGCATTTCTGGGTGCAAGTGAAATGCTCAGGAGGGAGCAAGAGGCTGACCTAATCCAAGCTGGGTTCAGGGAAAAGCCACAGGCTCTCCCCCTCCCTCCCTCTGCACACCCCTTTAGGGTCCTCCCACACCCCGTAATGGCTGTTTGGAGGGTGTGACAGCTCACGGTGGGACAGAACTTGGGGGCTCATGGGGTCAGGATGAGCAGATAAAGCACAAGCTCTGGAGTTGTGTTCTGCGTCTGAATCCAGTCCCACCACTTTTAGGCTGTGTATCTTTAGACAGGTACTTCTCTGTGCCCCAGTAAAATGGAAATGGTAATGGTATCCTCCACTTTGGGGCTGCTGTGGGGATCTGCTGAGTTGATGTCTATAAAGCCCTTAGCTCCAGGCTGACAGCAGTGCACAGGCATCAATATTACCTATTTCAGGGGTGACAGAACTCAGGGACTCAAGCTAGCTCCGTGGGCAGGTTGAGGAGCTCTGGTCAGGTCTGAGCCTTTCTGATCTGGACACTGCCACATGGTTATCTAGTCAAAATTCCCAGGGTCATGAAGGATACAGATGGGGAAACTGAGGCACAGATGGTGATAGAAGCAGAGCTGAGACGAGATCTCAACTTTTTCTTTTTGCAATCCCAAGCAAAAAGCTGGGATCTGACTGGACTTTCTGGGTGACCTCAGGTGCCGTGGCCTGGTGGGGGCAGTGGTGCTGATGAGACAAGGGTGGAGTTCTCCAGGGGCCTGTGGTTGGGGGAGGCAGCTTCAAATGCATGGAGCTTCCCTTCAGAGACCTGGAGTCACCAGACTCTGTCTGCTTGCGGGATCACAGGGAAGGGGGAGCTCTGTGGGCTGAAGGCCAGGATTCCCATCGGAAGGGGCATCTTCTGGATGGGGTGCTGCTCTGGAGGAACACAGAGGCCACTAGCCCTGCCGGAGGGAGCCTACCTGGAGGCACTCCCGAGGAAATGGTGGAGGCTGACACCTGGCCCTGGCCCTTGGAGGTCATGGCAGCCACCTCGATGGTGTAGGTGGTGAGCGCTGTGAGGCCAGTGACACGGTACTCCAGGGTCACATTGGGCAGGTAGTGGGTCACGCGGGTGTTGGTTCGGTTGTACTCTTCCCAGGAGATCCGGTACCCTGGAGAGAGTCCGTGACATGAGCTTGGCCAGGACCATCAGTGGCCTCCAAACACGTTCTGCTTCTGTCTTCTCTAGCTGGACAGTTCAGTTCACATGGAGCACAAGGGGCCCAGGGGTATGGGAGCTTCTGGCACAGGGCAGGTTCACAGGGAAGTGCCCTGGGAGGCCCCCATGGGGTGGGAATTGTAAGGAGCCAGTCCCTTGAGCCAGTCCTGAAGACCTGGGTCCAGAGACACTGAGATGGGTTACAACCCAAGGTACCAAGAGTTGCCTGAGTGGTTGCTCAGAAAGAATGAGATGAGCCAGTCCTGGTGATGCGTGCCTGCAATCCCAGCAATGGGGGAGGCTGAGGCAGGAGGATCACAAGTTCAGCTGGGCAATTTAAAGACTTAGTAAGACCCTATCTCAAAAAAAAAAATATTACAAAGGTCTGGGGATGTAGGGAGGGAAAAAAAAGGAAAAGAAAGGAAAATGAATTGGCTGGCTGGGAGGGCCTGGGGGAGAGCCAGCTGAAGGCAGGGGATGGACCGGCTGACCCTCCCCAGCCCCAACCCGCCAGGAGCGCCTCACTGCCTACCTGTGAGGATGCCATTCTTCTCTCCTGGCTCCTGCCAGCTGACCTTCAGCGAAGTATCCAGGATGTCACTGAAGCTCAGGTGTCCTACCGGCCCCGGCACTGTTCACAAAGGTCCCCCCCCATCCAGAGCCAATTAGAGCCAGAAAGCAAGACAGCCCCAGGGTGACCTGAGGTACCCTGGGCAGGAAGGGAGGACCAAAGAGCAGCCAGGCCACCTACCGTCCTCGTGGGTGCGCACCAGCTGGGGGCTACTGCGGGGCCCGTCCCCGGGTGTAGTGAAGCAGAGCACCGAGGTGAAGTACTCGGTGAACTTCTTCAGGCCTGACACGAAGCCCACGTGGATGCTGTCTTGGAAGTTGGGCCGGGCAGTCACCATGGTAACCTCTTCCTCCTGCTCAGGCTCCCAAGCGATCAGCTGAGGAGAGGCCAGCAAGAAGGTTCCAGAAGAGGTCACACTGTCTGTCAGCCATGGGCTAGGCCAACGGGCCGTGTCCTGGAGCCAGGGCCCAGGACCTGTGTCCAGGACATAGACCTGGGACTGTGGGCCTTGCTCACACCTGCTCTGACACGCTGCCCTGTTCTGGAACCTCTGACTCCAGGCAGGATGTTCTGGGTGAATTCTCCCAGGGTCTGTCCTCTCCTGTGAGGACGCATCTATCAGGACCGACTGCATTATTTGCAGGCCCATTGCAAAACTAATACCAAGGGGCCCTTGTTGAAAAAATTACTTGAAGATGACAGCAACAGAGATTTAACCAAGAGTGAGACTTTCCAAGTGCAGAGCCCTGGGCCACTGTACAGTTGCCTAAGCATGAAGCCAGCCCTTCATTTTACAGATGAGAAAACTGAGGCTCAGAGAGGATGAGCGACTTGTACTATGTCACACAGCTAGGGGAAGCCAAGGGTCTGGGATTCCAACCCTGGGCTCTTACACTTTTCTCCCTATGAGCAGGGGCAGCTGTGTTCCACGAATTTTCCAAGGGGGACTTCCCATACAGCCAGGAACTTTGGTTTGTGGGTAACTCTTGTCCCCTTATGCTTGCTCCAAGTGAGGATTGGAGACATCACTTAGAGGTGGGGGACGGGCAAGACGCCCTCAGCCAGAAGCCCACCACTTCCTCTCTGAGCTCCTTCTGTCCACTCCTCCCGCGGGTTCCCAAGTCCACTGCCTCCCTGTCCTTTGTCCTCGTCCGCTTCCTGCCGCCCCTCACCAAATGGGCTTCGGCTCTGTCATCTCCTGCTCTCCTGTTCTGGGCCCTTCATCTGTCTCAATAATGACAGCTGGTTTCAGAGATTTCCTCATTTATTTGAAGTTGATTAAATAGCAATTAATGGTGGAAAGCTACACTTGATGAGTTTTAATAAGCTTGAGTATTTATAGATATAAAACAATACCACACCAGTGTCTCCCGATTAACTCATGCCTATAACAATGCTTAATCTTCCTTTCAGGGCCGTGTGTTTACAAAGGGTGTTTTGAAATTTAATTGGTACTGTAAAAAGATAGCCTATAGCAAGTTAATTAGACACTAATTGGACCCTAAAAATACTAATCAGAAATACTAAGTGGCATTTGATAAGTATGTTAAATATCCTCTTTATTTTAGTTATCTTGTTTTATAGCAATTAAGTTGCTGAACTTCTTTGGAGTAGATGAAGAAACAAGCTTAATGTTTTAATTTAATTTAATTAATGTAAATTCGTAATAATTATGCCATTGGAATTAATTGTATGGTGTTTTCTAGCAAGTGTAAAATTTGGGTAAATATTATTTTATTGGGCTTACAATAATTATAATTTCTATGATTTAAAAAAATAAAGGAAAAAAAAGGTCTTTATTGGTTCTTTAAAACCATTATTGGGCCCTGTGCAGAAAAATGACACAAAGGGAGCACACAGGATGACAAAAGTGTAGTTTTGAGGATGGGCAATATTGACTCAATGGTCCTACCGTTATACCCCCGATGCTCAAGGGGGCAGCAGGGGTGAAGAACTATAGGATAACAACGTTCTCCAGGTCCCTGGGACGGCAGCCCCCTTAGAGACTGAAGGCCTGGGAAGGAACCTTGTAAGAGAGGGCAGTGCTGCTGGTGGGCATATGTGGGGGGGACACAGAATGTGCAGTCAGTTGGAGAAGGACAAGCCTGCACTGGAGCAGCTGAGCCTGAGCCCAGCTCTGTAACTGTGGGACCCTGGGAAAATCCTTCCTCCTCTCTGAGCCCCAGGAGAATAGAGGGGAGAGTACTGGCCATCTTGCCAGGTCTAGGAATTGAGGGAGTAAGATGGTGTACAAGGCTTCCAGCTACTTAAGAAACAAGAGTAAGGAGAAATCTCTCTCCCTCCACCTCTCGGCATACACATAAATTTACATCAAACATGGCAGAGGTCACGTGGAACACCAGTAGGCAACAGTGGATACTTAAGGGTGGAGAGATGTGGGGTTGGGTGAAATAGAACCAGGCAGATGGAGTACTGGGATGGGATGGAGGCTTTTTGCTCTAAGTTTATTTTGTTTTGCATTGTATATTTCCTGTTTAAAAAAGTAAACTAAAAAATCGGATAAATCAAGTGGGGATTATTTTCCAAAAGCAGTCAAATGGTATGCGTGTTAACCTTTTGATCTAGCGATCTCATTTTCAGGAGTCTGTTTCGAGGCTACAATATACAAGAAGAAAAAGATGCATGCGCAAAGCCATCCACTACTGGTTACAATAAAGACTGAGAATCAAAATGTCACCACTGGGGTGCAGGTGATCACAATACGTGACACAATATGGAAGGATGCAAAAAGAATCAGGGAGCTCTTCATACATGTATCTTTCAGGAATATTACAGGTGATAATACAAAGCAAGGTGGAGAAAGTGTTGAATATTACCCTTGTTTATCTAAGGAGCAAGGATATATATATATATGTGTATGCATATGTATATGTGTATGTATATGTATGCATGTACTTGCTTATATGGAAGAAATAGGAGGAAAAAACCAAATCAAATCATCAAAAAGCAGTCCAACCTCTAGGGGAGCAAGAAGAACTAGAATTTGCTTTGCAGATTTGATTTTGGATCCATGTAAATATTCTACATAATTATAGAACAAAATTAAATTAAAAAAATCAATCCCTAAAAATTGAAAACAAAATGAAGTAAATGAACCTAACAGAGTATTGAGCTGTAGCAAAATTACACCGAGAGAAGCCATTACAAAGACGCTGTAGCCCAGCCTGTGAAGCCGGTCCCTCCTGGGACGGACCCTGGGAACACAAGGGCTGCAGATGATCCGAGACTATTGTCAGTAATTAGGTTCATATTGCTATTCTGAAACTGTTGTGCGTGTTTGGGGGATGAAGTAGGTGGGTAATTATGTTGCTGGTGTAGGAACTGGGTTTTCGGTATGGAGAAAAAGAATAAAGACAAGTCCAGTGAGATTATTAAAAAGCTTGTAGCCCTGAAAAGAAATGGGAAGTTTCAATATGTTTTATCTTAAAAAAGTATTTTTTCCTAAAAGTCGATTAACAGGAAGCTGTAAGTGTTCCCAGAGCAAGGAGCACTCCAAGCGCTCTGCTTGTGGTATCCAATTACTCCCCTTCTCTCTCTCTCCCTCTTTCTCTCAGCAGTACTGGTGAATAAACCCAGGGCCATCATACTGAACTCCACTCCCACCTCTTTTTTATTTTTATTTTAATTTTCAAGACAGGCTTTGGCTAAATTGTCCAGGCTTGGGTTGAATCAGCAGTCCTCCTGCCTCAGTCTCCTGGATTGCTGGGATTACAAATGAGCACCCTCGTGGCAAGCTTAACTATCAGTTCCACTAAAAGGAACCAGAAGCTCCTGGAAGAACTGGATGGTGAAGGGAATGATGAAGGGCATTCACATAGCATAGAATACCTTGTCACATCAGTAAGCGAGAAGGTTGTTCAAGGCTCCTGGGGCCATGTAACAGACGACTCATGAGCCAAAAGGAAGGGGCTGCTGATGGGCTAATTTGCCATCACTAAGAAAACCAGTGGCCATGGACTGAGACATATCAGATGGGTTAGGAAAAATTCTTCAGTACATAATAACACTAGCAGAAGCAAACAAAGCCAGAAGATACCTCCCTCCAACCTAAATTTATCTGCCACCTAAAAAGATATATACTAAGATACCAATTCATTGTATTGAAAATGCATTAATAGGGGAGCACTTATTACGATCTTCCTAAATAAACTCAATGTTCAGGCAGCCAAAAAATTGTAAATGGAAAAATTCTTTATTCTTTTTTTTTAAATTTTTTTTAAAAAAGCATTTCAAGCTAGGTGTAGTGGTGCACACTGCAATCCCAGCATTCTCAGAGGCTGAGGCAGGAGAACTACAACCTTCAGCCTAGCCTGGATAATTTAGCAATTTTTCTTTTGCCTTTTTGAGACAGGGCCTCACTATACAGTTCATGCTAGCCTTGGGCTCACTTTGCAGGTCTCAAACTTGCAACGATCCTCCTGCCTCAGCCTCCCGAGTACTGGGATTACAGGACTGCACCACCACGCCTGGCTAATTTAGCAATTTAACAAGACCCTGTCTCACCAAAAAGGGGATGTAGCTCAGTGTGAAGATCCTGGGTTCAATCTCCAGTGCCACAGCAATAATTAAAAAAAAGAGCATTTCAGCTAATGAATAAAGTAATTATATTTGCCAATTTTTGTTTTGCAGCCACTATTGAAATAACAGACCACACAAGGGCTGTCAAGGGTTGCCAATGTCATGATGTCACAATGAGAGAGACAACCAGACTGTGCCTTCTGGTGGAAATGCATACCACTTTCCAGGAAGTAATAGTTTGAAAAAAAAATAAATCCTCAAGCCTGAATCTGACCAGCCTCACCCTCCACATTCCAATTACTACAAATACAGTGTTCAGAGGAATGTGTTAAGGGACACTGTGGGGTTGCAATTGACAAAACCCAAGCTGTGCAAAATTCTATGGGACAAATGACCAAGTTTCTTCACTAAATAAGTTACAAGAAAAATGGAAGAGAAAGAGAAAAATCTATAGAGTGACTTCGGCAAAGAAAAAAAAAAAAAAAACAAAACAAAACCCCAAAACCAACCAATTATAATTGTGTGGATTTCATTTAGCTCTTGGAGCGAATAAGCCAGCAGCAGCAACGATGTGGCAAAGACATTTGAAGGCTGGCTGGCTGTCTCACAACATTAGAGGGACTGTTGATATTTTTAGGCATGCTAATGATGATGTGGTCATTGTGGTTTTGTTTTAAATAGAGACCTTATCTGTAATCTTTCGCTACAGAAGCATTTAAGGATGACATGGAACACTGCCTGGGATTATCTTTGAAACATTTCAGGAGAGAGGCAGAGAGCAGGGAACAGAGGGAACACACTCACTCAGGTGCGAGCTGCTAACTAGATGCTGGGGTGGGTATCCGGGCTCATTAGCGTCTTCCCTCTACTTGGGTAGATGTTTGACAATTTTCACAATTAAGAGGATGGGGGGGCATCTATTTTTATTGTTTGTACATGATAGGCAAACACTGCTTTGTTTTTCTTCCTGTGATACATACACGAAAGGCCAAAGAAACAGAAAAAAAAAAAGCCATTCCACTTTGATTCATTTGTAATGCAAAAATGTTAAGTTACAGTTGTCATTTTACAAGTAAAAGGTGATATTTTCTTGTGGTACCAGGCACTGACTGCAGGGGTGCTCTATTGGGTCACATCTCCAGCCCTTTTTATTTTATGAGACAAGGCTTTGCTCAGTTGCTTGGGCTGGCCTTGAACTTGTGATCTTTCTGCCTCAGCCTCCCAAGTGGGTGGGAATAGAGGCATTTGCCATTGTGCCCATGTTTTCCTTTTTGATATGAGAAAGTATGAGCTCTGATCTGAATCTGAGTTTTGGCAGTTACTGTTTGTCCTTGAACAAGCAACCGCCCTTTGTGCCTCAACTTCTCCCTATGGGATATTGCGGTCAGGCTCATAATACTTTTATCTTGGGGTTCCTGTAAAGGATATGCAAGAAAACAGAGTGACGCAGACAGCATGTGCCTGGTACGTGGGAAGTACCCCATGAGCTCCTCTTATTCTTCTGCTTGCTCCTGCACTGAGAATCCTGGGCACCCCCTTCCCACAGGTCTTCCCTGAGTGGCCACCGGATGTGGGGCACTGATCGAGCCTGGGAATCAGAGGGTTGAGGGGACTTCCGCAGCTTCTTCCCACTCTGGGTCACCAAGGGTCATTGTTCTAATTGTCCTGGTCACTGGTTGGCCCTCTGGCCCCCAGGGAGCTGTTTGCCTTAGAAGTTTGTAGCTCAGTCTTCCCACATGCATAATAAAACTTGTGCTTATACTTGGCTGAGAGAGGCTAATTGTTCCCAGCTCTGTTCCTGTGCTCTGGCAATGCTGGCCTCCTCCTTCCCTCCCCAGCTTCCCCCGAGTACCAATTAGGAGTCTGTTCCAGGCAGCCAGCACTGCAGCACCCTGCCTCAGGGAGGCTCAGTGGCCTTGGGTTGGCTGCCTTCCTGGGAGTGAGAAGGACGTAGCTGGGGCGGGTCCACTCGGCCTGGACCTGCCCTCCTGTGCTTGCAACACAAGCAGAAAATTGAATTCACAACTGAAAGCCATTCTTTGTCTGTCCAGCCTCTCCTGCCTTACAGTAACAAAGCCCGAGGCTGTTTGTCCTCGGGTTGATCTTGGGGATAGTCAGTGTAGCAAACACACTGCAGAGGGGCACTGGAGGCTTCAAGCTGTGGCAGCAGTCACCTCCAGGTCACCAGGTCCCACAGAGCCTGCAGCTCTCCCCCAGTCCTCCCTGGCTTTCCCTGAGGGGTGCACTCCTCAAATAATCCACCTCTGTTCCCCTACGTAGAGGGAGCCCCACATCTGGAAGGAGCAGACAGCAGCTGGCACTTGCCCCAAGTTGTTGGGGGGCAGGTGCTACTCCTTGAAAATACTGCATAGATGATGCACATGGGATTTGCCTTCCGTTCTTCCAGGGCTCCTCGCAGCAGGAGAGGAGAGATGCAGGTCTGGGGTCCCAGCGTGGGGTTTCAGGAGAGGGTGACTGAGAAGCACTTACCTTCAGCACAGTTATAGCACATTGGCTGTGATACTTGGAGCTGCTATCCTACTAGATATCATGGGCTGAATCTGCATCCTCGCAGACTTCCTGGGTTGCGCCTCTAACCCCAGCTCCTAAGAGCATGACCCTATTGGTAGATGGAGCCCCTCACGAGGTGATTAAAGTGAATAAGGTCCCGAGGGCTGGCCCTAATCCAATATGACTGGTGTCCTCAGAGGAAGAGGTGATCAGCCGTGGACACCCACGAGGGAAGATACAGGGAGCAGGTGGCCACCTGCAAGCCAAGGGTAGAGGACGTGCAAGAAGCCATATCTGTTGACACCTTGATCTCGGACTTCAGTTCCCATGAGAAAACCTAACTTCTGTTGTTTAAGCCGCCACTCTGTCACAGCAGGTTGAGCAAACAAATGCAGGACTACTGCCAAAATCATTTTCTGAGGGCATATTGTGTTCGTCACCGTGTTGAATAGAGTACAGATATCAACAAATTTAATCCTCACATGTCTCTAAGGAATGGGTATAACCATCCTCCTTCCCCGACGATGACACCAAATGTCAATTCCCCAGCAGCCAGTGCGGTGCATACAGTAGGTGCTCAGTAAATATTTATGGAAAGACTGAAGCACAGCCATGTTAGAGAGCTTGTCCAGGTATTGAGCCAGAGGGACAGGCAGGAATCGCCGAATTCTAACCTTGCATTCTTTACTACATACAGCCCAAGGACCTGGCCCCACAGGATGCCTGTCATAGCCACAGGGCGATCTAAGAAGGGAGTGTTGGGTTTTCTGTTGGGCCCTGGCTATATCATGTGTGCTCGGCCTGAGTAAACCTGGCTTTTTCTGATTTCAGTGTCACTGCAGATGCTCCCTGCACTGGCCACAGCCAGGCCCTGGCCACACCACCAGGCCTTTGCGTGGCCTTGGAGGAAGCATGTGTGCCCTCTGCTTGGCTCGAACCCAGGAGTTCAGACAGAGGGGATCCCCTTGTGTTCCCCCTTTGCCTTCCCTGCACACCCTGGACCCTCACAGCTTCCTCCTGGGGCAGGGGGACCCTGCATACCTTGTAGCCCTGGTTGATGCCATTGATGAACTGGGGGCTGGGGGCATTCCAGGTGAAGCGGATGGTTGTGGAATTGGTGGCTTCTGCATGCACGTTGCCTGGCGGGACCGTGGGAACTAGAGGAGATCAAGAGACAGGGTGGGCAGAGGGGCCCGCCAGTCTGCTTTGCCCAGTTCAACAGAGAAAACAAGAGGCGGGGGTCCACAGACTGCACTTTGCTGCCCCCCACAACTCTCCTCACATGTAGATTCTGGGTGCCCTCTTCCCAGCCCTGGTTAGTTCAGGTTCAATAAGCCTGGCCCGGATCCCTCCTAGGGTGCTGATTAAAGACGTAATGGCTAAGCATATGTTGCCCACCAAGCTGGCGTGGGTGGGTGTCAGCAGAACACAGAAAGCAGTGTCTCGTGATCTAGTCAGGCAAATCTTCGCAGAACCCAACACCCCGGAAGCCCATATCCCACCCTGACTCTCGGGAGCTGCACACAGGGTGGTGATGCTACTCAGCTGTGACAGCAAGGGCCTGGATGGAGCAGGCCACCCAGTCAAGGCACTCAGCATTGGGCAGGCAGAGGACACAGCAGGCACAGGGCCCAGTGGGAGCAAGGGCTGTGCCTGCTGCTCCAAGGCCACCATCTCTACCCACCTCCCTGGAGCGTCCACTCAGTGACCTTGCTGCTGTAGACACCTAGCCCGGCGCTGTTGTAGGCAGCCACTTCGATCTCATAGTTGGTCCAGATGATGAGGTCCTCTAGCAACAGGTTGTTGACGTCAGCGTCCGTGATGTTCTTAAACTGGTACCCAACTGGCAGCCCAGCCAGGCAGTACCTAGGGCAGTGATGGTGAACTTTTTAGAGCTTTCAGTGATACAAACAGTCTGCTGAGGCATGTGTGCCTAGGGGAAGCGGCAAGGGCAGGCCCGTGAGATGGTCTGGAGCAGCACTGCCCACAGAGCTTTCCGTGACAGTGGACATGCTGTACATCTGTGCTGTCCCATCGGGGTAGCCACTAGTGCCTGCGGCTGTTGCGCACCTAAGATGTGCTTAGTGAACTGGGCTGTGGTGTATTTCTGATTGCCTTGAATAGCCACAGCGGCTGGTGCTATACCTCACCAGGTGATACGAATCTAGGGCATGTATTGTGGCTGTTTCTTTTTTTTCTTTGTACTGGGAATCAAACTCAGGACCTTGTGCTTTTCAGGCAGATGCCTTATCCCCAGCCAGCTTCTCTGTTTGATGGGGGAAGAGGATGGGACTAGGATGGCTGAGCAGGGATGCTGAGGTCTCTCGGGGCTCACAGCCTTTGAAGGTCCCTGGAAGGAGAGTGGTCCCTGATGCTGGCTGGGTTCCTTTGCTGTCTTCCTCCAGCATAGTGGCGCCCTCACTGAGGTGGAATGAAAATATCTAAGGCCAACTGTGCTACCCACATCTACTTTTCCTGGAGAACAACTCCTGATAACAAAGAAATGGTTTTTTTTTTTTTAATCGGTACCAGGGATTGAACTCACGACCACCTGCTTGCAAGGCAGGTGCTTATGCCGCTGAGCTAAATCCCCAGCCCCAAGAAATGGGTTTGTAGAAGCAAATTTAGGAGTCATTCATGGAGGACAGATAAGTCATGGGAGAACCACAATGCATGTGGGCCTTGGACTCTAAAAACTCTAAAAACTGCAAAATGGGAGACTGAATGCAGTCAGAGCGTTCTAATGCCCCACAGTGCTCTCCAGACCTTAGCGTGCCTCAGAATCACCTGAAGTCTGCTTAAATTGCCTCTCCTCGAAGTATCCTACACAGCAGGTCCTGGATGGGACCGGAGGATTTATTTCTGAATGGCACTCAGGTGGTGCAAGTGCTGCTCGGTCAAGGACCACACTTTGAGAACTGAAGCCTTTGAGGATTAAACAAAAACTCATAGCAAAACTCATGATCACAGAGCAGCTGGACCAATACTGGTGTCCTCCCACTTTAGGGAATCCTAGCACTCATGATGTAGGAAAGAGACTTACGGGGTGGCCTGGTGCTATGGCCAGCCGGGATCCAGAACACAGTAAGAATTTTCAGTAACTTCAAATGCGAGCTGTTTACGAATGCCACTCTTGGGTAAGCCTTTGGGACTTCTGTTATACTGGCCTCAGTTTCCAGTTGAATATAACAATGAAAATCAACAGAACTGGACTTTGTTTTGAAAAACGGCCAAAGAAAGCATTTTCATTTTTCATCTGATTTTGCCCTCCCAGTGTCTGCACTCCCGGGCCAGCTAGAGGGTCTGGAGGAGATGGAACGTTCTGGGATCCCCAGGTGGCTTGCCCCTGAGACAGTGGCCCCTTTCCTTTGTGGTCGCCCTGTGGCTCTGTTCCCATGCCGGGCCTGGCATGGCAGCCTTGCTTTCCACTTAGCTTTGAGATTCTACTGGTGCCCTCTCTTGAACATTGCTGCTAGTTCCTGAGCTTCTCACTGCAGGAAGTTCTTCCCAATGTCTAGCCTAAGTCCTTCCTGCTGCAGCATGGACATTTCCTGTGGCCCGGGAGCACAGGAGACGGACAGCACCTGCTGTGAGCTTGCACTGTTCTCCAGTCTACTTCTGGTGCCCGCCACCATTACTCTCTGCTGGGGTTCGGCTGTTCCCCATCCCTAGGCAGATGCCTACCTGATGATGTAGCCCTTGAGGATGCCATTCTGGTGGCTCTCAGGAGGCGGCTGCCACTGGATCATGATGGACTGGTTGGTCCGGCCGCTGGCGATCACATTCTGTGGTGGGGCTGTGGGTGGCTCCTCCGGGAGGGAAACCCTGAATCAGAAAATAAAGAGTGGATGGGCCTTTGACATACTCCCTGGGGGACAACACAGGCACGTAACAGGAAGGGAAGAGGCCAGGTTCTGTGCCGCTCTGTTTCTGGCTGTGTGCCCTCTGAGCTTATTTCCACAAAAAGTATCTTGCCTGCCTTGCAAGACTGGTTGAGTCTCAAAGGACTCATCTATCTATCTATCTATCTATCTATCTATCTATCTATCTATCTATCTATTAAAAACACTACAAAACACCAAATGCGTTTACTTGTGGTACAGCTGAGGAACACGGGTTTCTGTTTCTCATTTGTGAAAGAAGCTGCTGTTAGGATTGGTGAGGTCAGACGTGTTCAAGTATTTTGGGAGGAGGAGGAGGAGTGTAGTAGTTATTTTCCACTAGTTAGCGGACCTGGGGCCTGAGCTAGGTCTCTCCACTGACCAGCTGAGCAGAGGGCGGGGCGCTGGGCAGGCGGGTGCAGCCCAGGCGCCACCTCCAGGAGCTCAGCCTGCGCCGTCTCAGGCACTGCTGTGGAACGCCACGTTCCGCCTGAAGGGTATTTTTCACACCACTGACACATATCCATTAAAACAAAAGTTAATCATTTTTGATGGATGTCTTTTTTCCTCTTTATTTTTATGTTTTTGCATCTTGATGGATCGCTTTCCTAGCAGCCCTGGGCGCACCAGCGTTTCCGGAGAGGCTGGACTCGGGGTGATTTAATTTCTTGCATGGTGGCTGAAATGATCAGCGCTGAGAAGAGGAGTCAGCAATGCACAGCTAGGTCGCAGTCACAGGGCGGGGAAGCTGGGGGTTGGGGCCCTCCGCCCTAGGGGTCCGCTGTTGGGATTCCGGGGCTCTGCAAGGGCTGGGGGCAGGCAGGTACGTGTTGTTCACCACGTCGCCTGCAGGGGGCAGCACATAGCTGGGCACGAAGGAAGAGCTTTTAATAAACAGTGAGCAAGGACTAGAGCTGCGGCTTGGCTGGCGCCAGGGTGTGAGGCCCTGGGCTCCATCCCAGCATCACAGAGAGCAACAGGGAGCAAGCGAATTCCCCTCTCCCTGCTGCCACGCTGGGCGGGAGACTGTCACTTCTTTCCCCTATTGGAGGGTTTTGTCCCTGGGGGTCTCTGGCGACAGCCACAGGCTGGACTGAAGCATCCTGGAAGAGTCGAGTTGCAGCTTTGACACATGTGACCCATGTCACAGCCTTTCTGATCTCTGGGATGACATTTTCTTTCCCCCTAGAGGTGGCTGCTTGGTCTACAGGGTTAGAGGGGCAGAACGCACCTTCTGCACAGACAGGTACAGTAGAGGGCATGGATTGCCTGCTGCTATATGCAACGTTCACTGCTTGGTGAGCGGTTTGCTGGAGCCCTCCCAGGGCCTGGCTGCATGTGTGGCACTGCGTGTGGACACCTGTAGACCCCTGCCCCCAGCCTGTGTCCTTTGACAATGGTGACAGCATAGGGAGCTGTGGAGCAAGCAGAAGTGCGTTCTGAGGTCGCAGAGCACACAGCTCCGCCAACTCTCAGGGGTTTGCTCTGTCACATGTCACACTCTGCCTACAGCCTGTGTCTGCCTGTGTCACCTCCCTTCTTCTTGCACTGTCCTTGAGCAATAGTTAGGCGTCTATAGAGGTGGAGGCTGAGATAGACCTGGAGAGACCTGGAGAGGCAGAGACATGGAGCCAGGCTTTCCCTGGGGCTGTGTCCCCTCCTCACACTGGTGAGCCCTGGTAGCCCCAGCTGCAGTGGCTGAAATGCCCCCAGAGGAGTGGCCATTCCTCTCACCTCTCAGTGTCCTTGCTGAACTGTCCTCTGCCCACATCATTGACGGCACAAAGACGGAACTGGTAGGATCGAGCTGGAACCAAGCCCTTGACCATCACTGAGGTGGCTTCGGGGTCCACACTGGCCAGGAGTGTGGTCCAGGGGGCATCTGCAGGAACACCAGGTGGGGCAGAGGTGGGCATCCTGCAGGGAGAGGACATGCTCTCCTCCTCTTTCCCCAGCAGGAATCCCGCCTCCTTTGGGCTGGCAAGAGAGCGAGGACCTCTCTGCATGGTTGGTAGAACCCGTCACATCTTTCTTCCGGGTCCCATTAGCCCACACAACTTCAGGGGCTGGAGGGCTCTGGAGGAAGCAGAGACTCATGGGAACTAAGATGCCTTCATCTTTTCCCTCAAATTGATGAGCTCGGGAAAAACTGTATGGAAAACACCACTTAGACAATATCTGCTAATTTTGGAGTTCAAAGAAATAAAAATAACAATAATAACCTTTGTTTTTCAGGCCTTTGCTCTGCCAGGCCCTGTCTTAAGCACCTCCTGCACATGCTTCTTGGGCTGTCACAGTGTCCAGACAGCAGAAGCCATTGTTCCCAGTACAGCTGAGGACACTCAGGCTGTTCACTCCAGGCTCAGAACCTGGAGATGGCAGTGGGGGAGGGGGACCCTAGACCAGCCTCTAGCCCAAGTGACCCTGGGACCTTACTATTCTCTGACATCTCCAGGACATAGCGGATCAGAGGGCTGTTCCCGTCGAAGGGCTTGGCCCAGGTCAAGTTGATGGCCCGTCTCTCCGTGGTGCTGAGTGTGGCCACCGGGTGTTCAGGTGCATGGGGCAGTTGCCTGGAGAAAAGATGCATAAGGGAGGAGCTGCTTGAGGGGACTAGGGTCACATGACAGGGACACCAAGACTCAGGTTGGATGGGCCGTGACGGCTTGTGCTCAGACACAGGACATGGCCCGGGCACCCACTTGCACAGTCCTCCCTCTGGAACTGGAGCCCACAGGTCTAAGCCATCCTTAGGCCCCTGCTCCTGACAGGGCTGCTGTGAGCTGGTGGAGGGTCCTGGAAGGATGCTCAGGGTGACAGCTGTGCTTCCCAACCTTGGCTCCGGGGCCTGGTTTTGTGGAAAATGATTTTTCTGTGGGCCAGGCTGGGCTATGTGTTCCCATGATGGTCTCAGGATTAGATTCGCATAAAAAGAGCACCCAGATCCTTTGCCTGCGTGGCTCACGCAGAAGGGCCCGGTGCTTGTGAGAATCTAATGTGTCCCTGATCTGATAGGAGATGGAGTGCAGGGAGTGGTGCCTGCGATGCAGCCTGGCTGTGTGTCCAGATAAAGTGCTGCCCATCTCAGGAGACCGGAGCAGGGCCACGTCACACTGGGCCCTGTGCCGTGAGAGGGAGCAGTTTGGATGCCCTTACCTGACCCGCAGGTGGGCACTGCGGGAGTCATTGCCGCCAGCTGAGAGCACCCGGCAGGTGTACGTGCCGATGTCCCCTGACCATGTCTGCGTGATGTGCAGGGAGCCGTTTTTGTCCAGGCGGATGCGCGGATTGCTCTCCGTGGCCAGGGTGGCTCCATCCTTCTCCCATACATACCTAGGAGCAGGAAGTACCGGTTAGCAGAGGAAGAGAGACAGACAGAGAGACAGAGAGAGAGGGACAGGGCCCAAAGCTCCTTCTGGAAAGAGCATGCCAGAGATGCACAGGGGACAATCCCAGACATGGTTGGTTCTTCTGGGGCGGGTGTGGCTGGGCAGGAACCTGGCCCCAGAGAGGAACCATGCAGTCCAAGGGCCTGGGAGTCCATCATTCCTGCCACGGGCGCTGTGCGCGGCAGCAGTCACACATTAAGTCATTATTGGTCGTTTACACCTGCAGTTCAGGACCCGGACAGCGCGCTGTTGCTTTTGGCTAGAAGCCACTGCAAAACAGCCAGCACAAAAGAGCCAGCAAAAGGAGCGCTCCTGAAGAGGCGAAAAAGATTTGGTCCAGAAAAAGAATGAAAGTTTCCGCATAGACTCCATTTTGGAATTAGTTTTATGAGGAAAATCATTAGATCGATGCATCACTGTGACAAATTGACTTTAGTGTCCAAAAACTCACTTTAGCTTTGGTCAGTCAGTACAAAGGGAACTTGAGAAATTACACACACTCTGGTGCCTGACACCAAGAAATATCCCCTCTGGAATTGTTTTGGAGGAAATATAGCCACTATCATTGTCAGGCACGCACGGGGAGGGCTGGCCCTGCCAGGGGAGGGTGCCCTGCGTGTGTCCTCCTCCCACCCCAGGCTGGCCCTGGCTCTCAGCAGGAGGGTGACTCAGACCCCTTCCCCACCCAGAGAACAGGCTGGGTGTGAGCCGCAGGGCCTGGGACTCTCTGGGGTTCAAATTCAATGTAAGATTGCTGGCCAGCATAAGTCTGTAATATTGTTAAGATGAGTTTAAAAGGAAAAATCAAGGGAAAAATACAAAGTCCAGAGTAAAAAGAAAAAAGGAAAGGAGTGAAGAGAACCCAGAAGTTCCCCAGCACGGGAGGAACCGTGGTTCCGTGTGAGAATCTTGTCCTCCAGACATTTCTCCTGCCCCACGGACAGGCGGGCCACTGCAGTGCTGCTGTGTTACATAGTCGGAGTCCGGCTCAGAGGTTGCCCTGGCCACATGTTAGCTTTGTGATCCGGAGTAAGTTGATGGAATTTTATCATGCCTCAGTTTCTCATCGGTAACTTGTGGGAATCAATACTACCTACATCATAAGGTTACTGTACGGATTGTGGAGCTAACATAAAATACTTGGGTAGTGCCTGGGTAATATTTCTGTGGTCAACAGAAGTTAGCAATCAACCTTTTTGCTGACACAGCACAGGTGTATCAATGATTTCTAACGATCAACTCATTGATCAATCGACCAATCCATACATCCTTCCTTCCATCCATGTTTTCTTTCATCAGCCTGCCCATCCATCGATCCACCTATCATCCATCTATCTATCCATCCATCTACCCATTCATCCTGTCTTTAAAGTTCTTTTTTCCACTCAACAAAATATACACACTCTTTTTTTTGTACCAGGAATCGAACTCATGTCTCGGCACTTGCCAGGCAGGCGCTGTGCCACTGAGCTACACCTCTGGTCCTATATACTCTTTTCTAAAATTAAAACAAATTTTTTCTTGCACCAGAGTCTCACTGTGTAATTCAGGCTGGCCTTGAACTTGTCATGGAGCACAGGCTGCTCTGGAACTCATAGAAATCCTGCTTCAGCCTCGCAAGTGCTGGGATTACAGGTGTGTATTTCACTGTGTCATGCTGCGTTGCATGTTTAATATGACACTCCACACCATGTTTTTTTTTACCAGATGTAGGATGTCTTAATGTTGCTGTTTCATCATTTAACTGACTTCTTAATGTTGGAATACAGTCTAGCCTTCCCTCATGATATTATAGCTGACACTTCGCTAAGCATCCCTTTGGCAAAATATTTCCACACATTCCACACCTTGAAGAACAAACTGTCAGCAGTAAAACTGCCAACTTAATTTTTAAGGCTTTTACAATGCATCTTAACAAATCCACAACAATAATCACCTTTCATTCATCTCTACCTAGAAAAGAATCATCTTTGCCAACAGTGAAGTTGGGCAACATTTTCCTTAAAATCAAATCTAGTGGCAGAGAGAAATTCCTGTTTTAAAAACACCCTATGGCAAGCAGACATTCTTTGCCCCAGAAAGCATAAGAAGCCTGTGAAATATATGTTAAAGCTGCGGAACTCTAATTATTTGATTTAATCAGAAATACAGGGGCTAGAAGTTAACCCTAAAGAGGAAGTAGCTAGCCAAATTCAGAATATGGGCTATTCTATAGTAGGTTCAGCTAACATGGCCCACTGCTTATCTGCATAAATAAAGTTTTATTGGAACACAGGCATGACTACTTGTTAACATACTGCTGACTGCTGCTTCGTTGCTAGAGCTGAGTAATTATGACAAACAGTCTACGGTACTTATAAGCCTAAAGTATTTACTATCTAGCATTTTACAGAAATAGATTCCTGGCCAATGTCTTATAGAACCTGGTTCCTCTAACAAATTGATTACATAAAGCAAAAAATAAAGATGAAAATGAAAATAAAGGTGCCCTCTCAATGAACAACTGGACATCTATGCACAAAAAAAGAACTAGTCACAGACCTCACATCTTCCATAAAAATTAATTAAAAACTAGTGTGGCACGGTGGTGCATTCCTGTTATCCTGGCTCTCTGGGAAGTTGAGACAGGAGGATCACAAGTTAGAGCTCAGGCTGGACAACTTTATCATTTAATAAAATCTTATCTCAAAATATAAACTAAAAAAAGGGCTGGGAATGTGGCTCAGTGCAAAGGCCCTGATTTCAATCACCAGTACCACCATCACCACCACCACCACCGCCAAGGAAAAAAAAAGCAAAATGGATCACAGACCAAAATATACTCTGCAGAACTCTAGAACTCCTAGAAAGCAACACAGAGAAAAATCTAGAAGACTTAGTGTCTGCCCCTGATGTTTTAGATATCACACCAAAAGCATGATGCATGAAGAAAGAAATGATCAGCTGGATTTCATTAAAATTAAAAATTTCTGCTTCTGAATAGATATGATCAAGAGAATAAAAAGAGAAGCCACAGGCTGGGGGAAATTATACAGATGACAAACATCTGATAAAGAACTGGCACCCAACACAAAGAAAACTCTTAAAATTTAACCACAGGAAAAAAAACAAAGTTTTTTTTTGACAGATCTCCTCCCTAACCAAGATCCACAGAAGGCAAACATGCATATGAATAGATGTTCCACGTCAGGCATCCGTTAGGAGATGCACATGACAGATGACAAGCATCTGAATGGCCATCATCCAGAACAGCGACAGCAGGACACCGACCCAGCCTTGGCCGTGGCCGGGCCACTTTCCGTGCCTGCTGGGGAAGTGCAAAACACAACCAGACCTTTGGAAGGCAGCGATGGTGGTTTCTTATAAAGTAGGATGTATTCTTAACACCATCTTTCCTAAACCAAAATGCGAAAAAGAAAAACAACCCTAAATCCATCATATTTGTGATAAAAATGTCCCCAAATAACCTGAAATTCTCCAACTGGCTGTTTAACAATTTCGATGAGTGCTTTTTCAGGGGCCTTCTTGGCTTTATGGAACAACAGATGGTCCTCAGCACATCAAGGATGTGTGAAAATATTTAGCCGCAAGGACATTCGTAGTCAGATTTCTTCTTAATAGTGAAGCTTAGAAATAAATATAATTTACAGTACTAGTTTGAAACTCAGTGGATCTCTGAATAATTGTGTAAATGAGTTGATACAAAAATATTTATTGATATAAGCGAGGCCCAGCAGGTATTCACGGGAAAACTAAAATTAACACAAAACGTGTCTAGTTTTTTAAAGGGGCATCCGAATATTATTACTGCTTCTGCCTGTCAAATTAAGGGGAACAGATAAATCAACTTTCCTTCTTTGTTCCTGATTTTTCTTTATCCATATTGTCCATTTTTTCCCCTAAAATGGAATGGCTTTGTTAAATAATAAAGGGTGGAAGTATTTATTATTAACAGTTACAAGCGCATGCTCAGGTTTGGTTTAGATCTGGCCCAGATAGCAAACAGAAGCATTCTCTTCTGGGATGGTGTGGGAGGCTTTTCACAGTGGCAGTCCACACTGCCCAGCCCCTCACCCGAAGGTCATGGCTTGATTCTGAGAACGTGTTGCTCAGAATTGGATGGCACCCACCTGAAAACCAGGCTGTTTATTTATTTAGAGTTGCTATGCTACCCAGGTTGACCTTAAACTCTTGGGTTCAAGGATCCTCCTGCCTCAGCCTCCTGAGTAGCTGAGACTACAGGTACAGTGTGTGCCACTATGTCCAGCTCCTAAAAATAACAGTGCTCTATCCTGGTGACATGTTAGAATTGCACGGAGAGCTTTAAAAATGCAGAGGCCTGCACCCCTCCTCCAACAGAGCTCAAGAAGGTGGAGGCCAGGAGGGGTTCCCACTGTCTAAGGAAGCCAGGCTGAGGGGAGCGGCAGGGCTGGCTTTAGGCATCGACTCTGCCAGTGCAGGGGGCTGAGGAACCAATTCTGCTCTCTCTTCCCATCTTAAAAAGAGTGTCCTAGATAGTCAATTTCATGCTAGGTAATGCCCCTTCCCATAAACTGGAATAAGGCCTTCCCACCCACAGGCTGTGGGGCCCCACAGAGTGCATCTGCTGAAATATTGCAAGATCTTCTAGTTCCTGCGTTCATCAAGAATTATATAGAGTAGCTGAGTGTGGTGGCACACATCTGTAATCCTAGCACACATGAGGATGAGGTAGGAGGACTGCCGTGAGTTCAAGGCCTGTCACCAGGAGAGAGCACTGTTATTTTTAGGAGCTGGACATAGCGGCACACACTGTACCTGTAGTCTCAGCTACTCAGGAGGCTGAGGCAGGAGGATCCTTGAATCCATGGCAATCCTCCTACCTCAGCCTCAAGCCCAACTTACTTTGGGCTGCAAAGTGAGTTCAAAGCCAGCCTGAACTAAATAATGAGACTCTGTCTTGAAAAAAAAAAGAGTTATCTAGAGAAATAATAAAATGCACAAGTGTTTTCAAACAAAAACATGATATTTTGTAAATAAAACACCAATTTAAAGTGTCACTGAGTTAAGAGAGTCTTTTGTGATTATAGAGTTCTTCAATTAATGGATACTAAAAGTATAGCTACTACATCACATCTGGGACTGAAACTCCCAGAAGTACTCGATGTGGGTTTTCTCTAAGGACTTTTTCACAGTTAGTATATTAATTTTTAAAATAAAAAATCTAATAAACCCAGAAATGAGGACAATCTGGTTAATCTGCCAAATTTCCAGCTATATCTACACGACTTCAGGGCTTGCGTGTGCCTCTGTGCTGGTGTCTGATGATTGTCCTAAAAGGTCAAAGTTGACCCTTTAATGATGTTTGGGCATAGCAGGGAGCTCCCGAGGCACCTCAGGTCTGGGGTGTCAGCCTGGAGGGTGACTGTGCTGCTTCCACTTGTCACCAGGTGGCGCTACAGGACACAGTTGCCACGTTGGGGGGGGGCATTCCTTCAGGAGGCCTAAGCTGGTCCCTGCAGGCTCCATGCCCACTGTTTGACAGTGACATTGCTCACCAGATTCAGGGGCAAAACACAGGCCATTTGCACTTCCGAGGAAGCAGTTCCTCGACATTCTGGAGCTCCTGGGAGAGAGCGGGTCTCTTCCTCCTGGTTTTAGTTCCTGAAGCTTCCTGGAGGGTGGTCCAGGTGTCCTGGGCCCAAGCTCAGGAGGGGCGCCTGCTTTTGCATCTTTCCTGCTGCTTCTGTCCGTATAGCCCCTCCCAGCTTCTCTAGTGACTTCTGGCATGTGACTGAATTCCTGCAGGCCAAGTCCCTTGCCATGTGGGGGTGACCCCAAGTTGGGCACCTCCCCTGCACAGGCCTGTCTTGGAGGGTCACTCTGGGGGTCACCCCCTGACACAGCTTTGGGATTGCTCTTGTGCCCTCTTGGCCGCTCTGCTGTGAAGATACTAACGGACCTGAATTAATTTGTCCACATGAAACTTGCAAGCAGGCCTACAGCATGGGGTGGGCAGGGAGACACTAGTGGCAATGGCCTGGATCACAGAGGGCACCCCAGAGTCCCCAGTGCAGCCTGACTTCAGAGTCTCTTCCTGGCCCTGGCTTCACCTGTGCGTCATCCCTTTCTCCTTGCAGTCCGGCATGTGGCTCCCTCCACAGTCCCCTACAGGCCACATTTCCCTCCTAGCTACGCATGCTATCCCCAGGTTTGCCCTCTTCTCTTGCCTGGAGCCCAGGTAACAGTGCAGCGAGTACCTGATGGTCACCCGGGGGTCATGGGTCACTCCACACACCATGGAGGCCTGTGTGCCCTTGATGACGCTCTGGTCCTGGGGAGGCCTGGTGATGCGAGTCCGGGCTGAAAGAAACAGTGGAGGTGACTGTTGAGAAGGGCAGGGGCTCCAGAATCACAGATGACAAGGGTGTGTGAGCACAGGCCCAATAAAATTGAGGTGGCATGGCTGGATGAAGGAGACTTGGTGCACACAGACGGGCTACAGTCAGTGTCCTGGGAGGGTTAAGAAGAGCAATGTAGCTGGGCACGGTGGCGCACCCCTGTGATTCCAGCACCCTGAGAGGCTGAGGTGGCAGGGTCGCAAGTTCTAGCTCAGCCTGGGCAGCTTCGTGACTTGGTGAGACCCCTCTCAAGGTAGAAAATAAAAAAAGGGCGGGGCATGTAGCTGAGTGTGAAGGCCCTGGGTTCAAACTCTAGTGCTGCAAACAAACAAAAACCACAAGAAAAGCAGCATGCTTCTGTGACACTGTAATCCACAAAAGCCACATTTATGGAGTGGGGGCTCCTTTATAAAGCCACGTGAATGGTGGAGAAATGGCAATCTGCGTAGCACGTTGGCGCCCCTCTGCGATGTCCGGCGTGGTGCTTGGCCAGGCCTCAGCTCACCCAGCCAGGCAGCCCCCAGTGTGTGCATGTGCAGGGCGTGGACACTCAGTCTCTCACGGAGGGGCTGGTGCGCCACTGTCTGGGGCTACATCTGGCAGGTGTCCTGTCTAAGGGACTGATCCCTGACCACAACCCAGCCGGGCCCATCTGATCACACCAACCCTGGCTGCTTCCTAGACATTACTGAAGTTAGCTGAGTAGCTGTGACAGACACTGTCTGGCCCACAGATCCTAAAATATTTACCACCTGGCCCTTGATGGGAAACAGCCTCCTGATTTCTGCCCCCAGGTATCTGAAGACGGCTCTCTCCCACCACTTCAAAGCCGTCTCCTCTCAGCCAGCCAAGGCACAAACTCTCCACCCCAGGCTTCACTAGTTGCTGGCTTCCAGATTAATTCATCACTGCCTGTCTGATAAGGACAGCCCTGGCTGAGACGCAGTCGTGGTGTGGGGATGCTGGGACCCTGAGTATGTTCCTGTGTTGGGGGCAGGTTAAGAGCCACCGGTTCACACAGACACGGAGTCCCCTGCACCCCTGCCACAGCCACTCACTCACCCCATACGACCAGGTCTGCCGAGGCCTCGTCGACCCCCCTCGAGTTGGTAGCCAAACAGGTGTAGGTGCCGGCGTCTGAGATGTGCGTGGGACTGATGAGCAGGCTCCCCGACTCCAGGAGGGTGAAGCGTGGCAGCTGGACAGAGCCGCTGGCCAGGATGCGCTCTCCTGAGGGTGACATGGTGGGGTGGGGCTCATGTGGTGCTTTCTGTGCTCCCCTAGAAGGCCCGGGCAGGGCTGGGTGGAGGCTGGGTAATAGGCACAAGGTCACCGGGGCACCTGAAGCCCAGGCCTCCTGATCGCCTCCTCCCATCACACTGCTCGCCCTTCATGGGACAAGGCCACACTTTCTCCTGACGGTGGCAGACAGCAGCCAGGCACGGCCTTGGAGGCAGCTGGCACCTGGGCCAGGCGGGGGAGGGGACAGCAGACTGATGAGGTGGTGACAGGCAGACAGGAAGACGGGCATCCTGGGGTAGCTCGCGTCTGAGTCACCTTCAAGGGGTTGGTGGAGAGTGATGCGGGGAGGGGTAAGCAGTGAGTGGGCAGAGGGAGAAGCACCGTGTGCCGTGCTGGTGTCCATCAGGATGGACCTTCGGGGGCACAGACAGCCTGGTGCCCAGCCTGGGGGTCCCAGCTTGCAGTGGGACAGAGGGACAGAGAAGAGAGACACAGAGATGGCAGAAGAACACACCCACTGTGCTGGAGGTGCTGAGAGGCAGGTTCCCATGGCTGACTCTATTCTGAAGAACGGCTTGTCAGTAGGCGGGGGTCTCTATGTGTGCCTGCAAGTCAAGAGTGTCGCCTGCACCTGTGTCATGTAGGTGCGCTTGTCCTCAGGTCTTGACTCATGCTGCCTGTGCCCATGTCCATCCTGCCTGCTGTGTGCCATGATCTGTTTTAGGTGTCAGGTGGCTGTGTAGTGCACAACTTCTGTAACTGCATCTGGGGAATCCAACCTGGCTGGCTCCAGAACTTAGTTTTGAGGATTGCTCTAGACTGTCACATGGCCATACCCACTGAAGGCCTGTCCCATCTACCTTTCTGCCAAGTGATGGCTGGCCGGGGTGCCCCCGAGGTCTCACATGCCAGGACCACTGACATGCCGTCAATCACCGTGCTGTCCAGGGGGCCCCTGGTGATGTTGGGGGCGATACCTGCAGACAGAGGCAGTAGGGTCTATTAGCTGGGCTCCAGGAATGGCTCCTTCCAAGGGGGCTGGGTCCTCACCAGCCCTGCCAGTCCTGGTGCTGTCGGGCTCTCTGGTGGGGACCTGGATGAGGGCCCAGTGTTGGGAAGGAGTCTGGAGCCCGTTCGGACTCCTTGGAGCCTCCTGCTATAGAGGAGGAGCAGGTGGTACCAGCCCCACCGCTGCCTGAACCCTCATCCTCTTTAAAGGGTAAACTGAGAACCCAGAGAGCAGCTCCCACCCTCCATGACAAGGTAGATGGAGTCATCCTTCATCAACTTCAAACAGAGACTCCGGTTTCTCAGAGGTCAGCTGAACCCCAATGCAGTGGTGGTTCTCTCTGGAGGCCTGAGCAGGTTCTCTCTCCAGGACTAGGGTCACTAGGCCTCTCATGGACCCACGATCAGTAGGAACCTGGCTTCAGAGCTCCTCCCCAAAAGAGCTGCTGGACCCACCCTTGGCTCCATGCCAACAGGAAGGACTTTGGGGGCCCTTGGTGTCTAGGCTGCAAACGCTGTGCACAGACGGCTCTGGGATGCTATTGCTAGGTAATGGCACATGCGGTCCTCACAAAAGCCCCTTGGCTGGGGGAACACTCTGCCCCAGGAGGGCTCAGGGGTGGGACAAGGGAGGCCAACTTACTGGTGACAGCCAAGTAGGTGGAGGTCTGCACCTCGCCGGCCGCATTGCGTGCGAAGCACTGGAACATGCCTGTGTCATCGGGCACCAGGCCACTGATCTGCAGGCCGCCGTCACCACGCTGCCGGAAGCGGGCCAGCTTCTCCACCTCCACCACAGCTGCGTCCTTGTACCAGGTGATGGAGGGCGGCGGCACACCTGTGAGGGACCGGGTCACCTCAGCCCACCTCATACCTCTCCCTGGCTGCCTCAGCAGGATTCTGGGGATGCACCCAGACTGGAGTCTGCAAAGGGGACACTGGTGTGTCTTGGTCTCTAGAATCTTCTCAGAGTTGTCCCTTTTTGGGTTTGATGGGGGGGGGTTATTAATACAGCAGCAATTCTTAAATGTTGCGGGACACAGTAAGAATTCCAAGAGAAGGAAAAAATTCCACGTTCAACTTACCTTACAAGTGCTGGGACAGAAAACTAATTTTTAAAAAATCTACAGTATGTAGCACAGCTTCTGTGGACTCTGGGACCTCTGCGGAGAGGGTCATGGATAACACCAGAGGGGTTCAGGATAACTCCTCGGGAGGCCCTCGGAAGCCCTTCTTCCCTGGCCTGCACGCTCCTCTCTGAGGTCTCTCTGGCCCTCTGTCTCCCTCTCTCCCTCCCTGGGTCTCTGCTGGAATGCGGCTTCCCCGCAGGAGCACCCCCAGCTCTGTCCAACGCAGCCTGCCTGCTTTTCCTCCCTGCACCCCTCCACCCGGTATCAGGCTTGCTGCATCTCATCCAGCGCACGGTGCACATTTTTCAACGTCCTGGAGTCAGGGTGTGTCTCAGAATCGACAGCGTGTCATGATTTAATTGGCAGCCTTTTTTCTTTCTTAGTGGTACATAAAATAATGGGGCATCTTATGACCCATGGCATTTTCGATGAGATGAAATAAGGTATCTTTGTTTATTGGTTTGTTCATCTTGGCAAGAATGTGAGTATCTAAACAGTAGCGATTAGGCTGTCTGGTTCAAGCTGATTCGCCAGCCCTTACAGCAGTGCGGACACATGCTAACCCCACCAAGGGTACCCGTTCCCTGAACAATCGTCGTGCAGTGTGGGGGCTCAGAGGGGAGTTGTTATTCCCGCCTCTCCGCTGTGGTGCCCCCTCTTTCCCGGCTACATTTACCCCTTTGCTCAGTATTTGCCCCTGCCTTGTTGTGTTCCCCTGCCCTCCTGTACTAGGCATCAAATTCAAGGCCTCTGCCCTGAGCTATACCCCCAGCCCTTTTTATTTGAAACAGGGTCTTGCTAAATTGCCCAAGCTGGCCTTGAACTCGCTATCCCCCTGCCTCAGTTTCCCTTCACCCCCAGCTCTCTCTTCTCTTAGCAGAAGGAGAAGGAGGGAAGGAGAGGATGAATTTCTCCAGGAATTGTGGAGGAGGAGAGGAAGCAGCACCTCAGCAAACAGGTGGGGTGCCTGAGACCCATCTGCAGTGAGACACACCCGTATCTGCCTGCTCCACCATCGAGGCACGGTCGGTCAGCAGCTCTCAGATTTCGGGCAATTTGGTCCTGTCACCTGTCCTGAAGTTCCAGTAATTTGGGTCCAAGTTACAGCACCTAGGGTTGGTTTCCAGCCTGAGACTGAGTAGTTTGGCCTATTGGTTTCCAGGGCTCTACCTAGGGCCGCGCCTTTGAGGAGGACGTGTGCTTTAGAAATGTCCCAACAGTGATGTGAGAGATGCTGATGGCCGGCATCCACGTCCCTGTCCCTGTGCCACCGCATTACCTTTGGCTCGGCAGGGAATGTCCACCACCTTCTCCATTTCGGCGGTGATGTGTCGCTCTGGCTCCTTGACAAACTGAGGTGGCTCTGCAGGAGGAAGGAGCAGCGGAGAAGGTGAGATTGTGGTTCTTTCACCCAGCCATGCTGCCCGACCCCCTGGGGAGCCCCGGCAGCCCCCAGTCACCTAGCACGGAGAGGTGGGCGCCCCGGACCACAGGGGCCACACTGCTGCTTCTCAGCACAGCCTCGCACTCGTAGTAGCCGGCATCGCTGACTGTGGGGCTGGGGATGGTGAGGCGGCGGTTGTAGTCGCTGAGGCCGCTGGACACCTGCACCCCATCTTTCTTCCAGATGATGTGCAACTTGATTAGGGGCCTGTGGATGCACGGAGACAAAGGTCAGCGCAGGGTTTCATAGCCCAGGTGGCTGGGTAGGGCAGGGAAGGAGCGTGCCAGGAGCTGGCAGCTTGCTTTTGCAATTTCTTTTTTCTTTTTTTTGTCTTTTTCCTTTTTATCGGTACCGATTTCCTTTTTATCACAACTGCCTGCTTGTAAGGCAGGCGCTTATGCTGCTGAGCTAAATCCCCAGCCCCCGCTTTTGCAATTTCTGCAGCCTCCTGCTCATGAGCTCCAGGGCACCGCCCTTTGCTTTGGGTCTCAGTCTCCTCATCTGTAAAATGGGGCCTAGCATGTGACCCTTCGGCTGGAAGATGAGGGCACTAGTTCAGGAAATGCACTTGGAAGGGGGGCTGGCGATGAAGAGAGGCAGGGAGCCCTGTGTGGTGGCTCCAGTAAAGCAGGAAGGGGCCGCCCAGCATCTTTCCCCGTCCTCCACATCCCTGAGATCTGGTCTGCTAGGAAAGACGCATCTCCCACACCCAGTGGGTCCCCAAGGACCAGGTTGTGAGGTTGTTCGGGGCATTCAGAGGGTTCCCTGGAAAAGGACAACTGTGGTCCTGTAAATCTGGGAAGTACTGGCCGGAAAGACATCGTTTGGAGCTTTCACTGCAGGGCTTCTCAGGGCCTGTCGGACAACCTCTCCCATGCTAGTAAGTGAGTAAAGTGGCCTTTATTTTAAGAATGCGTAGAGAGAACCCCTGACAACTGAGACCTGGCTTTCCCTCTCCTCATTCCTAAAATAAAGACCACTTTACTTTATATTCTGTCTTTTTTTTTTTTAATCTTTTTCCTTTTTATTGGTACCAGGGATTGAACTCACAACTGCCTGCTTACAAGGCTGAGCTAAATCCCCAGCCCTATATTCTGTCTTCTAACCGTGCTGAAAACTCTTTCAGTGAGAAACCTGCTTTCAGAAATACTGCTACTGAACGCTCTTCGGACTCCTCTGCAGGGTGTGACCTCAGGATTATCACCCAAAGGCTAACCTCTCAAGTTTTCTTTCTAGAGTAATAAGGTGGGGTCAAATCAAGTCAGGGCCCGCCACTTCCCTTAAGTCTAATGGTGAGGCTTTTGCACAGGCACAGGCCATGCCCCCTCCTTGATGAGCAAGCTAAAGCCCAGGAGCAGCCAGATACTTTTCACTGTTACAGCTTGCTGAGTGATCTTGGGCCAGGGGCTTACCCTCTCTGTGCTTTAGGGTCCTGACACGTGTGCTGTGCAGTTGTTGAGCAAAAGGAGGTTATGTGACGAGCATTTTACACATTGCCTCCATAGTGCGAGGCTCAGGGGTGATTTACACTACTTTTTTCCTTCTTTGGTTACCAGGGATCGAACTCACAACCTCACACTTGCCAGGTAGGGACTTAAGCCACTGAACTAAATCTCTGGCCCATCAGGGGTGATTTAATGGTTTCTATGTGAGGGCCAGGGCACCCCACTTTTTCACGATGTTGAGGATAGAACCTAGGACCTCGTGCATGCGAAGAAAGGGCTCTACCACTGAACTATACTCACAACTCTATTTTCTTTTTTTGAGATGGGGCCTGCTAAGTTGCACAGGCTCACCTCGAACTTGTGATCCTGCCTCAGCCTCCTGCAGGAGTCCATACTCTTGAGTTTCATGGTGATTGCCTCCTATACATGCATCCCTCTTGCCCTCCCCTGTGGGCTAGGAGGGCTCAGCTCTGTGAGGCCACCTCTCCCTCTTCGAGTGGCCACGATGTCGCCCAGGGCCTGGCCCTCTTCTCTCAGCCCTGGAGAATGACTAGCCCTGCTGTGCCTGACAGCTCCCAGACAACAGCACGGGCAGCCACCTGCGGTCTCCCTCTACACTTGTCATATTTCCGTTGTTGTTTGACCTTTTTTTTTTTTTTGAACTCATGACCTCGAGTTTACTAAGCAGGCACTTATGCCGCTGGGCTAAACCTCCAGCCCTGTTGTTTGACTTTAGAGACAAAGTCTCTCCTTGTATTCAAGGCTGCCCTGAACTTGTGATTTTCCTGCCTCAGCCCTTCCAAGTGTTGTGATTTCAGGCGTGCTCAGCCTGCAGACCCTTCTGAGTCTCAGCAGTCTCCCCACAGTGGTGGATGGCATTAGGAGGGGCAGGGAGAGAATAAGGGTACACCACCCACCTGGCATTGGCCACGCACTCCATAATCACTTCCGACGTCCCAGCCACCACACTGGTGTTCTTGGGGGGGATGATGATAGTTGGTGCGATGGGGTCAGCAGGACCCCCGACATCTGGGGAGAAGTCAACTATTAGCTAGAGCACAGGTCAGGACCCGCACCCTGCCTGGCCAGGCTACTCTACAGTGGGCGGGGAGGGACATACTCTCATGGAGCAGTGGAGCAGATGGTAGCGGGGGAAGCTTGAGAGTGGAACCCCTGCACCATCACCCCAGAGATTGCTGTCACTTCCCATCTTCCTCTGCAATGAGGTGCTACACCAGCATCTAGGGAAAGCCTGCTGGGGCCCTGCTGGCCACGGAGGAAGGCCTGCCCCACCCCTCCTGTAAGTTGGCCATTTCTCCTCCCTCCTCACTTTGCCCTGTCTTGCTGTCTTCGAATCCCTTCTCCTTGACTCAGTTTACCTTGTAGGTTCACATCTTTGTTGTCTGACTCCTCCACCAGAATGCAAACTCTCCATACCGAGTTGAACAGCACCCCCATTCATGACAACTGGGCAGTTATGAATTGGCCTTACTTGGAAAGGAGGTCATTGCAGGGTAATGTAAAGGAGGGGCCACACGAGGTTAGCACAAGCTGAAGATTCAATGCGACTGGTGTCCTTATTTTTAAGAGGGTAATTTAGACACAGGTGTACAGAGGAGAAATCACAGGAAGGCAGAGGTAGAAATGGGAGAGCTACGTCTGCAAGCCAAGAAATGAGTTCCAAGGACTGCCCAAAGCCACCAGATGCTGGGGAGAAGACAGGCTCCTCCCTGGACCCTTTGGGAGGGGCACAGCACTGTGAACACCTTGAATTCATACCCCTGGCCTCCAGGGCAGACAGGAACAAATCGCTGTTGTAATAAGGCACCTAGGTGATGGTGCTTTGATACTGTGGCCAAAAGAGACTCCCTGAGGCAGAAACGTTGTGAGTCCTCGCTATGGACTGAACTGTGTCCACTGTCTGTTGAACTGTTGAAGGCCTGACCCCAGTGTGAAGGGAGGGAGAGGCGGGGCTATGGGGAAGGTGTGTAGGCTTACAGCAGGACCTGAAGGTGGGTACCGACGGTGGGATTAGTGTCCTTGTGAGAAGAAGATGGACTTCAGAGCCCATCTCTCTATCTTCCCCATCCCTCTATCTCCCCATCTCTTATTTCCCCATCTCTCTGTATCCCCATCTCTGTGTCTCCCCATCTCTGTCTCCCCATCTCTCCATCTCCCTATCTCTCCGTCTCCCCATCTCTTTGTCTCCCCATCTCTCTGTCTCCCCATATCTGTATCCCCATCTCTGTGTCTCCCCATCTCTGTGTCTCCCCATCTCTCTGTCTCCCCATATCTGTGTCTCCCCATCTCTCTGTCTCTCCATCCCTGTGTCTCCCCATCTCTGTGTCTCTCCATATCTGTGTCTCCTCATCTGTGTCTCTCCATCTCTGTTTCCCTGTCTCTCTGTGTCCCCGTCTCTCTGTCTCCCCATCTCTCTGTCTCCCCATATCTGTATCCCCATCTCTGTGTCTCCCCATCTCTCTGTCTCTCCATCCCTGTGTCTCCCCATCTCTCTGTTTTCCTGTCTCTCTGTGTCCCCGTCTCTCTGTCTCTCCATCTCTCTGTGTCCCCCTTGTCTCTCTCTACTCCATCCCTGTCTCTGTCTCTCTACCATGTGAGGACATACTGACAAAGTGTCCTTCTGCAAGCCAGAGATGCAGCCCTCACGGGCTCTGGCCGCTGTGGCTCTCTCATTGCAGACTTCAGCCTCCCAGACGGTGAGGGTGACTGTCCTATACTCAGCCAGGGGCTTTGCTCTGATGTCTGACCTAGTTCATGGCTCTGCTGTTACCATGCACAGATGGTCAAATGAATGGTGACACCTGGCACATAGTAGGTGCTCAGCACCTTGCAGTGAGCCCTAAGTGGACCCAGAATTCTCATTCTACGCTCCCAGGCTCCATGACTGAAATTACAGAGAGCTTCCCAGAACAGTTTCACTGAAGGAAAAACAAACAAAACAGAGCCCACAACAGTTCTCATCACAGTGGTACCATTTCCTTTTCTTAGGGTCTGAATTCTTTAGGAGGTAGCCAGGCTCTTGTCGTTATGGGTCAGCGTAGGCCCAGCATTGGCAGAAACTCCGATAGGCTCTGTACACCTGCTCAACAGCTCCTAAAAATACAGCCTCTGAGGAGTTTTTCTCTCCCACAAATCTATTCAGTTGGCTTCTTTCCAGAAGGCTCCAGAGGTGGTGAGCCACGCTGGCCTGCATGGCCCGGGGTGGACAGTGATGGACGGGCCCTGTGGGGTGGGCGGAGGCAGGCAGAAGCCTGAGGCTACTCTGGGACACCCCAGTCAGTCCCTGGCAGGCTTTTCCAGCTGGACTCCAGGCCTTGCTGGAAAAGGCTCAGGAAGAATGGGAATAAAATGTAAAAATAAAGTAAAATGAAGGACCAAGAAAGGAAGCATATAAAGCAGAGTAATTGCAACAATATAAAAGCCTCATGTAGGTGCCATAAAGAGCGATCGGATTGAAAGCTGCTGATATAGCTGAATCCATAAAAGTGTGCTCTAAATTGTTTATTACATGCTGGGGTGCGCAGGTACCACGGCCCAGATTAATGGAGCACAAGGAGGAGGCAGACAGTTAGAGGCGAGCCGAGAGCCCGCAGAGTGGCCGGGGAGACACAGGGCCCCGGAAAACAGTGAGCCACGGTGGTGGGTGAGCTGGCACAGGAGGCTGCCAGGGCCTCCATGGGCTCCCTGGCTGGGGAGGGATGGAGAGGAAAGTGCAGGGCTGGAGGGGAGCCACTGCGCTGGGGACCCTAGGCATAGGGACACCGGGTCCCGGGAAGCCTGGGTTCAAAGCCTCAGTCTACAGCAACTGTCCTGGGGTGACCTCAGGAGTAGGTTCTGTTTTCTTGGTGGCTGAAGTGGGATAAAACTCACTGCTGTCAGGGCTCTGTGAACCCAGTCCCTGGCTCAGTACATCTGTCCTGCCGAGTGCCTGGCATGTGCCAGGAGGCAGAGATTTCCTAGGGGCCCAGATGTCAGGGTCTGTCCCTGAGGGGGATCAGCGCAGACATTGGGTGACGGCGGCTGGGAAGGAGGGCCAGGTGGGTGGCTCAGCAGGCCGGGGTGAGGTGGCGCACAGCAGGTACTCTATGAATGACAGTCCCTGCTCCTGGGGATTTACCTGCCTGGGTTGAAGAGAGCTTTCCCATCACCCTGACTTTGAGGCTACAGAGAAGTAGAAGTTACAGACCCTCGGGGGCTGTGCATGCATGGGCTCCAGGACACCAAGCAGAGCCTCAGCAACTGGGGACAGCAGGGAAACGGCAGCAGGGAGGACGCGGGACTTGAGTAGGACTCAGAGGAGTGGGCAGGCAGGGGATATTATAGTATGGGAGCTCCACGAGGCAGGGGAGCCCCAAGAACACCAGGAAACGGGAGAGGAAGTACTACACCTGTAGAGCAGACTGTGGGTTCTCCCAGGCTGGCTGCTCCATCCTAAACTGCTACCCCTGCCTGCAGAAAGTGCTAATTGGTTCCAGAGCCTTTGCTAGCTGAGCCCAGCAGTGTCCTCAGAATCCTTCCCAACCCACCCAGTGCAACCAGGGGGCAGAGCTGGGTGTGCGGTGAAACCCATGTCCCGTTCCCACTAGGGGGAGGGGAGGCACATTTGGTTGGGAAAGGTTAGATTGAGACCTCATGGCAGAACATCTAGGAGCTGGGCTCTGCACTGGAAGTCAGCCTCCAGGAGCACTTTGGCCGTAAATGGGAGGACAGACGGGGACAAACCACAGGGCTGGGGGCGGAGGAAGATACAAGGGCTGGTTTAGAGACCAGCTGCCTAGAGATGGGCTGATCCCCGTACAGAGCAAAGGGGTAAGCCTGTGGGAACTGGGATTCAGAGGGTGATGAGACTGATTTCATCATAGTTTTGAGATGGTGCGACATCCAAAGGGAGAGGCGCAGAGGCACTGGCTGAGCCCTGCTGCTGGGGGGCTGGGTGGCTACGTGTGCAGGAGTGCCAGGTGAGGTTGGGGGGCAGGGCCACAGGGCACGGGAAGATCATGGCTGAGCCCTGGATGGTGGGCTGGTTCCCTGGGGTGAGGGGCAGAAGTGATGCAGTAGAAAGCGTGGCAGGGGACGCAGGGTGGGCAGCAGGTGGTGGGAGCTCAGGGAATCAGGTGTGGGGAGGGCAGACGGAACTGAGAGTCAGGGAGTGGGTGCCAGAAGGGCCAGGGCGGTGATTCAGGTCTGGAGGTGGCAGAGAAGGAGCCACTTCCAACCAAGTGGAGAAAGGAGGCAACAGGTCCCGTTCTGTGGGGAGCAGCATGAAAGGACACAGCAGTTTCCTACTGAGCTCAGCTCCAGGAGACATAAGGTATAGAAGCTGGGGTGCAGGCTGTGGGTCAGAGAAGCCTGGGTCCCGTGCTTGCTTTGTCACTTCCCTGTATGCCCCTGGGAAGTGCATTCCATCATCTGTCTGGGTTGCTGAGCTCAGCCTGTTCATCTATAAACTGCGTTAATTATTACTGCTCATTGCCTGCCTCCCACGACTGAGGTACAAAGTGACAGGTGAGTTCAGAGTGTGGAGAACTGGCTGGGGTGAGGGCAGAAGGGTGATGTGGCTCCCCCTCTGCGGGACACACCTGCTGTTAGGTCTCTGCACCGGACAGGGCATTCTAAGCCATCTCCTCTGTCTCTAGGTGTTCTGTGACCAGCTAGGGGGAGCAGAGGGTTCTGACACCAACACAGGACCTGTGTCTCATTAAACTCATGCCCCGACAGGGCTCCAGTGGTCCCAGCCCACTAAGCCCAGACGTACAAGATGGCAAGAAGCTGAGAGTCCCCCACCTTTGTGGGGCTCGGCCCCTTCCCGCCGAGTCCAGCAACACAAGGTGGCTCTGGCGGAGGCTTACTCTAAGTGAAATCTGCTCCAGCCCCAAGGTGGTGAGGTTTTAGGAATGAAGGGAGTACCAAATGCTGAGCTAGGAAAGTCACAGGCAAGCTGAAGTAGGAACAAGCATCTTCCTTGTGAGCTCCTGACATGGGGGCCCCCAGGCCAGGACGATACAGGTGGCGGTCCTCACACCAGGTCACACTGGAGGCAGTAGCCCAGGATAATTTTCCTGACAGTCTTTCCCAGGGGCTTTTAGGGCAGTCCGTTCTCCCCAGGTCATCTTGCTTAAGGCTGTCAGCTGTGTCATGGGCGGTGCCTTACTGAGGAACCCCAGGCTCAGGGGCGATGTGGCCTTGCTGGCCACAGGTCCTATGGGTAGAAGCTGGGCTGTATCCACTTCTCTCTCCTGGGCAGGATCCGGGGACACTGCTGCGCAGCCACCCTGAGCACCAAGGCACTCAGGCCTTAAAACCAGCACCGTACCACACAAGGCCATGGCCTCATGTACCTCCTGAGTAGCTGAAATGCCCCTTTGATTTAATGTGATTTAATTTTAACTAATTTACATTTAATTAAAAACAGATTCCCCAATTCAGTTATTAGAACATTTTTAAGTATGTGTGGAACAACTTGGGCATAAGACTCTATCTTTTCAGCTGTAAATTCCATGAAATAGAAACACAGATCACGTATTTCAGATGAAAATTTAGCATTCCAAATTGAGATGAGCCGGAAGCATAAAACACACATAGATCTCAAAGACTTAATCTGCAAAAACCCCATGGAAAATACCCCACTAATATTTCCTACACTGATGGTGTATAAGAGGATATTTGGGATGTATTTGGTTAAATAAAACATATTCATAAAATGAATTCCACCTATTTCTTTTTACTTTGTAAAAAATGGGGCTACCCAAAAGTTTAAAATTGTGTTTCTCAAAGGTCTCTCACACCGGGGGCAGTGTGAGGCCAGCAGTGCTGGTCCATGTGGAAGTCACCTGGATTACTTGGGCCAGGGTCAGTGTCCAGGGTCCCCAATCTTCCTCTATCTTTCCCCATTTCCAAGGGCTCCCAGAAGGCTGCTAAGACAATCCATGCGGGATCAGAGCAGAGCAGCTGGGGTGCGGGAATGGGTGGGGGAGGCTGCAGAGGTCACGGGAGGGAGCCAGAGCTGGTGGCAGGTAAGGTGGCAATTGCTCCTCACAAATTGGTTGGCAGGCAGGCAGGCTGGGGGATGCATGTCAGAGTGAGGAACAGGGTTTTGAAGCGCAGTCCCTCACGGGAGGGGAAATTAGCTAAACATCAGCCGATTCTCCTCTCAATCTACCACAAATCACTGCGCAAGACCAGCAGCTAGGAGTGACAGGGAGAGACAGCCAGCTGGGTGAGGCACTGGGTGGGCAGGGCCAGCTGGGTGGCTGGGCTGGTTTGAGAAGGCGCAGTGAGGGACTCCATAGTCAGCGCTGACTCCTGTGAAGAGCTGGGCAGCAGAGGAGGAAGAGACAGCCAAGGCTCCCCCACCTAGGGTCAACTGAGTCACCCAGAAAGATATCTGGCTTAGACCTGGACCATGAGCCACTGCATTAGTGGCACTGCCTCTAACCACGTGACGAGGCTCTGTAACACGCTGGGTATATGGTCCCTGGGAAATATATGGGGAAAAGCTCTCCTTTGTGACTCAGTTTCTTTTTCTCATAGAAACAGCAGTCCTGGCTCGTGCATGGCTGGGGCTCAAGCTATGGACTCAGCGGAGAGCCTGGCTCCGGTCAGTGAGAAAGTCATCCTGTGACTCTGATGGGTCAGCAGCCAGAATGGATTCTCTACCTGGAAACTGGGAATTTGGGGAGGGATCCTGTTGGAGCTTGGAAGACTCAGGAATGGGGCTGGCAGAGGCAGTGGAGGGAGGCACTGGTGCACACCAGCTGGGATCTGGGGGAGGCACCAGAAGGTCCCTGATTGCCTTCATCTCACTGCTGGTGGGTACATTCCAGTGAGACCATGGATGATAAATGAGATTGCTCTGGGAATGGGAGTGGTACAGATGTGAAGGGACGTGAACATCTGGCTCCCTCAGCTTATGCGGGGTTTGGCTGCTACAGGAAGTGCTAATCTCACCCATGTACTTGGATTTGGTCTCTGCTTCCCAGCCTGGGCTGGCACCCCAGACATCCCATCCCCCTTCTCTGTTCCTGGGATGGGCCTGGAGGGAGTACCTAGCCTGGCAGAGGACAGCCAGGCCTGGGACGACATCCCTGGCTCCAGTCTCGATTGGACAAATCTCTGCCAAAGGTCTCTCAAGGAGTTTCCCTTCCTGTGCTTCCTGGGCTTTCCCCTCACGTCCCTGGGGCATCCGAGGATAGGCAGACTGGGGCACATTTAGCTAGGAGGTGGGGGACAGCCTGTGTTCCTGTTAGTGAGAGCCACCTGACTCCAAGCAAAAAACAGAGCTTTGCCAGCTGAGCAGAGGCAGTTAGTGTATTTTTTTTTTTTTAAAAGGGCTTCTGATCTCCTGGAGTGCTTTCTGTCAGCACCTGAGCCCGGGATGGCTGTGGTCCACACAGGCACACTGTCTCCTGCTGTTTCTCCCCTCCCTGGGCTCAGTGGCTCTGCTAACAGCTCTGGGAATAGTCCCATCTCCTGCTGCAGGGTCTCAGACCAGCTCCCAGTACTCTCCGAGCATCTCTGGTACTCGCACCAAAGCACAGCACCCAGCTGCGCTCTCCTCCCCGGGAGAGCTCCCTGCTGCCACCCGCAGCCCCCACCCCCTCCATTCCATCTTCCCAATGACCCCCTGGAGCACCATTCCCGAGATTTAATGACCCGCTCTGAGACGTCCGGTCCCTGTGCTTACTTACTCTCCACGGCGAGAGTGATGGGTTGGCTGGTCTTGTTATCTCCGTTCTTGTCATTAACAGCCTGCACATAGTAGCGGCCTGCATCAGGAGCCACCGTTGACAGGATGACAAGGGTGTTCTCCAGCGTGATGGCTCTGGGAAGAGGAAAAGGGTTCCTTCACAGGGACTGGAGGGGCTTGGAGCCTCCCGGGAGTGCGAGCCAGGACCTGAGGATGCAGGCCTGATGGACTCACTTCAGCTGGAAAGAGGAGAGGTAGCAAACCTCTATTCCAGTCATTCGCTGTTCAAACCCCACCCACAACTAGTAGGCAGCGAGCCCCAACAATCTCTGGGTGCTGGTGTCAGATTAAAATTGGGTACATTGACAGCCAGAGGCTGTGAAATCTTCCTAGTCCCACCCCAGGGACATGGAATTCTGCCTTTTCCAGTGACACAGCCTTGATGGTTTCGTGAGGCTGATTCCCCATCAGAGCACCCAGGCACCAAAAATGTGTTCATGAAACAAATGAGTCAATGATGAGCAATAGCAATGAACCCAGAAATGTGCAGGACCATTCCACTGCTGTCTTAGCCCCAGACCTTTTGTAGGCTGACTCAAAAACCACAGGTTGCCCGAAACAGACTTCTAGAGTCCTGTCTCCCTCTAGTCCCCTGCCTGGGGATTAGTTTCCCCTTTCCTGATGCTTGAGAACATGAATGGGACCAGCTGCTCTGGCTAATGGGACACACAAAAGGTAGGCTGTGCCACGGGGCTTGAAATGGGCCAGTTGTCCCCAGGGCATTCCCTTTACTGAGTTCCCATCATGCAGCCCCTCAGCAGACCGAGTCCCCCAGTCAGAGAAATTGGGGTCCTTAATGCAGATGCGATAGTGTGGGCAGCGCTGCCCACCCCGTGCTGCCCACGCCTTTCACCCATTCTCCTGATGACAACAAAACCATTAGTTTGCCAAGTCTATCTCCGGATTGTAATGCGATGTGCCCGAGACAGCTGTTAAACATCCTTAATGTTAGTTTAACAAGGACAAATCCAGTTGAATTCTTTTCAAATTTTCCCATTAGGTGAATGTTACAGAGTTTTAAGCAGGCTCTCAAATAAACATCCCTGCTAATGCCTCTCCAGCCCAGCTCCTTTCCAGCCTGAATGTGCTGTGTCCGTCTCCTGATTCGGTGCCTTTACCTACAAGGACCCGTCCCATCAATGGAGCTCTGGGCAGGAGGTGGGGAAACCCTCTCCCATGCATAGAGGCTCTAATGATACCCATTTTTTTCTTTTCCTGGAAAGCTCTTTTTACCCCCAGCTAATGAGATGGTAGGAAATGGAACAGAGCCAGGCTAAAATATTTTAAAGGTGACAGGACCAGGATGGTGACCATTTTCACACCTGTGAGCCTCCTGCAGGGGAACTCTGTCCCTAAGGGTAGCATGTGGTTGGGCTGAAGGCCAGGGGAGGGAGTCTGGGCTGTGAGTTGCTGGGTACAGGGTGGTTGGGCAGGGTATGAGCTGAGGAACAGAACTAAGGTTCCAGCTGCTGGGGACACACACTGGCAGGCCCTGCCCATAGTTCTCACCTGGTCCAATCTGGCTTCAGGATGGAGGAAATTTTGCAGGTAGCAATGCACTGGCATCCTGAAGGCCAGCATTCAGCTATATCCTTTGCCAGGCTACAGTGCATTGGGTCTAAGCGAGGCACCCTGCAAGTCCACTGTCTTCACCTGCGCATCTGGAACCCCCTTTGGCTTCCAGTGAACACAGCTATAGATGAATCAAGAGGGCTGCTCACAGCCTGTCCCGTTCTTTAGCTATGTTTTTACACTATGATAGTTTTTCTACCTCAGTGGTTCTCCAGGGATGACCTTGTCCTCTAGGGGACACTGACAATGTTTAGACTTTTGGTTGCCATAGCCATGGAAGTGCTACTCAAAGTTAGTGGTGGAAGCCAGGAATGTTGTTAATCAAGAGTCTCATGGTGCACAGGTCAGCCCCCTTGGGGGAAATGACAATCTCTGGGTGGCATGGTTGAGTAAGTACTGTGGTTTTGATGTGGTTTGAATGCGTCCCCTAAGGGTTCATATGTAAGCTACACTGGGAGGCATTAAAATCCTTAATCCAGGTATGGTATTTAGCAGTGGGGCCTTTGAGAGCTGATTAGGATTAGATGAGGTCGTGGGTGCAGCCCCGTGAATAAACCTTGGTGGCTTGAAAAGAAGAGGGAGGCCAGACAGACAGACGTACTCATGAGCACTCCCAGTCTCTTGTTATACAACACCCCGTGCCACCCTGCCAGGCAAGAAGGCCAACACCACATATGGTCCCTTGATCTTGGACCTATAGAATCACTGGCTGACATAAACCTTGTCCCTTTACCCTGCCTGGCCATGGAAAATGGACTGATCCATGCAGACAGCCTGTCCTAGGTGGGACGGACATTGAGCAGGCAGAGATGGCCAGCTCAGTTCCGGCTTCCCTCCTGGAGAGGACTGTTGCTGCTGGATTCCAGCTTCCTGTCATGTCCAGGGCAGTGTGGGGGAGGGGACATGCATGCTCCAGACTTGGCCCACAGGGACCCTGCACTGTTCTCCTGCTGCACCCTCTCCTCTGTCAGAGCAGGGTGACTGGGAAGGCTGACAGCAGAGCCCCAGCAGCCTGCACCCTGAGCAGCTGTGTGAAGGGAACAGCCCCCTGCCCTGTAGCCAAGGTAGGACGTTCAATGTGCTACACATTACTTTCTGTGTTCGAGCGCTGGGGCCTGGGATCTGCCTAGTACTGCAGCTAGCTTTGCTCCTCCCAGTGCCTGCAGGGCAGCAGCTGGGCCTGGACCCTGCAGGGTATGGGTTTGAGCTCTGAGCATGGAGTGAAACCGAAGGCCCAGAGGCCTTTTCCTCGCCTCACTGACCCCAACGAGGGCAAGGAAGTTCTTGGGCTTGCAGCCATCCGTGTGATGACCATCCCCTTGATACACAGGCAAGGAACAACACCATGGTTCACTGCCAGCATGCACACAGCTGCTTGTGGCCCTTGGGATGGCATCTATGCTACCGTACCCAAATGTACCTGCAATGTGGGAAGCTGGGGGAAGTCTCTGGGGGGCACAGAAAGCTGTGCTCAACTCTGGGGGGGATGGGTTATTTTTTACGGAAATACCTTTGACCTCATGTTTTTAGGCCCTTTCTGGTTCCTCTGATAGGTCCAATCCCTGTCCACTTTCTACAACTGCTCCTCTTCGGCTGTCTCCCTTCTCTGCTCAGTAGGAGCTCAATCTGTCATTTAATGAGGAATAAAGTAAGTCATCCTAGAATGCGCCCAAAGTCCACAGCTTGCATCTCTGTTAGGAATCTTGTTTCTTTTTCAATAGTGAGCTCTGAGGTTCATGGGGTGGCACTAATCCTTGTCCGGCTTGGTGGTAGCAATGGCCCTGTGTAGACAGCAGCACCTCCCTCGGCCTGTAGCCTCTCTGGCTGATTGCACTCATCAGATACAGAGCTCAGACATGCAGCCCCTCGGGACCTGCCTCCAGGATTCCTTTCTGCTCAGTGCTGAGTATTACTCTATGGTAATCACCAAGGTAAAGCTGCCCCGGGTGTGCTAGCATGTACTTGGTAGACTGAGTGAGGGACAGGAGTGGGTGATCAGCAAATGTGCAAGTGTGTGTGTGCAGGCCAGGGTGGTTTTATCCTGAATGAGAGAGGCAAGAAAGAAAGACAGAAAAGAGAGGGGCCAGAGATAAGAAAAGGAGGTGGAAGGTGCTAGCAAAAGGACAATATTGTGTTGAAAAGGATTCTGAGGCCCCATTCAGACTCATGGGAAAGAGCATCATGATTGACTAGCAATGTCTACCCTGGCTGTGCAGGGGCATTCTGGCACTTCTACTATGTCTGCGGTGTTCCCCGCAGCCATTACTGACCCATCGCTTACAGGATGCCCTCACCAATATGTGTGGGCAGCCTCAGAAGGGAGTTAGAAGAGCTGGGACTCCCCTCACCAGCACCTGTGTGGAGCCACATTCTACAGCATAATCTGACACACTGACTTTCACAGTATGAGTCCCTCGTAAGCTGTGGTGCTGCTCCAGTCTGTTCCCTCACTCTCTGTCACCCTGTGCCATGTGCCTATGCTCTTCTTCCTCAATGGCAAGGTGCAGGGGATGGACACAGAGTACCTCTTGAATCTGAGTTCTGCCACGTCCTTGCTTTGGCCAGTGGGCCGTTAGCAAAGGCTCAGAATTTATGTTTCTGCTTCTTCTCTTGCTTCTCTGTAATTGCCCAAGAACATGTGAGGGCAAAGTGGCAGGAGAATGAGACATGTGGAGGACAGCCAAGTCATCTGTCATCTAGCCTGCAGCCATCCAGCTATCTGCAGAAAACTGATCTCAGCCAAGACCAGAAGAAGCACCCAGACAAGCTCAGTCTCAATCACCAACCTGCAGACTCCTAAGACAAATACAGCAAATCTTCATTGTTTTAGCAGCACTTGGTATGTTTTGTTATACAGCACTATTGGAGACTAGAGGTGACTGATACATAATAGGTTCTCAATACTTGCTGCATATTAGAATCACATAGAGAGCTTTAAACAATTCTGATGACCATATTATGGCCCATTTCAATTAAATTAGAATGCCTTAGTAGATTCCAAAGCTCCCAAATGAGTTCCACAGTTAGCCAGGTTGCGAATTTCTGTGCCAGGACTAGCTCTCCCAAGTAGAGTCCCTTCTTTAAGTCTGTGTGCCTGTTCACACATAGGTTTCACAGAAGGCAAGAATTACAGACCCTGACCTAGAGTCAGCAAGGCTGGAGTTAGCTTTATGAGATTTGGCCAAGGAGTTCAACTCTGGGAGCTTCACTGCACTGTCTGTACAGCGAGGATAAAGCCAACCAATTCCTGCAGCAGTTGTGAGAGTCATCCAGTCAGCAACTAGCCTTGCAGCAGATGCTCTGGGGATGGGAAAGAGAAGAGACTGGGAGAGGAGTTTCTCGGAGAAGAGATGTGCATGTGCTCGGCCTGGTCCTGAGACGACAGCAGTCATTCAATAAACAACCGCCACTATCATCACTAGGACCACGCTGTGTTACTGCTCTCCTGTCCCGGAACTTAACAGGCCCCAAAGCTGAGGACCGTCTGCCTTCTCCCCCACTCTCCATAGGAATGACAGGCTGGGCCCACTCTAAGAGGAAGCCCAGCAGGGCAGGAGGAATCTTTCTGGGGGTCCAGGGGAGTTGGAGGCACAGAGAGGAAAGTCTGCGGCTGGCTTCAGGACCCCGAGGGCAGGGTCTTCTGAAGGAACGCTGTGCTCCTGGCCTTCTGTGGTGGGCAGCAGTGTTGGCTCTGCCACTCCTGCCTACGAGCCAGGCTGCCAGGGCCAAGGCAAAGGGGCGCACACAGGATCCTTGTGCAAACTGACAGCACTACATATCTTTCTCCCAGGCCTCCCCTGGCCACATCGAATCCTCACTGCCAAAACACACATGTCCTTGCACACCTATCACACCCACTGGACTGCAGTGGAGATGCCTAGCCTGCCACCACCCTAGCACTGCTGGCTTAAATTCTGGGCCTCTGGGCCTGTGTGTGTGTGTGTGTGCGTGTGTGCATGTTTGGGTGTTTTAGATACTTTTGGAGAATTATTCTCCAGCTGAGCATGGAGGCAATGCCCCGGGATCCCCAGGGGGTCCCAAGTCCTCACAGGTAGATTCCAAGACAGTCCCTTGTAAACTACACTTATGTCCCCATCCCAGGAGGTCCTGAGACTAGCCCTGTCCCAGACACAGGCTTCTGCAGAAGGGCTCTGTGCAGTACCTGGCCAGCCTTCCTCCCCAGGGCCAGCCTCCCTCATTGTCCCTGTAGGGCAGTGCCTCACATGCGGCTGCTGGGTGGGATCTTGCGACCATCACGGAACCAGGTCACCTGCGGCCGAGGGAAGCTGGCAATGCGTGGGGCGCGGATGACAGCAGCTTCTCCATGGGAAACGCTTTGGTACTTCTCACCCTCCTCGAAGTTCCCCATGTCTGCAGTGGGAGAAGGTAAACAGGATCAGTGGCCTCAGGAAGTGCCTGGTTCCTGGGGACAGTGTCTGCAGCAGCAGGACAGTATGAGACAGACAAGATGACACAGCAAGAGGATGTCATGCGGTCACAGTACCTCACCCCATTCCAAGGTTGTGACATACCCTGCTTCACAAGTCTGGTTTTTACATCCATTTATATCCACATGTATCCATATATCCTTGAACCAATCGATTTGTCCAACTGCCGCGAGAGGCTGATCGTTATTTCACACCTTTTATAAGTGAAAAAACCACTAAAATGGCTCTGGTTAATTAACTTGTCCGAGGTCATGTGGCTAGGAAGGAACTCAGACATGGAATTCTGGAGCTGGGCTGCCGTTTCTGCTCTGCCCTATGGCACTGCTTTTGGCACAGTGGGGCGTAGGTGTGAGGCACGTCTTCTGTGCTCTTGGGGGTACACTGGAGCATCTGGGGTCTTGGACCCTCATAAAGGGCTGTGTTGTGGAGAGGAACCCCCTCGGTGCCTGGGGGGTGTTGTGTGTGCAACTGTGCATATGTGCAAACATAAACACCATATTGCTCTTTTCAAAGCATGACTAGCTCCTTGGCGGAAAAGGGTAGAGCATTTATCCTGGTTCTGATATTCTGTCAACCAGGAGGGAAGCAGAGAGCAGAGGATACACATGGGAGGCTTTTCTGGCTCCCTGGCTGCTTGCTGAGCTGGGGCTGGAGTAGAGGGACTGATTCTCACAGCACTGGCCTGGTCAGGGGTTTTGGAAAGGGGCATGGAGATTCTACCATACCCTTGAAAATCAGTGTGCATCCTCGTTAATGCAAGTGTAGTCCATGGGCCTACAGCACGGGGACCATCCAGGTGCCCAGTAGACACGTAGAGTCTCAGCCCACCCAAACCACTGGACCAGAACCAGCAACCTATCAGGAGGCCCTCGATGAGTGTCCAGGTTCATCTGTGATATGCACTGTGCATCTGGTTCCTGTATCAGGAATACCTGAAGAGTTAAACAGTGCTGCTGGGCGCTTCACCTCCCAACCCCCAAACAAAGCTTCTGATTTCATTGGTACAGGGTGTGGGGAAGGGAATTCCAGTCAGGGAGCATCCTGCATCAGTGCACCACTCCATCCTCTAACCCAGTGCTTTCAATGATAATAGGCAGGCTGCTGCAGGTGCGTGCCACAGGTTCCCCACCACTGCTCTGACCTACGAAGTGTTTGGCCGGCACTCCCAGGGCCACAGGCCTGTGTGTAGTAAGGGGCACAGACCATACATTCTGGACCTTAGTTTCCTCATGGTCGCTCTTTAACCAAGGGGTCTCCTCTCCTAAGCCACGTAGACTCCTCTAACCGTGGCAGCTATTGTTTCTCAACTCCGTGACACCGTGGCCTCTTCTTCCTCTCCTCCCCTTAGAGTTCTCCATCCTGGCTGCTCCTTAGTGAGAGGACATGGTGGGAGACATGGTGTGGGTTCTAGGGCAAGAAAGGTTAGATGAGGTCCAACTAGGAGGGACCCTGAAACCAGGAAAGTGGATCTACACTTTCCTGGATCAACAAAGAGATGCTCAAAACAAGCCAACAGTGTGGTCAGAAAATTAATCAGGAACTGTGAATCTTTAGAACCTTTAGTTTTCCCAAAGGAAGAACCATCAGGGTGAGTGGGACCCAGGCACTGGTGTTTCTAAAATCTCTGAGAAGCTCCAGGCAGGGCCAAGAACACCATCTTGGCTGCAGACAGCCCAGGGTTCTCCTGTGTCGCTCATCTGAGTCACCTGCGGGTTGGCTCACCCACTAGTGTCTCCCCTTCCTCCTCCCTAGGCAATGAACAGCCCTGCCACTAGGCCCCTGGGTCTCTGTTCCTTGCCTTGCTGATTTCCCTGCTCACCCAAGTTGGAGACCTCTGGCCTTCTTGTTCCTTAAAGCCCTGGACTTGGTTCTCTTTGGGGCCACACTGTCCCCTTGGTCTTGACTGAAACTTCTTTGCACATGACTCGCGTTTCCTCTCCAGCTATTCCCTGAGCTCCGAGGTGCAATTTCCAGCAGTCTGTTGGGTGTTTTCATCAGGAAGGCCCTGCATCACCTCCCGGACAAGTCCTCCTTCTCCCACTCTTGGTTCTGTTTGCTGCTTCCACCACCGCCACCACCCTGCCCTAGTAGGTTAAGCTAAAACCCTTGAAGTCTTTGGTGTGTTTTTCCTTTCTGTCTCCACAAGGTACTCAGCTTCTGTATGGGCTATCACTCTTATGAACCAAGACCCCAGGCTGTCATAGTCCTTCCAACAAGCTAAGTCCCATTGCCTCCAGCCACTGACTCCCAGCATGGTCTATATCCCATTTCCTCCTACGCACGGTTCCTGATTAACTTTCTGATCAGGCTGGCCTGCTTGGAGACGTCAGCATCACATCTGGATTTCCTTGGCTGGATTCAGGGTCCCACCTAGCTGGACCTCACCCAACCTTTCTTGCCTTAGGGCCCATACCATGTCCTGCCACCATGAATTACATACGCTGTGCTTCCCATCTCAGGGCCTTTATTTTTGCTGAGCAACCTGCTTGAAATGCCACCAGGATAGGCCATGAGTCACTGACATTCTATAGTTCTATAGCATCCTGATGTAGCCGTAATAGAGTTTCAAAAGATGGAAAGTACCATTGGCATTCTTATTGTAAATTAGATAGGCAGTATATCCATGTGGCTCAGGTCACTTTGAGACTGGAGTTCAAATCCTACCTCTAATACTTGTAAACTATGACACTGAGCAAAACTTTTGACTTTGGCAAGCTTTAATTTCTTCTTCTACAAAATTAAAACTTTAAAAATGTACTTTCTCCATAGGTTAAACTGAGGAGCACGTGAGATAATCTGTGTGTACAAGGCTGAATCACTGGAAAGATGAATGTATCAACATTTATCTCCCTCTCCAAATGTCTTTTGCACAATGAGTCTGATGCTCTTCCCTTCCCTCTGGGGTGGCTGGCCTATGTACCTTCCCCTTGGGTCTTGGGAGCTTGTGTCTTTTCCTCCCATTGAACATGCTGGAAGTGGTGCGGTGTGACTTTCAAGGCTAGGATATCAAAAACGTGCAGCTTCTACCTGGCTTTCACTCGCCAGACATTGGCATCAAGCCACTGTCCTGAGGAAGCACAGTGGAGCCCAAGCAGACACAGAAACAGGCCACATGGTAGGGAACAGAAGCCAGTGTGACAGCCAGCATCAGTACCCGACATTTGAACAAACATGTGAGGCCTCAGGTGACGTCAGCCTGCAGCCCACATGTCTCAGCTGAGACCTCAGCCATCACGGAACAGAGACAGGCTGTCCCTGCTGGGCCCTGTCCAGACTCCAGAGTCACAGAACCTGTACACCAGTGCATCCTGCAGTGATTTGTCACTCAGCATAGAACCTAGAAGAGTATATAAAAGTGGTGAAAATTGTACCCAATACTTTGAGTATCAAAATATGGGAATTCTATACATTTTTCATGGTTTAGCTTTAAATATCACCTCTTCAATAAAGATTATCCCAAACTATCAAAACAGAATTAAAAAACAGATTTGTTGAGCACTTAACCCACGCCAGGTTCTTTCTGGGTCTATTTCCCTGCATTATCTCATTTAATCCTCCCAATAACCTGACAAGCTCAATTTGAATAAATATATGTTTTTAGTGGTTTATTAATTTCCATTACTTGGCTCTGTCTATAAAAATTACATCAATAAATCACACTGATTTCAGTTCTTCAATAATTCTATCTATTTAAGAAACTTTTCACAGGACTCAGATGTATTTAAACAATGGAGAGCAATTTTGCTGTAATAGTGTTTTCCTTCTGCTGTTTGTATGAGGCTCCCTTTGGTCGACGAGGGGAGGGCTTATGCGACACAACACCGTGTCCAGTGTGAAACACCAGGGCTGGCCTGGCTCAGCCTCCCTGTGCACACCCTCCCTGCCTCTTGCCTACCTTACAGCCCACGGATTTCCCTGTCTCCCATTAAACCGCAAGCTTGGTGAGGTCCTTCAGGAGTCAACCTCGCGCAGAGGCCAGGCTCGTGCTTTGCACACAGCGGGCTCCAACCTCGGCCAGCACCATCGCCAGCAGCTCCTTGGACAGCCTCACTGTGGCTCAGCTAGGACCTGTGGTGGGCGCTGGAGGAAGACCTGGTCCATGCTCTGTAGAGCTAAAATCCGGGCGGGGAGGAACCCCTGAGGGGAAATAGCAAGGAAAGTTGCTTGAGGTAGGGAGGAAGGCGCGGTGAAGACGTGAATCTGGAGGTGTTCAGCAAGGGTGTGTACAGGGGTCCAGAGGTCCAGTCTGGGCCCAGTAGAAATAAGCCTGTGAGGGCCGGGAGGTAAGGGGAGCAGCAGTGGGGGAAAATGAGAGGTCGCTAGGGCAGGGTGCGGGTTTACTGGGTGTATGGATGGATGCTGGACAGAGGAGGCTGCGTGGAGGACTGTTTGCTCAGGATGGATGGCTGTGTGCATTATCTCATTCAATCCTCAAAACATAACAAGCTCCATTTTAATGAATATTGACTGATGGAGGAGTGAGCAGTTGGGTAAATGGAAGAGTGAATGAATGGATGGCTGGAAGTCTGTCTGTATATTTGTACGGTGGGATAAGTGGCAGGGGTGGATGGATGGTTGTACGTATGTATGTTTTATATGTGGCAGGTAGATGGTTGTGTGACTGTATGTGTGGGTGCGTGAGTGGTTGTATAGTGGGATGGATGGCTGTATGGATGTGTATATGTGCACACTATGTACATGTGTTAGCGAGATGGGTAGTTATCACGCAGTGGATAGTTGTATACATGCACATCTATATGGGCTCAGTTGTCCTGGTCATCTAAGCTCTGCATGGATCCTCCCCGACTCCTCCATTTATAATCTCTCCATTCACTGAGGCTCCCAGGCCCAAGAGCCCTGCTATTCCTTCCATTCCTTCCATCTACTTGGTCACACGGGCCTCCTAGGTCACTCAGGGAGCCC